AACATATTTATAAAGAAAGAAAATCACGATCTTTGCCAAGAAAACAAATTTTTCTACTTGTTAAAAACTTCATTTGAGAAAATGAATGTCGAAGATATTAGTGTCCCAAGCAGACCACGCGCATTGTCAAGAAAATTACATCTTTAAAATACAATTATTTTTTATATATATACAGCACCAAATACGCTTTCCTATATTACACTAGAGTACATAGAGATGTTTAACTCTTTAAACACAGAAAAGAATAAAGATGTAATTTATTTCATAAAAAAAATTCAACCTTTTGCATTTATAACAATAGGAAATTGCTAATTGTCGCATATACTAAAAAACAGTGTATTGGGAATCGAACCCAAAGACTAAATTGTACCGCTCTTTAAAGATACACCAATTCGGCTGTTTTTTAGAAAGTTCAGACGATTTTGGCTATTGAACATATTTCGGATATTCTATAGTTCCAAATTTTGATCTTCGTAGAATTTTTGAAGATTAAAGTTGGTAAGTTATTGCTTGATCGTAAAAGAAAAAAACCAGGTCAAGAGCTTTTTCGTTCAATTACACTTCACAATTTAAGGTCACAAACAATAAACAATTATGATCTTTTTTATACCGCCGGTTCAACATTAAAATGCTTAAAGGCCAACTTTGAGCGCTCAAATACATGCAAATAAACTTCCACAATTACATTATGTGTTAAGTAAATAAATATGAAAAATGATTAAACTAAAATCATCCAAACTGTTCTAAAAAGCAGACTTTATAACGTAAAGTAAGACGGCTGTAAATTTTAGCTGATAGACCCTAGGTTCGCTCAGCTAAGCATTCATAACCTTCAAATTGCATTTCTTTTTGTTCCATGGTTGGAAATGACAAGTAGTACAAGTTTAGTCCCACACCAAGGTCACTGTTTTTTTATGACTTAACCGAAATAAAAAATCCCTAATGGAAAAACCTGAACGGTATAAACCAATACCGAACACAAAGGTACGAGAATTTGGAGAATACTGAACAGGAAAAAACCACCAGGGATTTAAGCCGAAGTTCCGCGCCTGGGGACCCATGTATATAAACAATAAACTTTACATACCTTTGAAACGATGCAAAAAGCCAAAAAAATAGAAGAAACCGTGAAATTTTTTCAAAACGCACCTTCAAGTCCAAAATTTTTTGTAGTCAAAGATATACTACAGTTTCGGAAGTAATTCGCCATTTTAACGTACATATATGTAAAGCAAAACTAAACCGATCACTGAACTGGATAATTTTCTTCTTTGCCTGAGAAAATTATATATTTGATGGGAATTTCTTGCAACGTGTGTTTTTCTTATCTAATCCATAACCAAAACAGTCGCACCTAGCGCCACCTAAGCGTCCCTGTTTTGCACTGTTCAGTGCTTTGCGCGCCCGGTGCCACTAACGCCTAAAATTGGAGCAAGCGCTGACTGTATGACATGGATTAGATTAAAGTACTTCAAGATAACTTGTACGGTCGGACGATATTCAATGTTTTTTGAAATCACTTGAAGAAGCACACGTTAAGTTTGGTTATCGAAGAGTGGCGATAATTTAACCAAACAACCGGCAGCGCTTGATTTAAATTATGTTTAAGTTTGACAATTATCACATAGTTGACTTTGATAGACACGCAAATGGTGAACATGGAAACCTTTGTGTAACTATTAAGTAAAATATGTGACAAGGTCTGCGGTTTGTCTTCATATTAACCATTATAAAAAACAAAACAATGTACTTTTATTGAAACTGTGTTTTCTTATTGATTATATTGATTATTATGAAGGCATTCCGCATACTTAGACCTGGTGTATTAATTTATTTTTATGCCTGCTTTCGCTGTGGCTTGCAGCATTGAAATTCCCAGGAATGAAGTTTTCTTCATAAGAAAACAACATGTCCTTTTACACATTTACAGTAATTGCCACGCCGCCCCTAAACTGTAAATGTCTTAACAAAATAAATACGTTTCTCGAGTATCTATTTGTCGATTTAGGAATGAGTGACAAGATTGAAAGTTTTCTTCCAAGCATTTAAAATTCACTCATTTCTCTTGATAGTGAGGTTTATCCTTCAGAGGTACAAACCCCACAGTCGTTATCTGAGCGTAGCAACTACCCGCCGCAACTACAGCGCATGCCTAAGCTATCTAAACTTCCTACCTGCGCATGACACCGGAATTCCGCCCTGAAAAGGAATGCCCCGTGAAGGAGGTAACCCATCATGCCCTTAACTTAACTTAACCTAGTGCATGTTGCACCTACGGGCGACCTCCAACCGAGGTGGGTTGAACTACTCATGCATTATAGGGGATCCATGCAGGAGTGCCTTAATAGCCAATGTAGAAAGCCGTTCATGAAATTGGCCAACTACAACGACTGCATGCTCTTACCGTACTAGGGGAGAGATATTTTTCTTTCCACCAAAACCACGATCTTCCCTTGGTCTTCAATAGGCCTTGCTCGCTTGATCCAGTCTTCAAAGGTCTTCTTACAGATGCTATTTGCATCCTCTACGCTAAGGTACCATTTGTACCCACTAACCCCAAGTTGAAGTTGCCTTCCTTTGGCCAAACTTCACTTGCATTTCCGATTCTAAGCTATGGTCCTGTCTATCCTTCTGCGAGGCAACAGCCGCTGCGATCATGCGTAGCTCCTTAAATCAGTATATTCACACAGAGGTTTTTCCAAGGTAAATTACATAAAACAACACAATTGTTGCATGTCAGTCACAGACTTAAAATAGTTGATACAAATTCACGCTTACTAATAAACGAATTGTAAAAATAATTAAAGCAGCACCGAAAAACACAATTGGATTATTCCAATCAAAAGAACACTTTTATCACCTCTTATGACTATTTTTGAAAATGCAGATGTAAATTTCTTTAAATATGTTTATTTGCAAACCTGCATTAAAAAATAGCCTTACAGTGGAATATACTGAACACCAGGATTTTTTGTTGCTATTGCCCGAATTATATTAGAGATTTGACCTGTTAACAGGCCTGACTAAATAAAAGGTTTATTATTATTACACTCACGGTTTTCGACGAATCTTTGGCAGTTCGACGACAGACTACGATGAACGACGAATCCTTTGCCAATTGTGAAGATGAAATGATCCGATGCTGAGCAAGGACAGCCACAAAAAAGCCCAAAATAGTTTTTTGAAAAATTTAGAACGTTGATGGAGAAACCATCGTATCCAATTTTCAGGCTACCTGACAAACATCCCCGCTTTTATGTCGACGATGGCAAGCACAGAAACAAGATTGGCCATTTCTTGCAACTGTGCATGTCACCTACGGCATCAAATGGGAAATATCGACAGCCAGTCGGAAAATTAGGATTTATAGGTTTTGGATTTTTATGTTAAAAAAATTCCATGTTTTTATTACGAAAAATTTTCAATGAAATAATGTTGAGATTTGGGCGTTCGATAGTGGCGTGGTTTTATTCATCATTGCGATTGATTGACCAGTCGCGATCTTCGCAGGAAAATGCCAACGAAAAATGATTTTGAAAAGTTTATAATATTGACTTGTCCATGGAAACAGGCGTTAGGCTGATGGATGCATTGCTCCAGAATAGTGTTTAGTGTTTGCATTCTTTGTAGAGATGGACTTTAGGACATTAGAAGTCACGTATTTTTCAATCTCAATAAAGTATGTTGCTTATTCTTGATCATTGTTCAAAAGACTTCATCAAAGTATATTGTTCATTCTTGATCATTGTTCAAAAGACTTCATTACAGTATGCTGTTCATTCTTGATCATTGTTCAAAGGTCTTCATTAAAGTATATTGTCCATTCTAGATCAGTGTTCAGAGGACTCGTTAAAGTATGCTGTTCATTCTTGATCATTGTTCAGAGAACTCGTTAAAGTATGCTGTTCATTCTTGATCATTGTTCAAAGGTCTTCATTAAAGTATATTGTTCATTCTTGATCATTCTTCAGAGAACTCGTTAAAGTATGCTGTTCATTCTTGATCATTCTTCAGAACTCGTTAAAGTATGCTGTTCATTCTTGATCATTGTTCAGAAGAATTCATTAAAGTACGTATATTGTCCATTCTTGATCAGAAGGTTTCTACATAAGACAATTGAAGCCAATGTCAGTTCACACTATACTTCCATAAATGAAAAACATTGATAACATACTTACATTGAACATTTTATTCACTCGTAATGTAGTTCAAGGGAAGAAGGAAATGGTCGACAACAGCCACAATTCTCTTCAACCGCTGTGAACAAGAACCAGTTTCTTTAATTGTAGAGTCCACGATCATGGTGAATACACCAACATTTGTTCGTTGTTTCTCAATCTCATTTGATGACTATTTGTCGTTTAAGAGAAGAATGTTCATGTCTAAAATTGAGCATAGAGGAAAGAAAAGTTACTAAGACGAAAACTTTAAGGAAAGGCCACACTGCACTTTGCATTAATGAACATCACATGCAGTGTCCCAATGTTTACTCAATGCAAAAGAACATGAAACAAGACGTTTACCTGTACAATTCTTCAAAGCACTCCAAGAGATATTTCACTGTGGAATAATTTCGACTTCGGCTAACTGTTCTTCGTGCAACTACAGACTTTCACGTTCATACGGCACGTTTTAAGTCGTTGTGTTCTGATTGGTCAGTGACTAGGTGTGTTGTAAACGTGCTGTGTTCTGATTGGTCATTTACTAGGTGTGTCCTAAACTGTTGTGTTCTGATTGGTCATTTACTAGGTGTGTCGTCAATTGTACATTGTGAAATCAACCGACATTTAGAATTTGCACGATCATCACTTTGAAGTGATTAATCCCAATAGAGCGGTAAATGCAATTAAACACAATATAGATAAATATGTATATTTCAGCTTCAGAAAATCCCAAACATTTAAGCCTCTTTGGGGAACAACTACAGCTGAATCATGCAGAATCTAAATGTCGACTGATGTCAAACATGATTTGATAAACCCTCTAGGTTGTTAATTTCATCTCATTTTTTCTTATTGTGTTTATTAGCCAAAGTTAACATTTGATTTCTTCTAATTAGCATTCTACAAGGTGTACATAAAAATGACGTTTAGAAATTAAGCTATTGTAAAATTTCGAAGCCCGATCACTGTGCTAATCTCACTTGTGCATTACATTTCCAATGGAGGAAAATCTTTCGTGCTTGAATCAACGTAGCTAACAATATTTTATGCACGTGTGGGCTTAGCATAGTGACAGACATTAAAAATATAAGGTCTTCAATGATAAACGAAGGCTGACCATCTAGTTCTTCACACATCAAAGGAATGAATCGGATTGAAAAATATTATTACAAAACATTTTTTATTTTTTTTATTCAACTAGCAGCCGGTATTATATGTTGTCCCTTTTAAAGAATTTTCAATCTTGATGCGACAATAAATTTTCATGGCAACTTTTGTTCCGAATCTTTCCACATTCCCTTTTTTGTGTGATAAAAATGAAAAAAGTTAAGCACCTTCAAGCGTTCTATTTCCAGGCCGGCTGATAAGATTTTATCTACTAGGTCCCAGTCTTCACCACCCCAGGCATGCCTAAATCGTTCCACGTCCATGCCACCAATTCTAAAATAAGAAAATACTCTAGAGTAAGGCTCTTTTTAACCCAGAAGATTTATAGATTTTAAATGGAAAAATTATATTCCATGATTGATCTCCCAAATTCAATGTTTTGAGTATCCATGTAGTCTTTTTGCAAAGCAACAAAATTATACATCGTACATAGAATAATAGTTTTCCAATCAAATATGGCGAGGTTCCCCTTCTGGTGGCTTAAATGCCAAGATTTGATTTTATTTCGATTATTGATACCTTACATTATACATACAAAGTACATACCTATCCCAATCTGACTTGTACATTGCTATAAGTCCATATCCATCGTGTTCCCAGCGCCCATTGGGATGATTCACAGTATAACCACAGTCCAGACGAATCAAAAGTGCATTAAATGTGGTTTTCCCCTGAATACAATGCTAAAAAACAACAGAAACCAAACATTAAATGAAAGACATTTCAATATTTTATCATTATATTACATTCTCTGTCATTGTTTAACTATATTTTAGATAAAGTAACGACAGTGTTTGTTTTATGAAAGAATGTTTTATGCAGTGCGATGTTTGAAATTAAATGTAGATATGATTTTCGCTGATCTTTTCTCGTTGAATTGTCCAACAAAGTGCGAAGATCATATCTACATTTAATTTCAAACACAGCACTGAATAAAACATTCTTTCATATGACATTCCTTTCACGAGAAAACATCAGCCCAACAAAATTGACCTGCTGACCACTGTGTGACTTCATAGCTCAGTTGGTCAGAGCAGTGCACCGGCACCGCAGGGTCATGGGTTCGAATCCCGTTGAATCACCTGAATTTATCAGGTTCATGAGACAATTGCTTAAATTGTCCAGCAAAGTGCAAAGATCATATCTACATTTAGTGTTTGTTTTGTTTATTATTCTTATTATTCATGATAGCATGTACAAATGATCAATACAAAACAAAATCAATCTTTGTACAATCAAATGTTTATTCAACTGTTTATAATATAGGTTATTGACACAAGTTAAAAATTCTCTAAACTTAATGTGAACTAATGACTTTTACTCTCCTGCCTTGTTCATTGTTTTCTTCACATAAATAAACAATATTTACTGTGTTTACAAACCAAAGAGACTTTTGGGAGAACTTGAGTGCAGATGAAAGCAAGTCCCAGACCAAAAGTCAAAGTTTTGCACCCTCGGCTTTGAACTGATCTGCTCTCAAGTTCTTGTAAAAGGTTTCCATAAGCCTGTGTAAATACCGTAAGTCAGTAAGCACTCTTTTTACTAGAGGTAGGTGAGTATTTCTACTTACAAAGAATTCCATAAGCTACAATCAAAATTATAAATTTGGTACTTCAATTTTGAATTCATTATTATTTTATTTAACGTTCGTTTAATATAACTAACCTCACCTTACGTATATGATCAACGATAGTGACAGGCATGGACAAGTGTAAATCACACACAAATACAATATCATTTGGATTTGTCACCACAGTCATGGCATACTGCAAACCAATTGATTTATGAAATTTAGACTTCATGTGGAGCAATACATATCGGTATAATCGACTCTTTTCCAAAGCATGTTTGATATCGATATCTTTAGTGTGAAAATCAATAATGATAACATTTAGGAATTCATCTTTGGTTTCTTGATATATCTCTTCAAGATTATTAATAAAATGTTGCAGCCATCGTCCCTGTCTACCGCCAACTGTCAACACAATATTTACAGTAGCATTTCTGTTCCATTTATAGCCCACTGGTGAACAAATGCCACTTTTTTTATTACTTTTGTAGATGTATTCAGAGAGCCTGAAAGTGGAAACATTTTTATCATCTGTGACCTCAAGTTCAAGGAGATAGCGATCACCATTAACAGGGTCATGGTTCTTCTCCACACTAAGAATCCTCCTCAATTTGTAGCACCTTTAAAATAGAAAAATCCTGATAAGGAATGTTTGATTGTTAATATTTTAAAAAATTGTTACAAGTTTGTAAATGTTGATTCACTGCTCAAGTTAGTCAAGACGTGAGAAGCACATCTGGTGAAAGATGTTTTGACATTCTTAGCCTTAGTCACAAAAAAACCTGTTACATGTTTGTAAATGTAGATTGTCCAGGTTAGTATAGTCCTGAGAAGGACTGTTTTTGTTGTTGCTGACTGACGTTTCGACAACCTTAGCGGTAGTCATCTTCAGAGTCCAAAAAATGTCAAAAAGAGTTACTTCAGAGTCAAAAAAAACTGTCCTTATTAATTCTTAGGATTGTACTATGTGTGAATAATCAACATGTTCACATATGTAATGATACTGTGTACAATTATTCACTTCATGTAACCATATTGATTATTGGAACATCAATGGTTAGGAAATTAAATCCTATCCCACTTTTTACCTGCTACAAGCTTTCTGGAAATAATTCATATACATTTTAACAATGTCAAGTGCCTCATTCTCTCTGATTGGATCATTTCCAAGACAAATCCAACCATTGCGAGTTACATTTGTGTCATCAACTGGGTACAGTGAATTATAATGTGTTTCCCATACACCTTTGTAGTTTTTTAATTGATGATGTACAATATAACTTGGAGAATACTCACAGCTGGGTAGGACATTTTTCAAAGCTTCATTTGGTATGATAGGTAGTTTATACAAGTTATTACGATATTTTTCATCTTTATTTAACATTGGAAATTTTTGTTTCTTATGAATGACAGCAACATTCAACTCCTCGCTATAATTATCAATTTCACCATCTTGCAAATAAATGTCTGACAAGATTGTGGCAATATTGTACCCGCTAATCTCCACAAATGTTGATGCCCCTGGAGTCTTCCAAAGGAGTTTAAAATTATCTTCCTTATCAGATTTCTTATGCAACAATTCAAAATAGTATTTCGTCTTAGCCATCAATAGCAAGTCAAAGGTTCTAGTATGGAAATTCTGATTGCCTGAATACACCAATCTGGAAGATGATGGTTTTGAGTTTTTACCAAGCCAGAATTCAACAGAATCACCTTGAATTTGAAACACGTGGTCTCCAGTGGTCTTAGTAACTATGTAACCAAATATCTTTTCACCAAAATGAAAATTTCCCAATGCATGGGAGAATTTTGTGTCATTGACATAAAATCGTCTTGAAGGATATTTTGGAAATAAAACATGATTTTTAAATTTCTAAGATCAATTCCACATATATCCTGCCAGATATGAACGTTAAGTCGACCGTGTGACGCCAGTGAATTTAAAGATTTCGTTTTTTGCTTTCTCTCTTCCCACGGAAATCTATTTCTGGTGTAAGTTTGTAAACTCAGTTTGATATTGCGCTTGAAGTAATGATCATTTCCACGTTGTATGACTAATGTAGGTAACTCAGTTTCCAACACAGATTCCTCTCTCCATATAGAGTTTTGGACTTTGAACAAAATGTAAATTAAAATAATCACAACAAAACACTTCAAAAATTGCCGCCGTCTTGCAATAAAACATGCCTTGCGCATGTCGACCACTCTACATTGTTTTCATTTCAATTGAAGGTTTTTGTTGTAAAAATACAAGGTCAATGCCATCGATGAACTTTCAAATTAAGATAATTTGAGGATTTGAACAATGTATAGATCACTTTACACATGTGAAGTTTGACATAAAAACTGGTCCCGTAGTCTGTGTAGTCAGCGGCTAATTTCATTTCACAAATGTCCAATATGGCAGATTCCCCTGTTTTAAAGAGGCAAAGAACGACGACTAAAACTAACTGTACTTTAGTCGAAATGTTTTTAAAATGGTGCGAAAGGGTTGGTTTAGAATTGAGCAAAAAGGTATTTCCTGGCCTTTTTCTTTTCATTTAATTTAATCCCTTCACGATTCTTTGGTACATATGGGTACATAAGAAACATCAACCCATGATGAGCAGCGTTGCAAGAAACTTGCGATCGTTCAAGTCAATAGTCATTTAGTACTACTCTTTCTTTCGTTTAGGTTACGGTGCGGGAACAAGGTTCGTGTCATAGGTTCGGAATGATAGCTTTGGACGATATAGATGAAGGGGAAACACTTTTCCAAATTCCAAGAACCATTTTACTGGAGCCGAGTAACACAGCGATTTCTCAAAAAGTGTTAGAGTTTTCGAAAAAAATACCAGATATAGAGACCAGGTAGCAATGAATTATTTCGCCTCTTGCAGGTCAAGCAAGCGTTTGACTGGTCTTTATTCTTCCCATCAATCACGCCATATCAAATATCCTTCTTACCAAGCGGAGATTCCTATTGGATTGCTTCGTTAACAAATTTAAGATGTCAATTTTATGAATAAATAAAAAAGGCAACGGATTGACATCTCAGCTTTGCGAATCAACGTGCGTCATCGTCTATGTCTCAAAATTTTTGTAAATTTATCTATCTGTCTTAAATTGTTAAGAATTCGTTGAAAGGAAATATGAAAACGCATTGCCATTTCACTTTGCTGTAGTACATATGCATAATTACAGCGGTGTAAAGGAACATACAAACATATATTATAACCATCCACTTTAAAAAATTACATTTCCATTGTCTAGAAATCGGTGGTTACCACTTTTATTGACTTTGCTATACGAATACACTAATACAAGATCAAAATGGAGACCATATTTGGACCTAATTCCCGAGGAAGATGTCCTCAATCAACCGATATTTTGGACTGAAGATGAACGTGATTACTTGACGCTGATTGGTCTTAAAGATCACGTTAACGATGACTTAATGAATATCGAATTGGGATATAATAAATATATCTTGCCTTTCATGAATAGTTACCAAGACTTATTTGAGTAAGAAGATACAAAGTGAAAAAATCTTTTTACCAGGATTTAGTCTCTTAAGTTTTTGTGCAACCGATAAATGCTCAAACTATAACCTGACTACTTCTTAAAAAATTAAAATATGAACTAGGACAACGTAAGTCAGTCTATTTTGCCGAGTGAATGAAATATGGAGAAGATGGAAAGTTTTCAAAAAACTAAAAACCAAGATATTTTATGTCAGTGTTGTAAGTAATGATCAATGCATGGAAACAGAAAAAAGTTTATACAATTCCTTTATTTTCGACTTGTCTAGCCCAGCAGTTCATACCTTCGTACTATACAAACGTCTGGCTGGTTTTGTCATGGCATATAGCTTTTCACATGATGACAGTGAAAATGCTGAACCAACGATGGTTCCCATGGCAGATATCTTAAATCACGTCACTAACAATAATTCACATCTCGAGTTTGGTGACAAATTTCTGAGTATGGTGACAACGACAGAAGTAGCTAAGGTACAGATTTCATGTTGTATTTTAGATAGTGATCAATAAAAACAGAGAATGAAAGTTGTTGAAATTTTACTTAAAACATTTAAAATATGTGATGACTTAATAACTATGAACGATAGCAAACGTTTCTTCAAATTTTAAGTAATATTAAACAGAATCTATCAAAGTAAGTTGACAGTTTTAGCTCGACAGCATAAGATGAAATTTCTACAAGAACTGAGTCTACGCTTTTTAGGGTGATGAATTATACAATACATACGGAAATTTGGACAATTGTAATCTTCTGCGTTCGTATGGATTTGTTGAAAAACGCCAAACTGTTATGATGAGGTTGGTTAGTGAAAATGATTGAAGTGTCTATGTGAATGAAACATTTGAGTATTGATGTAAATCATGACTGAATTTTTCGTTTGCCCCAAAGGTTGAAATACCACTCATGGTATTTCAAGATATTTTGGCGCTAACCGAAAAGGAATGGGAATTGAAGTTGTCTCGATGGTATTATGAGGTATTTATCAGCATCGAAAGATAATCACATACGTCATGACAACGAAATGCGAGTCTATAAATATTCTAGAGAAAGACTTTTAAATTATATTTTCATAGCCAATCATGTTCAATTATATAGCAATAAAAATAACAAATGAAAGCTGAAAATCTCCCCTAATTTAAAAATCAGACTAAACTTTTGAATTCGAGATTCACATGATAACATTTTTATGAAGATAGGAAAACGTTACATGTTAGTAGATGTAGATCGTCCAGGTTGGTATAGTCCTGAGAAGGACTGTTTTTGTTGTTATTGACTGACGTTTCGACAACCTTAGCGGTAGTCATCTTCAGAGTCAAAACGATCTACATCTACAAACATGTAACAAAACTCACGGGTTCAAACCATTTACTTTATAGGAAAACGTGTTTGTTTGTTTTTTGACTGGAGAGGATTTATTAGTCAACAAGATTAACATGCTAATTTACATTGTTGATATATTCAGGAGACTTAGCATTTTTAGTGCGAAAACTCCATGGATCCTAATGAAGAATTGATCTTCTATACAGAGGCTGGAACATCTTGGACGCAAAGACAGTTGTATTCATTTTTCAAGGTATAAGTAAAATTGTTGAAATCACTATGTATAAAAACGACAGCGTATAGTTTTATTTTTCGAACGTTATTTTTTCATTGTATTTGGATTTCAGGCTATTTTAAATTCTTCCTTGCTATCTATTTGTCTTAAAACAAGTCCTGATATTTGTTTAATTGACAAATTTCTGAAAACCTACTAGGAACATTATATAACAGTAAAATTACAGGTAAAATAAGGTCATTTTGACATGTATGGTTTCTATTTAGATCATGTTAGAAAAGATGAGTCCTGAAGAAAGACGAAACACAATTTCAGTAAACAAAAAGTCGAGAAGTTTTGAAGACATAGAGCAACAAACAGGAATAGTCATTGATAAACATGTTACGAACTCATGTATTCTTAGGGATAATGAATGTCACACAGTAACGGAAGTTGATAAGGCTGTTGTTGACGATTGCAATAAGAATGATGAAACAAGTGACGATTTTGAAGATGCTTCCGGAAATGATGAAAGTACAATTGGGGATATTGATGATGATGATAATGAATATGATAATGAAAGGTCTGACGGTTCACAGGGGGACAGTGACGATAGCAGTAACGAGGAAGAAGATCCATGTTTAAACTATAGTTAGTGGATATATGATTAAAAAATCGGGGGCGGCGGTGTATTTACAAAATTGTTTGCATCATGAGTTGATGTATTTTCCTTTTTGTTAATGTTGCAGTTGATCTCCAAAAATTACCCAAACAATGGAAGCAAATTTTAACAAGGTACTCTACCAGTTTCTAAATGAAGCATCATATCATAAACCGACGCGTGAAAACATCAAAGGCGGTTTTATATTCATATGAGAATGTCTGTTCATTGAAAATTAACTTTTGTCTGTGGTGATTTTACCGGTGATTTCACACTCTACTAAGAAATGCATTTTAAATATTCTTGTAATTATTTCTAAATCAAACTAATAACGAATGTATTCTGTTAAATGAAATTTCGAAGGAATTAATGTCATAAAAACTTCATTCTACGCAAGAGATCGTTTATAAATACGTTTTTTTCATCTAGGGCAGTAGATGTGTGTGCTAAGAAGATAGCAAATTTATCGAAGGAATTATTGCAAAAAGTTCACACGACACAAGACATTCAACGAATTGAAATGGTCAAAAATATATCTCAAGGACAACTAGCTATTTTCCATAAGGTTAAGGAGATATTATATTGTGAATTGCAATAATATGTTCTGTTCTGTACTTATCTGACATATATCCATCAACACAGCACTGTGGATAGAGCTCGATAAAGAAAAGGATCATTATGAGAGTCAACTCTAAAAGTAATAAAACTGAAATTACATTTTCATTTCTCAAACGTTACCCAGTAGCTAAGTAGTTGACGTTAGTGTTTGTATAGATCGTCTGTTCGTACAAATATACTCTTTAGCAAGAGTACGACTACGACAACGAGTACGAAGTTTGACCGTGTGGAATAGTCTAAACAACAGAACAAGTAAAACACGGAAGTTTATCTATTTGTCAATAATGATATCAACAAATCGGTAATACTGATTTTGCAAGAAGATAGGACTCTTTAGACTGAGAAATCTTCACTATTTTAAGTTTTATGTACAATATATTTGTACTATTTTATTGTTTGTTTACCTTTCACTTTGCGTAAATACATGAAAGTTTTGCAGGTTAATGTACATCTGCGCTCAAAAGGTTCAAAGCCTGATGCTCGAAAATAGTACTGTAAACTAATTTCTTACAGAATGAAGAAATATACCTACTTTGGACATCGTAGTCGCGACTACTTTACAAAACATCTTACTGAGATTGATGACGGCTACGTGTTTTTGTTGGCGCAACAATGTTTTCGCGCCGAAATGACGTAAATCGTACTCGTAGTCTTACTCGTAGTCTTTGCTAAAGCTCTCTACTATACGTTTTGGACTACGAAAGCTGCACAATTTTTCCTCGCAGATGAATGTAAATGACTACACAACTTTATTTTTTACTACACAACTGTAAATTTTCATGATGAACAATTTTGCCGCTAATAAAAAATCTCAATCTCACAGGTGACTCCTGTACTGTCTAGTTCATTTCTCAAAATGAAGACATAGGGAACACTAGCTACTACTTTGTTTTCATAATAAAATTAAAAAACTCTTTATCAGAGACAAAAAATTGACTCGCCTCATTTCATTTGTGTTTGGTTCAGAACCATCAACGTATTCATATATTTTTTCTCGATAGAAACGTTTTTTCTTTGATAAGTTTACAACACAAAAGTCGCAAATTATGGTAGCCTAGGATGAAAAATAATTACCATATGAGACATTTTTACTGCTGCTAAATTTTCAGACAATAATCTCTTTAAAAACATGTTCTGGTAAATACTTGAACTTAAAATCTGGAGAAATATTAAATGCATATTTACTAAGCTCAACAAGGCCAATCCTGCACCAAGATTTCGTAAAAGCGGAACGATGTCAAACTTGCGGGCCTAAAATTAGATAAGCTGCAAGTTTTCTACCTTTTAAAGGTCGAAAAAATATTGCGGCATCTGGTCGTGTAAAAATCATTCATTCACTTTCCCGACCAAGAAAACAAAACTTAATTGTCTACCTTCGCATCGACCAATATAACAAATCGAATGCCGTAGGCTTTTATCAACGTTCTGTATTGTGTATTATTTTCCACATCAAATCTTGCAAATCTGAAATAGGAGAATTAAAATTTTTTTATTAAAAAGCAAAAATGGGTGTTCAAATCAAACTTGGTTTCAAGAAAAGAATCATACAGTTGTAACCTGAAGTTATAACCTTTAGCAATCTGTACGTTAGGATCGTCAATCCTGCAAAAATTACAAAAGTGCTTAAAGTAAGGATTTCAACAGAAAACAATAAATATGTTGTAAGCTCATACAGAAATGCAACAGTTCATCTTTATAGCTACATATTTACATTTTTAATTCAATTTTGAAAAACATAAACGTATGTTTTCTAGTCAAGATATATCAAATTTAAAATTGAGCAACTATAATTGATTTTTACTGACGATGAATCCGCTACTAATGCTTTTTTTTTCAAAGAACGGATCCTTTATACCTAAAAACGAATAATAAGGTTGACAATTCCTCACACCGAAGTCAAAATCACAATCCCACTTGATATTGATCCCGACAACACCACCCTATAATGACAACAGTATTTAATATGTAAATGCGGAAGATGGGGAGAAGAACTTCAAGATGCTCAATATAATATTTCAAGAATGTTTTAACGACAACGGCAAAAGTTTTCCTTCAATAATTTTCAATTAATCAATGCTTCTTTGAACATGATATTAATACGCTTTAAAGTGGCTTTGATAGATAACATGGCAAAAATCCTGAAACAAAAACCCTACATTGTTTTGCTTGTGTCATTACCGTTCAATCTTGTTTTGCATGCTCACGAAAAGCCAGCAGCCAGAAAATTTAGTCATTTGATATAGTAAATGAGCTTTCAAATAAGTGTAATACCGACATACAATAATTCAATGTATAACAATGACCTTTATTGCAGCATCGGAAAAAGTTGTGTCATGAATCTCGTCAAAGATGTTTTGCAATTTGAATATAGGACACAATCGATCCTTAATCCCATTCGTTCCAATTTTGCCATAAGTGCACTGCCTTAAATATGTCTCATTCTCATGATCATTAATGTTTCGTCTATAAATAAAAACATAACAAAACCTAGTGTTGTCTTAATTAAAGAGCACAAGCGCGATAATTCTCTTTCTATACTCCTTAAGGCTGGCATTTTAAGATTGTCTTAAAAGGGAATTCAACGTAAAATTGGCAATATAATTATACAATTCAACTCTACTACTTCCATAATAGCTACATAGTTGGATTGAAGTTCAGCTTAATGCAGTCCCTGTTAATGTTGCTGTTGCTATTGACCTCGATCGAAATGAAGATTGTGAAATTTTATGAGAATAGAGAGCATGTGTAGTCTATTCATTAGGAATTTAGACTTGCTCTAGTAAGTAAAACAATGATGATCGTCCAAAAGAACACACAATATATGCGAGTGAATAAAGAGGATCCACGTCGATACAATAGGCAGACATAGATGGAGGCATAGGTGAGACCATGCCGAAACATAAAACCGTACTTGGAAAAATATCGTTATGTTGAAAAAAAAATCGTTCGACTGCAAAAAAATAAGTCCACATTCTTTGATTTATAATTCACTGCATTTTTAAATAATTAGCTTCAGTGATAAAACTGGATTAACATGAAAATTACAGACAGCATTATACCACACTACAAGCTCCATAAACAGCATAAAAGATGGCGGAGATTATACTTACACACGAACACCAAAAGCAGGAAATAGAACGCTGTTTTTGACAAGAATTGTGAAGTCAATGGCCTCTTTCAACAAGTATTCGGAGCTAGAATTCACAGAAGTCAAACTTTGTTTAAGCTTGGTTTAATGTTGTACCTTCAATTATATCTAGTCAAACACAGATTGGGAAGAAATTTTAGCTAACGTTTGTGTGGAGTTTTTATAATGTTGCAACTCAAGCTCTTGTAAATTCCAGTCTGGTTTATCAGACGTTTAACTATAGAGTTTTGTAAAATCTCATCTAAAGTCTTCATCAGGAGTGATTTGATGTTGAAACTACAGTCTTTATATACTCAAATCTTGTGTTTCAACAGAAGAGACTTCATGTTGAAACGTAAGTGTCTATATATAAACTCTCTTCATTACATAAGAGTTAAAGAGTAGTCTATAGTATTAAAGTGCATGTCTGTGTAATAAGTACTTTAGTGCACTAATATATCTTAAACAACTTAAATTTTGCTCAAACCTGTTTAAACGATGTCCAAAGTTTGTTCCAGGCATGGGTAGTTGATCATATTCCACAGGACACCATGCATAAATTTCACAAACATTCGGTTTTTCTGCGTCGTTTACAAAAGGAGGTCTGTCAGGTTTTACACACCTGCCAGTCATAACACCTAAAATTTATAAAAGAAAACAAATTGAAGAACTGTGGCAAAATGAACTGATTGATTTTGTTCCAAAATATACAACTAGAACACTTTCTTCCAGCTCAAATGGATGTTAAGTCTGAATTTTAAAAAAATGCTTTAAAATCCCTCAAATGATTGGATGTACGAAGAAAAAGACTGGGACGGACAATACTGGTGTCTTCAGGCAAGCTTCGTATCCTTAGCAAAACGTCACATGTTAATTCAGGATTAGGGATTTATTTATTTACAGTTGCTGCAAAACATACCGTGTCCATTATCAATAGGCTTGTTAGCAACACAATGTGTGTCATTCTGACATTTGGCATCCTCGTACTCATCAAGCTCGGGACACGTGCCTTGTTGTTGTCTAGGAGTGATTATCATGTTGGTCATTATAAAAACGACGTCATTTTCCTTTAAAAAAGAAATTTTGAATTTCAAGTTGATCATTTCCGTTTGCAATAAGATTTTCGCTAATATACTTTTGCACCATAGCTAGCCAGAGTTTCTCTTATTGTGAAATGATATGATTACAGCATTCTTTCCAATACTTTAAAAGCTTTGCTGAGTAATAATATATATTTTTTATATTTTTTTGCTGAGTAATTTAAGGACATGTTTGAAATGTTCCATTGATTTATTGATTAATGCAGTTAAAAACGCTTTGATATCTTAAGACTGAAGAAAAAAGATAAGCTTGTACATATGTAGTGTAAAGGAAAATCTATTGTTAATTTAGAAGTTATTTTCAATATTAAATAAATAAGAAAAAAATAATGCAAAAATAAATGTTTGGATTTTCAGAGCTTATGAATTATTTTTCAATTTGAAAGACTTATCTGATGCATGCTTATTTATGTGTAGTCATTTAAATCTTGATGTAATTTTTTAAATTTTTATCTCTATTTCGCACATTTAGCAAAATATTAACATATTTTCCCGTGTAAACATACACAACATACTTGATGAGGTATTACATAGTCTGAAGAATCCCAATTTCTTGGACCGTCAAACAGGATATTTGGCTTACTCTCGTTGCCAATCTTGATGGGAAACTGAATGGACAAATTGGTGAAAGCTGTTCCTTTGACTTTTGTTACGACTGAACTGAGTCCAACATCCACAGATTGATAGCCTTTCTTGTATATGATAACATAACTGGTCATTAAAAAAATCGAATCAAGGTTCTGCTCATTCCATCAATAAAATGTGTTGCTTTGGGGAAACTATATGATAACTGGCCGATTTGGCAGACAAATTTTGGGCCCTTCTATAAATTAAAACTTGTATTTTCATAAAAATGCACTAGTATGCATATTTACCGTGAAGCAATGCTCATTAAGTGACACGTTTCCCCTGCCCAAGACATGGAATTTATTTTAAAAAATCGCCGTAGTAGAATCATTACAATGCAATGGTATGTAGCCATGTTGTATATTGATGAATGATGAAGTGAGTAGAAATGACAGAATGCAACAAACATAAACATTTCAACATAATTTAATGAGAAAAAAAACAACTCACAATAAAACATATCCAATGATAGCCAGTTGAATTGCGCGATTTAGAAAACCAACTTTGTTATTTTTGATATGAAGAACTTTTCCTGTGTTGTATCCAAATAGGCGAGAAGCAAAAACATTACAAGCTTTGGTCGAATTCATCATGATTAAAAGAAAAAAAGGATTTTTGAGACGTTCACCGTAAAATCCAATGTCAATGTATCGAGATCTCAGGTCAACCGAATAATTTACCCTGTTTCGATTTTATTAAAAAAACCAGTTAAGTGAAGCCTATTCTATCGGTTCCACTCTCTTGTCGACTATTCTTTGAAATTTTCTTCAACGTTTGAATACAGAAAATTGATAACATAAATATGTTCTGTACAGCTACCAAGGTGAATGGGCGCAGTAGAGAAAAATCAGCATGAATTATTGACATTATCTGAAAACATTCTCCTAAATTACTCTGCAATTAATAAATATTTTCATTTCATTGGGTCTATATATTGTAATAAGCCAATTAGAGGATACGTTTCTAATAAAACCTCTTTAGAACTTTTAAGCTTTCAACAATATGGCAAATTAAAGTTCGACATGAAGTCTAACACTGAAAACATATCTGAAATAACGATAACATGGTGTTAAAAAATTTTAAGCAAACACCTTTGAATTCTAAAACGAAAACTGAAAAATATTTAATCTTCGAAATCGAAAATCCTCCCTCGAATTGTGAACCCCCTGCAAATTGAAAATCGAAATATTCAAGCCACCACCTGCGAGCCTCATTATATCACAACAAATTTCTGTTGACTTCATATCCACAAGTTTGAACTAAGTTATAATTTTTGCAAACCATAGAAACAAACGAAATAACTGAACTCATCTTATCAGATTAACAGAAAGTCATAAAAATATGACCTTTATTCTCTGTTGCCTTAACATTTACTTAAGTCCAAATTTCTTTAATAGAAAAGAAAATTTTGATATTGGTGATCGCAATGTATATAAGTACAAAGAATTATGATCGGACACCTAGAAGCAGGCTTTAAAAAGTTTACACATGACGCATTTTAATTCACTAATTTTTTCCAACGGGTTTTATTTGGCTTTTTATTGCACATATTTTTGTGTCACACCACTAACTTGCAGCTCATTTACAGTCATTTTCTTAATTTTTCTGCTTTAAAGTCTTCCATGTTACCCCATTCTAATTTTAAGATGATTTTTAACATATTTCATGTAAGGAATCGCTTCACTTTCAATACAAATTGGAAGAGTTTTTTCAAAACAAATAACAAAAGTACTGCCATGCGATAAGAATAGAATATATTTCAACTCTTCATTCTATTATCTTTTCATTTACAAAGAAACATTGCTGATTTAGGTTTTCTAAATGGAGTAATACTGATACGATAGATACTGAACTTCTGTTCCACTAAAAACATTAGGCTTTTCAGTTTTTTTCAAAGAAGACTACATTATTTCTACACAATATATACACGTGAGTAAGGCAAGCACGTGAATAATACTATCACTATTCTGAAGTTACGCTTGAGTCTAAAAACACAATAAAATTTTGAATAATTGAATGCAAGATTGTTTTGAACAAGTCAGTTTCAGCACTAAACTTCACAATTATAAATATGACGAGGCAGGAAAAACACAAAAAACATCGACACTTATTTTTGAACAAGTTGCTGACTTTGAATAGCAACGATAAAGCCAAACAAAAGTAGACGATCGAGAATTGCTGCCAAATTATGTTTAAATTTTTCAAGATAGATATCAAATGGAATACGACGCAGTTGGTGAAAACGATCAATAAACGTCAATAATGTGATAAAATATCACGACCATCCATTTTGCTGGATAATTCAATTCTCCGAGATGCAAAAAATGTTCGACAAAAACAAGAAAAAATCCTTTGAATTAAAAAAGTCTTCTTATGCATCTATGTGCAATTAATCGTCATTTAACTTTCTTCACTGAAGGCTTCATAGTTATCTCTATTCTTAGGAGATCTTTGGGTATTTTGCATCTACAAAATATTGTAAGGTGTGTTTCGGGTTTCCAATCAATTTTCTTCAAGAGTAAGTTCATTTTTAAACTCGAGTCCTTTAATAATCTAGTCAGTGGCGGATCCAGTGTACCTCAAAATAAATTATAGCTTCTCAATTTTAAAGTCAAATTACATTTCGAAAAAAGAATATAATTTTCTAAAAATACAACTTTGCCAATGAATTTGCCTCTAAGGTGTTTAGAAATGTAAATATACGCCTCAATGTGCTGCAGTAATATATTTTGAGATACTCTAAATCCGCCACTGAAGCAATATAGTATCTTCATCAGAAGTGATTTTATTCTTTAATTTGAGTCCTTATAGAACCCAGTCTAGCGTCTTCTTCAGGAGAAATCTCGTTTTCAAACTTGAATCCTCATATACTCCTGTCTTTTGGCTTCATAGGAATCAATAAATATTGAAACTGAAGTTTTATGTTTAACGTACAGGTAAACTTGCCTTGTCGTTGCTACTGCTGGCGTCAGGATCATCCACGTATTGATATTTTTTCGTCCGATAAAAATACTTCTTTTTTAACAGGTACAGTACAAAGATGTCACACAATATAGTTGCCTTGCAAAAAAAAGGAAACGTCTATAGAAACGTGGAGCCGTTCGCTTTATGTTAAAAAATCCCACAAAGCCCTGTCGTATGGCAAAAGCCTAAAGGCTGTCGTAATGTTGTCGATAGCTTTTTAACTATAACTATCTTGAATAAATATTAAAACGCCTAAACTCATCGTTTTCTAAATTTTTTAGTTAAATTTTCTTCAGGGAGCTGAAGTAACTACTATTCAAAGAGTGGACACATTTTTTTTCAATATATGCAAGATTATCGCGAAACAAAGTTGCATTAGGGAGTTAAGTCATCGTTAATTCTTCCAACAAATGTGTGCTAAGCGTATCAAATCAATAATCGCAAATCTCGATACTTTTATCGTATTTTGGATTATCAAAGAGATTAGGAATTTTTTCTATGTATACTGGTATTTACTATCAGTTTTATATCGCAACATAAGTACAGCATGCTGCCAAATTATTCACTCTCTATCCCTAACATGTAACAAATCTGATGCAAAAATTTGCCTACAGGATAGATTGTCAAGACGGCACATGAAGTGACGCCATGATGAACCTTAGTCAAAGTGAAACACCTCTCTTACCTTAATTGAATGTTAAAAATTTCATAATATTCTGTAACATATACTTACCACACTAAGTAAGGCCAATCCGGCGCCCAGATTACGTAATAATGGAATTATACTGAACTTTCCAGCCTGTAAAGTTAATTAGCAACTCATTTTTAAATTTCTTTGACATTCGATCACAGAAAACATGTTTTCACATATGAATATTTCTTCGTAGCTATATCTTGAGACAGAAAAGAAAGCAAATCAAAAGTACTTTTTTGTACAAACAATCCTATTTTGTGAGAGCTCACTCTTCAGGTTAAAAATACTCAATCTCCAGTTTATCGAAAAACATAAACCTTCAATTTTGTCTCTTTCAAGAATAGAGTACTTTCTAATCCTGTAATTGCATACTTCTGACTAAGATACAAGCACAAAAAATTTTCGAATCTAACAGAAATATCCCTCTTTCAACTCTCAAGCCAATGAATTCCGTTGCTGATAATTAATATACAGCATTGAAAAAATATCGCCAGTCCCATACCTTCGCATCGACTAATATAACAAATCGAATGCCGTATGCTTTTATCAACGTTCTGTATCGTGTATTATTTTCCACATCATATGATGCAAATCTGAAACAAATGGACATTTTATTCAGTAAACTTTTGTAGTGTGCTAGTTACGTGCTGTGGAGGTTCTACTCAAGGAACGTATTTTTAAGGGTTAGTAGAAGGCAAAATATACAGACTAGTTTTGTATTAAAAAACATGTTGACAATGATTTTTAATACAAAAACGATTTATGAAGAAGATGAAGTAAGGTAAGAATCTATTATTACCTGAAGTTATAGCCTTTGGCAATTTTCGCATCTGCATTATCAACCCTGTTCAAAGAAAACACAATTCAACATTTTGTAATAAAATTAAGATATTTGTGTCAGTTACGGTTTTGGTACAGAAAAATTTCTATAATTTCATTGGTGTAAAAAAGGTATTAGAAGATGTGAACCAGGACCAATAGGGTTACAGAATTTCTTCGACAGGAGCACGCCGTATCCAAGCATACAATGATGATGAATACATAGAAATATTCTTGCACCTGCCAAATGAGTATTCCGGTAGACACTCATGGACATCATGATCCAAATTACAATCCCATTTTATTTTGATTGCAACGATTCCACCCTAAATAAAACGTTGAGAATTTTGAAACATTTTCATGACGTATGTCTCAGCCGCAGATATCTACAAAAGTGATAATCGTTTTTAAAATGCTTTCAAGGAATTTCAGTTCAAAAACAATCTTTCAATGAAAACATTTCAAGAACAATTAAACGACCTCTCATATACAACCTTTCATGAACATTTTTTCATTTATAACCTTTTATGAACGCATCTTAATTCATGTCTTTTCTTTCCTTAACTTACCTTGATTGAAGCGTCTTCAAAAGCGATGTCACTAATTTCGTTGAAAATTGTTCGCAAAAGAAAAATGGGACACCATCGATCGATTCCTGACGACTTGTACTTGCATCGCTTCAAATACGTTTTGTTTTGCTTGTCGTTGATGTTTCGCCTAAAAGAGGAGATAAACATTTGGAAGTTATCGTCGTACTAGTGTATCTGAAGTTGATTTCCATTTATATACAAGAAAATGAAGATAATAATCGTTTCAAAATTCGAATTTTCCTGCAATTTTTCACTTTTTAACTCTTGGTCTAAAATAGAAATCGCAGCCAAGATCGACCTAGTTTAGAATCCATATAAGAGCATATTGAACATGCTCAGAAAAGTTGCCGCAATATGTAGGAGAGAGGCGTCTTCATGTATAAAGCAAAATATGGTGTTAATATCTGACCTTAACATTGTTTAAACTGGCAAAAATTCCACACAACGAATAACATAATTATCCTTCATAATCGTTCTAATCCTGTTTTGCATGGGAAAAACACACAACTTACACTGATTTTCCAAATGTAGGAAATTGTACAGTGTTCTTTATGAGAATGGTGAAGTTTATGGCTTCCTTTAGAAGACTCTCATTTCTACAAAAAAATATCATTGAAATCAGAAAATCTGCATCGAGGGTAAAGCTGACGTTCAAATTTCCTCAAATAAAGGTTGATCAGCATTAAATGTTAAAGTTCTTTAATGTTCTAGTTATCGCGCAAAACTTCAGCATTTATTAAAATAAAGAAAATGCAAAGACAAACTTGAGTAAAGGATGTCCAAAGTTTGTTCCAGGCATGGGTAGTTCATCATATTCCACAGGACACCATGCATAAATCTGACAAACATTCGGTTTTTCTGTGTGGTTTGCAGAAGGTCTGTCTGGTTTACACATTTGCCTGTCATAACACCTGAAATAGTCCATATTAATCCTTAAGAGCACGGAGTTTTTACAAATTCATCTATATTTGGCTTCGTAAAATTTTACAACATCGAATTTTTGATGGAGAAAGAACGGAATATCGCGCAAAAAAAAAGAAACGACCAACAAACGTAGTATATTGGCCGAAATCATGAGCAAAACGAAACCTTACCATGTCCTATGTAAACCTCTTTCATTGCAATACAGTCTGAATCATTGTAACACCTCGCATCACTGTAGTGACTATCCTCTGGACATTTGTCTTGCTTTTGTCGAGGTGTGATTATCATGTTCGTCATCACAAAAACGGCGTCATTTTCCTTATCAAAAGTTTATTGGTATTAATTGTGTGCTTAGTCTTGATATGAATGTCAGAAAACAATTAATGAATCATCATAATAAAAAGTTCCCAAGAGTACCCAAATAGATTGCCTGAATCACCAAGAAGCACATCAGCGAAAAAATACACGGTGGAAAGTACGTATATTAATTAATATACCTTCTACAAAACAATAGAAGAAAGGCTGGGAAAATTTTTTCTAAAGATAACCTTAAAATCTATCATTATGAGAGTTTTTGTCACAATTCAAGTACTAATATATAGTTCCACTTTACCATTATTGTTATTCAATATGGGAATTAAGTATTTACCACTAGAACTAGCATTGTTGGATTTATTAAAAAATTTCCTGGGTATATGATCTACACAGTCCTTTTATCACCCATAAAAGCCCTTCTTACACAAATACCACCCATCTAAACCCCTTTTAGTACTGATACCACCAATTCAAACCCTTTTTGTACCAATACCACCTATAAAAAAACCCTTTTTGTACCAACACCACATAACTAAGGCTTTTTGTATTGATATCACCTACCCAAGGCCTTTTGTACCAATATCACCTACCCGAGGCCTTCTGTACCAATATCACCTATTTCATTTCAGCACAAACAGCTAATTAAACTTACTTCTGGTGGAATAACATAATCAGCAGAATCCCATATTCTTGGTCCATTAAAAAGATTTTGAGCCAAACTTTCATTGATAGGAAACTGAATGGACAAATTAGTCAAGGCAGTTCCCTTTAGCTTGGTTGTCACTGAGCTCAGGCCAATTTCAGATAATTGGTAGCCTTTTTTGTATATAATTACATAGCTATATTAACACCAAAACAAAACTATCAGTCATCTTCAATTGCAATTAAGTGCAAGATACTTCCTAAGAAAATGACAGAAGATAACAAAATCCATGTACTTATAAATCAATATATAGCTGTCTTTGCAATCATGTGGTCATTTTCAACAGCTTTCTTTAGGAAACTTTGTGAAACTCGAAAGAAATGTTAAAAAACAATGGGCAATATGATTTATCGCCTAATATATCAAAAATGGGTTATTTCTGAACTTAGAAATGAATGCAGCTGTCAACTTCCAAGTTTGCAAACACTGTAAATGTCTTTGACTTGGTCTCTTGGAAATTTCATGAGTAATAATATTGTTTTGCAAAATGAAGCTAAAAGACAATTGTACTATAAACTTTAGTGTCATTTATTGTACTATAAACACCTTATGTGTCATTTATTGTACTATAAACACCTTATGTGTCGTTTATTGTACTATAAACACCTTATGTGTCATTTATTGTACTATAAATAACTTATGTGACATTTATTTTACCATAAATAACATATGTGATATTTAATGTACTGTAAACATCTTATGCGTTATTTTAAATAGTAAAATTAGAACAACGTTCAGCAGTTCTTTCAGAATTAATGTAACAATTAATTTGCAAACTGTTTACAAGGAAATAGTGCAAGATCAAATCATAATTCACAAAAAACAGTTGTTATTGTGAATGCAATGCAGCTAATAGCAATAACAATGTCTATTGACAGACTATTGTTTACAATACATTGCCACCAAGTTGAGGCCAACATTCGATAATTTATATATTGCTATTGTGCACGAATATGGAAGGAAAAAATTACAAAAAATTGACACTTACCCAATCACATATGCAATGATGGCTAATTGAATGATACGATTAACTAAACCAACTTTCTTGCTTTTTATGTGAACAATTTTATTTGTATCGTATTCCAATACTGCAGCAGCAAACGCTCTACAAGCTTTGTCAAAATTTACCATCACTTTTCGATAAAGAGTGGAAGACTGTGTAAAGAATAGATGGAATGTAGCCGAATGTTACATATACATCATCCATTTATACGACCTCCTTTCGTTTCCGTACTGTATTGACATCTTATGGCCCATCCATAGATTATGTTTATGTAAGGTCGTGGTTGGTTGGTTTGTTCGTGTATTGTAAGCTTATCGTTGATTGGCTCATGCTAATACAGTAAGTGGGTGATAAATCAGGTTAATTAATCCCATTATCAATTAAAATTGCAGAAACCTGACATCCATACGAAACACATTATTTGTTTTTTAATAAACAATCAGTGATCATCAGCAATACTGACAACAGCTAAGAATTACAAAAATTCGAATATTCCAAAAACATTTGCTTCTAAAAAAATTGAATTCGTACAAATTTTACCCATTTTTCAATGAATACTATTTAAGTATACTGAGTAAGCAAATGATGCATAACAAATACGTTCTTTTATCAAAAAACCATTCTCCTAAAGGTAATCCTTTGATTTACGAGGGTACACTCTAAAGAGAAAAAACGTACAAGCATTGCTTCAAAAATGTATCATCTAGAGTGTCAGACGTGGATTAAACAATGAAAGAACGTGCTCCAAAATTCGTGCCACGTTATTGAGAGTTGTTTAAATAAGGAATATCATATTGCATTGCTTCAAAAATGTATCATCTAGAGTGTCAGACGTGGATTAAACAATGAAAGAACGTGCTCCAAAATTCGTGCCACGTTATTGAGAGTTGTTTAAATAAGGAATATCATATTGATGTAAAGTTGATTTATTTTTACAGCATTAATTTCTCTGCAAACCATCATGCACCCTCAATAAATGAAAAAAACAACAACAATACGTTTCAACTTTCTAGATGTAAATCAAAATTTACTTACCACTTCCAGATTGCCCGTTTTTCCTTTCATAATCAAGAGCTGATTACTAAAGAAAGAGTAAATATAACCAGAAAATAAAAAAAAACACATTTAAAAATCCAGAGCCCAGGGGGTGGTTTGGTTTATATCCACAAAGTGACATGGAAAATGTAATCAAAAGTATGGCGGATTTTTGAAAAAAATATTGATAGTTTCAAAAGTTCCAAAATCGACAAATCTACAATCTTTAAACTATTATCCATAATTTTGGTAAGAAGAAGTTATTACAAATCACAACATATAATTTGAGTCCCAGCATGCTTTGCATTTCTCTAGATGCGGATACCTACCCCTTGGAAAACGTTATGTATCCTTTTTTTTCCTTCGGTAATGAATGAGTAATACTACAAAGATTTCATAACACAACAAATATCAGATATCTGACATCAATGCTAGCAAGAAAAAAGTATATGATTTCAAATCCAAACGTCTGTTTTAAATGCATTAAGATTACCTAGATTCTTCAATATGAATTGTATCTTTCATATTTGTAATCATTAACAGTTGCGTCACCGTTTCAATTATTTTAGGGCTGGTGAGAATCCAGTCACCCTAAACATAAAAATAAAGAAGGATTCTTTAGTAACACGACTCACTCAATTGCTCGGTAGAGAGAAGGTAAATTACTATAAGTTATAGAACGTCAGATTTGGTAGAAACAATCTTTCCTCACAAAAATATACTGCGTTAGCCACATGTGTGAGTTAAGCTAAAAAATTGCACAGTTTCATGATATCTCTGACTAGTATTTTCTGCTAAAATTATTATATAGCAAAAAATACAATTATTATATACGTTATATGTACGTACGCATGTCGCCGGTATAGAGCGCGAATCATACATCACAAACACTGAAATACCTTATCCTCTTTATCTTGACAACTTGTATGAAGTATAAAAAGATTATCACCCAGAGAACTGACAGATATACCTGTATATACAAACTAACATCAGAGCAATTGACAACCGAGGAGGAAAGAAATAAGTGATGATCACAATTATCATGCTCTTAGCAAGTCCGCTGAAATAAAGCATTAATTTGATAAAAAAAATATCTGTTTGATCTAGAAAAGGAATTACTTATGACTCTAGAATATGAACACTTAAATCAAATAAACAAAAAACAATACACGAGGATAGCCGAGTCTATTTATTTCTTCAGCATTTAGTTTTACTATCATCAACCAAATAAGTTTACATCAGATGTACATTCATTAAGCAGCAGCAACTTTTCTCATGTTTCAACAAAGCTTTCAAAAAAGCTTATGATATAACTGAAAAGCAAAATGCTTATAAAGGAGTTCTTCCCATCAGGTGGAGACAAAATGTCAAATGTTGTTTTAAGAAACTATAGTTAAGCTTTTGTGCCTTTAATAACGCCAATGATGCATCAATAAAATACTGCTTTCTACCTGTCAGTATAGAATGGCTAATTTTTTCTTTAACTTTAAAGCTAGGCGCCTCAACTAAATAAATGGCCTAAAACACAAATAAAAAATAAATCGTCAAACGAGGCGTTGAAAAAAGCAACAGTATCTATGCACTGTTCCAAAGAGGTAAACTTCCCTAGGTAATTTGCTATCTCGAAAAAATTTTCAGTTGAACTTAGTGAAACTCTAACAAGCTATCAACATACAATATGTGTTCATAATTGCATTTTCATAGTCCGTTAAGAATGATAAATAACCATTTATCTCACCTCATTGGTTGCTATCAAAACACGTGATCTTGCTTTATAACCATGACGATCGTACTTAACAACTTCTATGCAATACTGTGAAAAATAGTCGAGGGCATAGCTGGTTACAATGAGAACAATGAAGATAATTGGAGCATTGAAGCTCCATTAATGAAAATAGCTGTCCCAGGAAATTTTGAAAAAGTTGAAAGAGCCTAGAAGAAGGGTCATGTACCTTAGTTTCTTCACGACCTTCACGTGAGTTGTCAAATAGATTTTTCTTTGCTGCTTCCAGAGTCGAATCTAGAAACATTAACATCATGAAACTCGAACCTCATGTGTGTATCAAAGATCATCTGGTGATGTAACTTTCACACTTTGGTGTATCGTTACTAACTGTGCTGTATTCTGGAATGATCCGACTTTTAAACTTAAATGCTTATATACTTCAATTTAGCTTCCTCAATAACAACGATTTGATATTGAAACGTGCATTTTTATTTACTCCAGTTTAACATCTTTATATCAGGGGAAGCACAAATCACTCGAGCATAATTTTATATCAGCAAAGTAACCAGCAGCAGAGTAACCTTGACTACATACAAACGAAGGGTGACAATAATATCAATTCCTCATACCTAATCTGTTGAACACGAAAGGCAGTGAAACGCTCTCCTCATAACAAGTCTTTTTCCCTTTGAATGTCTCACTAGCTGCCAATTTCATCGTCAGCTGAATAAAATAAACCACAATGGAGTAAGAAGTGTATAACTTGATCTTGTTAATGTTACTTTGTGTAATTGTTTAAAACATAGTTTTGCTTTCGCCATAGAAACCACGACTATAAATTTCTAGACTTAATAAGTATAAATTCGCGAGAAAGACGTAAATATACAGCGTTAGCTACAGTTCAATTACCTCACCTGTGTTTTTCTTTCTTCTGACAATGTTCGGACATACTTTCTCACCAAAATTCGTGAGTGCAGACTCCGCAAGAGATCAGAAGCCTTGAAAACATGTTGTTGTTAAGTCTTACACACAAACAAGTAGGAAAATTTCTGTCATATGCAGGAGAATAACATGAACCAATTCTTGTGTGTGGGTGTCTGCAACACCACAAACTAGACATTAAGCAAAGTGCGTAGTTTGTTGATACGTGAAGATATCGTTGGAAAATAAAATCGATAAAAACGCATAAAGCTGAATCGTTGACAACGAGAGAGCAACAACAAAACGAAATTCTGAAGGCAAAGTTTCACACCTCTTTAACAGCTGGCGGTGGAGTGAGCCAAGATTTATCCAAAACATTTTTTGGAAGGTTTCTTGACAGTTCACCCAAGAACCATTTTCTTGTACAGCATATAAACTTTACACGAAAAAAGTAAATTAAAAGTCATTAATTGACCATGATAAATCACTAGTTAGAAAACGAGTGGAAAAAAAGTTGTTTTACCCAAGCATTTTCCTCGCAAGCTGGTTCATTACGCATCATGAAACCTTTTATGAACCTATGATAAAAGTGTAAAATTAAGAAATATGTTCATTACTGAATGGTTTATTGATCGACAAAGTACAAGCAAATGACATGTTAAATTAAAACACAAACATAGTTTGACGTAAAAGATAAGAAGTATGGAAGAAGTAGACGTGTTGCACGGCCTATAAAGAATAACCTTCACATGCGTGTACATCGACAGATCAGTTACTAAAGAAATCAAGTAAGAGATTTTTTATACTTCATCATCATTTCAAACCTACTTTCTAATGGCAACAGCAGCCCTTTTCCGTTTCTCCTTCAATCTTTGTGCAACCACACGACGCCAATGCGTAGCAATAAGTGTCACAGCATTTTTCATTATAAAAAATCGTTTCTTTGCACTGAATCCACGAAAGGTTTTCTGAATAACCGTTGCTAAAACAGATAAAAATAAGAGTCAAAATATTACTATACATTTTTTACGTTATTACAAGGAAATGTAACCACAACATATTACACAAGATATGTACCTATATGTATATGTACCTATATAATGTTTTTTGTGCTGAAACAGATCTTCAGTAGTGAACAAAGTCTGAGGATTTCTGATGAATATTTTTGTTCTACAGTGAATGAAAGATAGAGGTGAACTTCGGTTATTCTCAGTCAACAAAAGTTCATTGGAAATTTTTTCAATAGGAAGTTTCTGACTGTTTTTAATACATTAAATATTTTTCGTGTAAATATTGCTATCGTAAAAATATTAGCAACAATACTGAAAAATAGACATACTTTCCCATTTTATATTCTTCATTTTTGTATTTAAGATGCTGACAAAGCTTTAGCACGCCATCTTTTGCACTTCCTGCATGTAAAAGAAAGACGGGAAAAATTATTACTACCCAGATACGGTAGCTAAATAATGTTTACGTATTGGATCTAATGAACTCCACATTTTTAATTGAATATGTTGATTAAACAAAATAACAGTTCCCAATGACTTTCTTTCATTCATATAACGAATTACAAGGTCTTGAATACCAACACACCCCCACCCTGATATAACAGGATGACGCACTGTATCCTCATTACCCTAATGGTTTTCATTTCCATGACAAAATATGCCTGGAATCCTTAACCTAGATGGACTTTAATGTGTTTCTAACAATTATAAACATTAATGGAAAGTGATAAAAAATTTATTATGATTTATAAGCGCCTTACCTTCCCAGACTGGCCACGTTTCAGGACATAAAGCTTTGTACCTGATATAGAAAATTGACGAAATTACTTATTTGCTTTGTAAATTCACACATTATAAAATGCATAATGCTAACATATCAAACATTTTATAATGAATGTATGATAAGACGTGCGTGATGTACAAAGTTTACAACAAGTCATGCAAAGATATCATTTTTTCCCTTTATTTTTCTTGTACCTTTCAAGAAACACCTTATGATTACGTCGATATGCGAAACCAGCTCTTCGCACTCGTAAATTTTCCATTAAACCTAAATACTTTACTTGATGATGAATCAATTTCTCGTCAAAATTTCCTGTAAAAACACATTCACACATTTATAAAACATAACATGATTGGCTCTCAGTATTACAGAAATATAATTGATCGACATCTATATTTACATAATTTAAACTGATCTATTGTCAAAAAGTAATCCAAGCGTAATGAATTAGTAAGCTGTGGCAGGAACGCATGTGTATAATGTGTTAAAAGGCCATGAACTTATGTTTACCAGAACGTTTGTGGCAGGAACGCATGTGTATAATGTGTTAAAAGGCCATGAACTTGTGTTTACCAGAACGTTTATGGCAGGAACGCATGTGTATAATGTGTTAAAAGGCCATGAACTTGTGTTTACCAGAACGTTTATGGCAGGAACGCATGTGTATAATGTGTTAAAGGCCATGAACTTATGTTTACCAGAACGTTTGTGGCAGGAACGCATGTGTATAATGTGTTAAAAGGCCATGAACTTATGTTTACCAGAACGTTTGTGGCAGGAACGCATGTGTATAATGTGTTAAAAGGCCATGAACTTATGTTTACCAGAACGTTTATAGTCGTTTGGTTTTATACATCGTACATAAGATGGTTGTTTGGACAGGAGAATACCCATGAGATTGTTTAAACTTGTTTTGAATTGCGTGGCAGCCTAGACAAAAAAGAAAAATATACGTAAAAATTTGAACAATTATAAAGAAAATTCAAAATCCATTGCACTTTTTGTTAAAGAAATCAAAAAAATAAACGCGATTATTGCTATGCAACTTCTTTCGAAAAGTAATGCATGCAACTAGTTTCTGGGTGTATTGCATGAAACTAGTTTCAAGGGTAATGCATGAAACTATACAGTAGTTTCAAGGGTAATGCATGAAACTATACAGTAGTTTCTAGGGTAATGCATGCATCTAGTCTATGGGAGGATTGCATGCAACTAGTTTCTAGGAGGATTGCATGCAACTAGTTTCTAGGAGGATTGCATGCAACTAGTTTCTAGGAGGATTGCATGCAACTAGTTTCTACGAGTTAACTATCGTAAATAACAACGTTAAATTAATTTTTTCACGTGCGTACGTGTTGCAAACAATAGTTATACTTTGATTAGCTAAAAACCAAATAGAAGAAAAGCATTGGGAGGGAAATGTGAACGTGAAAAGAAGAAGACTAGCCTTACCGTGCCAGGACGCTTCTTGCTTTCGATTTCACTTCGGGGAAAAGCACTGGACGCGATGGTGTTCTTACTCAAAGACATTGCCTAAAATGAATGATTGAAAAAATTTAAGCGGTACTAGAACACTACAAAACACTTTTCAGAACATATGTAAAGAGTGAAGAGTGATCCAATTAAAACGTCAAATCCATAGATGTTGTACACTAGTATGTTGTCAAAACACCATTTGCACGTGATTTATTTATTGTAATGAAAACATTAAAGTCAATGTCCCGGATAAAGAGCCAAGATATAAACCAACATTTTGATACATGCCTCTTTAAAATCTCGATAGAGTGGATCGTTATTTTTATCGATGAAACCTACATAGGGAAATAAGAAAGAAAAATTTAGGGGGGGAGACTTGATCAGTAAGGAGGGGCATCGTACAATGTTCTACTAATCCAATCAGTATACGTACCTAACACACTGTACGTGACGTCACCCGCGTAATGTTTCAAACGGAATTCCTAAGTAAAGTAATGGGATAACTAAACAACACAATACGCAGACAAAGTTTTCTAACTTCACAAATTACTGTTTAATAAAACGAGTCTGTCTGGTTTTTTTTGAACAGTTCGTACTCACTTCTCGACCAATATCTTTCCTTCCCTCGTAATCCGACATTTCGTGACTTAAAATGCAAGAATGCAATAAAAACAATCTTGTCAGTCTTTTATGAAATTTCAAATAAAGTTATGATGATAAAAATACTGTAGCAATAAACGGGTACATAAAAACATAGCAAACAGTTGAGGAAGGCCTATTCTTGTTACCTTTACTTTATACAGAGTAGAGAAACATTAGAAAATAAAATCTATCAATGTTTACCAAACAAAATGCTCGTGCTTTCCGATTGACGTAATTAATTTTGATAAGAATGTCATATCAGAAACGTCACCAGGTCTTAGACATTCTTCGTCCTGCACAAAATAAACAGGGACTGTTATGTTACATGAAAATACGACAACACACGCAAGAAATGATGTGCCTGATGATAGTGATTAAACTCAAAAGGATGCTCCTATCTCGTAGGATGAAAATGAAACAGCAAATTAGCTTTAAAATATAAGCCAACAGAAATTAGTTTGAACAGACTTTCTGAGCTAAGAAATTGGTGAAAAAAATCTTACCAGAACGGCAATAATGCCTTTGTGTTTTTCTTCGATTAAATCGCATATAATTTTATTGTTGAAATACTCCACGGGTTCCCACTGAATTACAACAAGAAAAACGGAATTTGACTACGCTTCACAAGTAGCTAAAATCAATTAAGTTAAACATTGCTTTATAGCTTCATTGGCAAACTTTTCACAGCAGATAAAGGGGTTTCCTAAATTTCTTAGGTATATGATTGTAGTATAATGCGTGCCTCAGGCCAAAATTTAATGAAATATAACTACATGGCTTTTACTACACAGTACTACCTCAAAAAGTCAACATACTTGAGGAATGATAATCCCCCCCCCGAAATAGCTATTGCTTTAACATGAGGTTATTGAACTTTGAGCAATTTTCCCCAGAGTTCCCCCCTTCATAGCGATACCATGGGCTATAGTTAGTACGATAAAAAGACAACTACATTAAAATACCTCGATTCCTTCTTTCATATATTCTTCTTGTTCTGATTTTAATGTCAACTCAATGAATAGTTGCTGCAATTTCTCGTTACAATAATTGATGCAGAATTGTTCAAACCTTAAGAAAAATTGGTTCGAGGATAGTGTAACAAAAATGGAACGATGAAAAATGTTTTGCATATTTGACGTGATAAACATGAAGTTACATGTTTGTGAATGTAGATCGTCCAGGTTGGTATAGTCCTGAGAAGGACTGTTTTTGTTGTTGTAATCTACATTCACAAACATGTAACGATACTCCCGGGTTCAAACCATTTACTTTATAAACATGAAGCTTCACGAAATCGAGATGGAAATTGTTTATGAACAAATTTAACAGTTTCAAAATATTTTCAAGATTAACGAATAAATGATCTCACCATCCGACCTTTTGTAATAACATTACGATAAAATACAGAAAGATTTATGATGATTCCAATGGATTTGTTATAAAAATAAGTTTTCACTTCTTACCCGTTATCTTCAAAGATTTCAAAACCATATATATCCAAAATACCCAGAAGTGACGTTTTCCCGAGGTGTTTCTTAAAACACGAAACATGGCTGTTACTTTACAAACGGGTGTTTGATTTATAAAAGGTCTTTTTAAAAAGGAATCTGTCCGTAAATCGAGCTTTGGTTTTAATGGAGGTCTGTTACGTAGTTTTAGCCGAGGCCTGCTTCTTTAAAAGCTCAATTGCTCAAATGCTCATGACATACCTTGCCTTTGAGTGACGTGTTGAGACGCGACACAAGCCAAGAAAATAATCTCTCATATACACCTTTTGACAAAGCATCTCTTGCATACGCAGCTTGTTCCATTGTAAGCAATGTTTGAACCTTTATCAGCAGAAAAAAACACATTGATGATTTTAGATGACTGTTATAAAGAAATGATGAATGAATTATCATAGAAGCATTGTTACTGACATTCGTGCTACTTTCTAACCATGTTTAATAATTACGTAATACAACATTCTCATCACGAAACACGGTAAAGGCAAGTCAATGTAGTTAGATTTACTTTCCTAATAACAATCAATTCCAATTTACATTTAGTGCAAGGCGATAGTTACAAAAACCTTTTCTCCTTTCACGTCAACAGTGCGATGTCGAAATGCTTTCTTCAAGCCATTTTCAGGACATCCAAGCAACTATGTATAAATGACAAGGTAACAGATAAGTCATCACAAAAATATCTTATCACTTGTGGCAAGTGATATGTCACTCCTAATATTGATATCATGCAGGCTTATTTTCTAAACCTTTCGAATAGTTGTAAGTCATCATTAGGAATGAATTAAAATGCATACTAGACCAATACACAGGACTCAACATAACATCACTCTTGATGACGATATTACATACGTAGAACTTTTTGATGAGCTTAAGTTGAAGAATTGACATTTTTCATGATAGAGCTGAGAAGTTAACCACAAAATATTGGTTCTTTCGGTCATTTTTATGCACCAAAAACTTTAAGAACCAATAGTTTTGGCATTATTTTTCTGTTTAACTCCTGCAGCATATGTTTAAAAATAATAACATGCTGGGAGATCAAAATAATTCAATTCCTTGTTTTTACACGAAAAGAGTTCCCTTAGGCATTATTTCAAAAAAGAAGACAAGAAACAAGTAAAATTAAAGTGTGCAGTCTGGATGTGTCAGAAAGCAAACAGCGCGCAGTACATGGTAATGTCATAGATCTGCAAAAATACCTATAAAACATACGACCTGTCATTGTCATAATCAAAATTGAGTTAGTACAGCTTAGGTCTATGATGAAGACACAAGACGAAAGTACAAAACTAAAGAAGGTAAGAGTAATAGCCTTATACGTATTCTTACAAGAAGATAAGAGAAGAGAGGAATCTATACTTTTACCTTTGTAACAATTATCACTTCATTATCATCAACAAGCGTTACTCCTTCATTGGCTACTTTAAAATCAATGTTACCAACATGAAGTATGGATGCAATAATTGCAAATAAGTCATCTTGCTCTTCACTAGTGAAGTCAATGACTTTGAGAGCATCTTTAACAATCTGGAAGCCTTCTTCGTCTGTCAGGTTTCTAATGACAGATACATCACCCTAGTATATAAAATATAAAACTTTTATAAAGTTTACGCCATTAAGAATGAGTTCAAAGTCTGAATTTGGTGTAAGAACAAAAACAGCATCAAACAAGTAGTGAAAATAGGAAAGAAAGGCAATTCATCAAATGATCCATGTTGCGCATTTGTACCTGATTCAAATACTTATATTCCTCAGGATCTCTTTTCAACTGTAAACGTTCCAATTCTTTATTATCAGCACCACGAAGCAGTTGATAAAAAATGTGAAAGTTTTGCTCTCCTGGAAATTATTAAAACACTTGCAGCTATTAACACAACACCTTGCTCATTAACGTGGTAATTAACTAAAATTTCTCTTATGCAAAATGCATTTCACTTCGCAATAATCAAATACCTTTACACTGATGAACAACTCGAGATTTCTCAAGCAGATAGTTAATAATATGACCTCCAATTGGCGAGCCCTGATGAAAGACAACACAGCATTTTAATAGAAATGAATCTTGATAGACAACTGATTTTACATTTCTAATCTTCACCTTAAAATCAAATTGGATATCCATATACTTTCCAAATCGACTTGAGTTATCATTTCTGTTCGTTTTGGCATTTCCAAAGGCCTAAAAAGATCAACTTAGATATTTCAGAATGGTTTGTAGACATTTCTTGTTGAACTGCTTCAACTTTGTAGCATGCAAAGAATAAAGAAAACATTCCATATGGTATCATTAATAATAATTGATGGAAAAGATTTTTGTTTGTTAACTGTTTAAAATATCAATAAAATGTTGCTACAAATTCTCCTTGTCAGGTCATCAGATTGCACACTTAAATACGTGTCTTACGTACCTCCAATAATGGATTTGACTTTAGGAGTTTATCTTTGATACGCTTAACATCAGAAGAATAAGGACTGATGGCAGCAAGGTACTGAAGTATCTTCTTCGAAGCCTCTAAAAATTGAACAAGCAAAGGTCATATAGCTGAAAGACTATAGCTTACCCAACAAAATTGTATGACATTTAACACTTACCTGTTTTACCAGAGCCTGATTCACCAGATATAAGCACACATTGGTCAAGTCTTTCTTCTTTCATAGAATGGTAGGCTGCATCTGATATAGCATACCTAGGAATTCAGGGAAGAATTTTTGACCCAACTATACACTCACAGCCCCTCTTTCTGAGAGCAGTTTTAACTGCCACAGCATGGAGCCAATTAAAAATTATGTATGTAGGATACGAGTACTTTCATCGGGTTTTATTCAGCAAGCAAAACAATAAAGGGCTTGACCTGGTGGGATGTGCTTTGCACCATATCAATTTCAAATATCATTTATCATTTAAAGCCATCTTAACTATCTCAGACAAAGAGCTCATAGCTGAAGACTTATCTCACTGTTTTTAATAGAATGGCATACCTTCTTTACCCAAAAGTCAGTTGAGTGCATAATTAATACATGCTTGGAAAATTTGGGATAAATTTAACCAAAATAGGAGTGTGACTAAAGGTAGTAAATACTTTAATTGGTAATAATAACTGCACCCATTTTCAACAATCAAATAAAATGAAAACATCCTGTAGATTTTTATCGCAGATTAATGAGTTTCAAGCCTTGAGGTCATAGATAATACCTCGTCACAATAGTCAGAAACCTCAGAATTTTTATAGCTAGTCGAAAAAAACGCAAAACGTATGTTCTTACCATCAACAGCAAATCAAAAAGGTGAACATTATTTAAGACTCTAAAATTTTTAGACTTACACATGCGGAGGCTGTTCGTACAAATTCACTCCTCTATACTGGTCGATCGCTTCATTTGAATATATATTTAAACTCTTGTATGGATTCACCGAAATGACAACATTTCCAATATAAGTCTAAAATAAACAAAAACCTTAAATTTTTCTATAATAGTTTCAGATAATTAAGGCCAGAGCAGAGCCTCCTCTTTACGTGTGAACAATTTATTCAGTTTTTGTAAACACTAAACTGTAGAGTTTTATTACAAATATTTTAATTGCTGCTGTATGAAACGAAGAAATTTGATATTGCAAAGTAAAATCGCGAGGAATGTTATATTTAGTAAAACAATGTTAATGGAAAACAAACCAATTATACCGCCTGTCATTTTTTGGATCAAATCGTGTTCATTCGACGGTATTGTACGAATTTAAATCTCCCAATAAATAATGCATATTTACATTATTGCATAAAGAGATGTTAAAGTACAAATATAACTTTTAAGCAATTAAAAAATTTCCACAATTCAAACAACTAAAAAAATTCCACCACTTCAACTTACTAGACCGGCAACATATTTCCACACTATATATATCAAATTAAACATTTGAAAATTCTCGGTCGGTTTTACACTTACATAAATCAGATCGGCTTTGTAGCGTTTTCTTAAATTATCCACAAATGCATCAGGATTTTTAAAGTCTTCCAAAAGAACAAAATCTTGGACGCCGACACGATCTCGTACTTGTAGCTGATTCTCCATCACATATAAATGGTAATTCTATTTACAAAGTGTCACTGACGTAGATTTATGACAAAAATATGAAAATTCCAGGCGAATTTCACTCTCTCGACGCCTGGATAATAACTCCACAAGCCAGGAGCGAGATAAAACCTGTTGAAAAAGACAATATTTCAGTTAATTTTAAATCAGAATGGTTTATCATCAACAGCGTTACTTTTATACCTTAGATCGTAATCTTTGTATCTCGTCTCACTTGAAGCCTTCAGTCTCACTGTGCTTTAGAAACAAGACAAGACAAGAACACATATTTCCGGGGCGTCAGTTCCGGCTAAATCATTAACCATGATACACAAAAATTTTCGCAGCCTGCAAACAGGATTCTGCATCGTGTATTGAGCACGATACTGACCCCACATATTAACAGAAATAAATATTATTCATATTAGAGAACAATAAAACAGCAGGGATGAGTGGAATTAAATGAAAAAAGGATATTAGTTAAAAACGAAGATAAAAGAAAGTTGAAATTGCGATAAGACAAAATTTCAAACTTGACGTTCGACCTTTGCCATCATTGGTCATCATCTTAGATGATTATAAATTCAAAATGGAGTTCGAATGGTTTCTAAAATATTGTAAAGAAACAATAGAAGAAATCTTCGTTATTTTAGTAGATATGCTTCAGAATACGAGCGAACTTTGGAACTCAAATGATTTGCAGGTCAAAATTTCGTTCATCCTCGCTGGAATGTTGTCAGTAAATGTTGTTCTTATTGGAATCGCCTGGATTATTTACAGTGGTGTTATTGCTCAAATGTATTGTGCGAAGGCAAAGCAACAAGCCTTGATCGCCTTGAAGAATACCACAATTGACTCAGCAAATAAAGCACACACGAAAAGGGAATAGATTGCTGCACATAATCTTCGCCAACACAAAAAAGGGGTTAGATAAAATTGACCAAACCAAGTGCATTTTGATATATTTTTGGAGTGGAAGTGGCTTGCCCCTATGCGAGTAAATGACCTAGCTACCATTTAATGGCCTATCCGTGCTGTAAGCTTGTTAAAAATAGCAGTAAATAAAGTACATGCTGCGTTAGAAAAGCACGCAACTCAACCGTGCGTAGAAATTTTATATTTACTTTGATACATTGACAGTTGACACGTAATGCTTCCTGGCAACAGTCAACTACACACTTTTAGTCCTTGTAAAATCTTTGTTTACTGGGCACCTTCATTAACCATAACCAAAACAGCTAAAGTTAGTAACTTAAGTGTCTAAAAGTGAACTGCCTTTTATTTGTATTTCGTGAAATTTAAGTATTTTATAAGTTATGAAGGAAGAACAACGGGAGTTATGTGTTCCAAATAAGATTCTTCAGACAAGATACATTTGAAAAGTACACGGATTAATATACCGATTTTAACAGACTTCAAGATGTAAAGCTTCGTTTGTATATCATTTCGTGCCAAAAGTTTGTAAAACAACGGAATTTTCTGCGTTACGAGTGGCTTTCGTTAATCGAAATAAAAGATCGTAAGTCGAAGATTTCCCTCAGTACTGCAGTGTTCCTGTTGCAAAGGTCCTACAAGATGGATTGTGAAACGAAATAAGCAACACAACTCATATTATCTAAAGAATTAACCAAGTGCTTTGTCTTGTGAATGGAGAGTTCTTCTCATTTACGACAAACACATCGTTGTTTTTCTGTCTTTTTGGAAATTGATTCTACTGTAAAGATGATTCTACAGTATTTACATAAGTATTGTAAAATATATTTTCCTGAGAAACTTGCTCAGAATGTTTTACAAACACACAGTTTTTGACTTCTAATACATTTCAATGTAAATCTATAACAATAATTTGTCGTAAATTTCGACTATAAATTAGCAATTACGAGGATTATCATGACAAACATAGCTTCAGCTTAAATGAACAGCATGCCTTCAGCATTTGGCTGTCAAGACCTATTAAAACCTCTTGAATGTAAGAAGAGAAACATCATACGTTATCGACTTCGTGTAAGACAAAACTGGTGTTGATTGCTCGTAGAAGTAAATATGAAGACTAACAGCCACCGATCGTCAACAATGTTCACATTTCTCTTCAGTATTTCTATCATCCTTCTCGCTGGAACAAAAGTCGTGCAGGTTTGATAATACCGTTTTCTCGTATAAGAAAATATATAATGCTATTCGTTGGTGTTGATTTGGCAAATTGTGTTAAGTTTTGGGTAAATCTGCCCAAGATAGATCGTTGTTATTCAGTAACAAAGATCCAATTTGTAGTCAGCTACAACAAATTACACTCAACTTTTATGGGGTGTCAAGTATTGTGCCTCCAAATTCATAGTCCTCGACAAGTCACAATCGATTAAAGTAAACTAATAAAATCACGCGAAAATAAGATTTACAAAAGTATATTAACTAAAAAATAATAAGTACGTTCGTTATTGTATTGTACAATAGACTCCGTTCTTTCAACTCTCACTTCCTGCTCTTGATGTCATTACTGATATTTCGTGCATGCAACTACATGTCCTTACAGCTTTGTACGCACCGAAAATATGGAGATTGCTTAGCTAGTCGTTTTTTTGCAGTTGTTAGTTTTCCAATGTTTCCGAATGTTTCTGTAACTCTGTTAAAGTTAAACGGGCTTTGATACATGAAGCACAAAATAAGATTTACATTAAAAAAAGGTTTGTCAAACATTTGCTTTTTCATGAAGGGTAAAGCCTTGTCTCGAAGTTGTCTGGATTATCTAAAGAGAGGTCATAAAACCGATGGTTTTTATAAAATCCGCAATTCAAACACAAACAAGATCATTACAGTTTACTGTGACTTGACATCTGAACCTGGATCGGCGTGGACGTTGGTTATGTCGTTTGCTTTAATGTACAAAAATATAAATCAGTTGACAAAGAAAACCTTCCGTGAAAACGCACCAGTAAACAAATATTCTCCCAACTGGATGTCCTATCGCATGAGCTGGTCGCAAATGAATTACTTGAAATCTCTCTCGACGCACTGGAGAACAACGTGCAGTTACCCTGTCAGCAAGGTTGATTACAGGGACTATGTCAGAGCTAAATTCTCAGATTTTGACATCATGACATTTTTAGGCAATGGAGTTTGTAAAAAGGTAGAGTTTATAAACATCCGGGGCTTTTCGTGCGCTGATTGCACATCAAAATGGTGGCAAATATTGAATCAAGACTCACTGCACATCGACAGCGTTGAAACTGGATGTCAACTTGTTGCTAGAGCTGGAGCTGTTAGTTCTGAAGATAACTTTGGCCTTTATCTTAGTACTAACAAGAAATTCCGGTGTACCAATAATGATATTTCCACAACAAACTGGTGGTTTGGCGGTTACATATGAATCAATTGATATTAATATTTACATGACTTTTGTTTACATTTATTAATTTTGCACATTCAAAGTAAGCACAAACAACAATTGACAATGTAATCGATTGTAGTACACAAATGAAATTAATTCAATTAGAATAATCTAATCCTAAACAAAGCCACCATTTTATACAAGAATCCTCAATTATAGATTTCTTGAATTACACATTTCTTATAACCGACTTTTTTATGTTTTACCATGTTTTAAATCCATACATGACCGTGGTTGCACAGCTTTAAAGTGCATCCAAAATTCGTTTAACATCAGGATTCACCTGGAAATTTCATAAATGGAAACATTGTGATTTCAAGAATAACAAAGTGAGGATCATATATAGCTAGAAAGTGCACTGTACGCAAATCGCAAAATGACCTTCACGACACGTGTTCTCGTTTACGATGTGTGCAAAAGCTTTGTTTATGACTAAAATGACTTACTTTAATACCATGTAATTTCCAGCTGAGGGAGCAAAAATCAGCACATTCAATGATTTCCTTCTGGCCACTAGCATTGTTAAGCATCTCAACCTGTATTATTAATGCGATAAACATCTGACGAACAACGTCAAAATATTTCTCGTCAGAAACACGTATTTTATATTAATCATTTCTTTCCATGTTCACACCAAGTTTTATCTATTTTTCACAAATTTTCATGAAAAAACCAAACAAATTCTTTCAGAGAAAGCAACAATGGCATGTTCCCGGCAACAAATGGCATTTTTTTTAATGAAAAAGCAAATTATTGGGTAAGATTAAGCGTCCCACAAATAGAGTATGATCTTGTGTTACTCAGGCTCCCCACTTTTTTCTACAGGCTCTTTCATTTCTAAACATTCAGTACTTACGGAAGTTGATCTTTACAACAAATTCTTTCCGAGAAAGCAGCAATGGCAGAAAACTGTCGAACGTCAAATTCCCCATCTTTGTCTATAACAACCATCTAAACAAAATACTTATATTGACATATTTTACATGTTTGTTTCATTTATTAGCTACTACTATAGAACGGCAACTAAAGAAAGAAAATCTTCAAATGCGACTGTGTTTCGCCAAAAAATTCATTTTTTAATAGATTTGCGGTTATTTAAAGCAATAAGATCATGTGAATGAAAGTGTATAATTTCCTGGAGGACAAAATTGAAATATGTCAAATACAAACCTTAACAATACAAGCAATATGGTCTTTGTTTAAAATACCAACGTGAACATCACGCAATCCTTTTTCCAATTCCTATATTTATAAGAAAACCATTAAAATTCCATAAAACAAACAGTAACTTGTATCTTTGTGGATCAAGTAGCTATTGCCAATATATTCATTCATGCGCTTATTTTTTTGTTTGGTGAAGGTGTACGTGCATTGAATGGAAACGAGACTATTTCTTCTTACTTGCGTGGAGACAACCCTACTTTTTTGTAATGAACTGTTTTTCATAGAATATGGACTTGTAACTATGGTTCTTCCTTCGCTCTCTTTTGCACATTGGGTAAAAATTACTGCACGCCTACCGTGTAGTTGATCATTTCATCGCGATTGCGGTCAACCTTTTGAAAAACACGTTGATACAATGCCTTCCTTCGTTTACTAATGTTGAAATTTTACTCAAGTAAAGTTTTTGAAGAAAGATACAAAAATAGAAACGAAACATGGTCCATACTGAACATCAATACCTTATAACACAATGTTTTGTAAGATATTCCATCGGTGTCATTGCTGAAAAATATGAAAGAAATCGAACTTTTGGAATTACTTCATTTAATACATGTAATATTTTCAAAATGGTCCTTTTAAAGTTAGTTCTAGAAGAAATCAAAATTTCACCTCATTGAACTTACATTCCAATAATCGAACATCCATTGGGATTTCAAAGCGACTATTTTGTTGAGATAAGGCCAAGCGACCCTTGAGCCATTGTTTCATTCCTTCACCACGAAGCTAAATATTCCAGAAATAAGGAGGTATTGTTTAAAGCAAAGGGCTCCCACGTGACGAGAAATTAAGTACGAAACATATTTAGAACGGAAAACATAAAAATATTTATAACCTTCTTTGATAAGAACAAAAGTTTTCCTTGCTAATCACATCTCATATTATGCAAGAGTATTTTTTACCTTAATCTATGCTTAACAGCATAAATTCAAGATCCCCATAAGGGTCAGGTATAGAGATAAAAAATACCATAGTAAGTTTTTAGAAATGAAAAAAAGTGTCTTGATGTAATGTCAATGTAGGATTTTGCAAATATCGGGACATATATTTTATGAAACAAAGATGATATTCATTATGATGCAAAGAGTTTGTTATGTTAATCACAATATCTTGACGTTTCAATTTCTAACCTTTTCCTCTTCAAGAATTTGCTCTACCAGAAGAGTAGAATCGGCCATCGTAGTGACGTCATCATCTTCACTGGCACTGGAGTTTTTACGCTTGCGCAATTTTTCATTCGGGACTTTCATATTTGTACGCCGATTGTAAATGTTTGCTTTTGGCTGAGAGAAATATAGTGAAACATTAAGATATCGTTTTGATTCAAACTACAGGACCTACTGAACAAAATAAAATATTTCTGAAATGTAATATGTGAAAAACAAAGGAATTGAGTCATGAAATCTTTAAAATACAACTAATTTAGGTATTGAGTCGACTATAGTTTGTATACGAAGTGACTTCCTACAATCATTGTACAAATTTTACAAAATAGGTTTATTAAAAGTCAACCCAGTCGATCCTTCTTGTTTAGCATTTTGTAAAACATGAAGAATTGAACATTATCTATAATGGCGTAGATCAATATAAATGCCATTAAAATTGTGAACCAAAACATCTTACTTATGGCAGAAGAATATAGAGCTAAATATATTTCTCTGAAATATTCTTTACTTTTTAAGAAATTTTCGTGCAAAAAGTCTGGATTTAATAACTTAACATTTATAAGTGGTAGACAAAGTACTAGAAGGTTGCGTGTCCTCAATTTTGTTAAAAGTTTTCATTCTACGAAGTTTTGACTCAAACACTGCATCTGTTTTACCTTTGGTCGATGACGTCGTAAATTTGTGGAAAAATCGGAGTCTGATAATCTAAAGAAAAAAATTGTAAATAAACAAATTAAAGACTTTCTGTCACAAATTTTGTTTTGTTCACTAATATTTGTAAATATTGCGTTCCTTTATCTTCAATGAGGACAAATATTTCAATACATCTATCTGTCTTTAAAAGATTACATGCACAGTTCGTACATTTTAAACACATTCATAATCGTTACGTGAAAGGAATCATCGCAGTTTTACCTTTCCTCGTCACTGGTCGATCGATCAGTGTTTTTCTGCTCATATTTGAGCTCTCGTCCACGATCTTTTGTTAAATTAATAGATAAAGTATTCTCAGCACTTGTCAGTGTTCTATCATAAAAGAAAAAATCAATCAGCGTTATTAAGCCTACAGAACCATCTTTATAAGTATATACAGTTACGAAAGAAAAACAATCTATAAATATGTGCATTTTATATGGCTAAAGATATTTTCGGCAGAAACCAAATTTATCTCTCCGAAAGTCGGTAAAAAGTAGCATAAGCCTATGTGATTGACTAAAATATGATTGACTAAAAATAATTTTTATGAAAATTCTTTGTTTACGTTCACCTCAATATAGTAAGTTATAAAGCAATACCTAACACCGTTTGTGGGGCTATTCAAAGACTGTCTTGATGACAATTTTCTATTAGCTGCTGACGATGTGCTATTTCTTTTTACAAATGAATCCAAAGTGTTTTCATCTTTTGTACTTTTGACAGCATCCAATGTCACCTTAAGAATGGACTTCGGTCGTTCAGTTTTAAGTTTTACATCGTTATCCTTCCACAAAACTCCAGGATCTGCAGCCACTGGGTCCTGAAAGGTCACATGTGAATTGGCTAAAAAACTTGCATTTTCAGTCTTATCTGATGGGATTCCATCGATCAATTTGCCATCGTTCATTTCATGGGGCACATTTTGTAGGTTCGAGTCGTCTTCAACTATACTAAAAATTATGGTTCATAACTTAGACAGACTCCATTCTTTAACAATACATAAAGAATTTAAGCAAATCATCAAAACGTCATTCAAATAAAATAATTCGTTTTCAGCTTTCATGTTTATCAAAATGTATTTCAAAACCTTTAAAAGTACTCTAGCATCGTTATGTTCATTCATTAAAACGTTATTTTACAACAAGAAATCAACTAATTGAAATAATTACCAGTTACTTTGAATTCGGTCCTCATCTCCGTCTTTGCCTTCTATTCTAGAATTGTTGCTTTCATAAATTTCATCCATCTTATCCATGAAAACATCCTCGCTGGAGCCATTCTACATAGACAAAAATTGACTTAACATCGTGTACGTCCTTTCTATAAACCATAAGATAAAATAAGTCAACCTCAATGTTGTCAACAAAGTCAGTCACACTACGCAGCGAGACTTCATGATGTCTGGCAAAATTACTTCTTCTACTTTTGTCACAACTCTGCCGTTCAAGAGAGTCAAATGTATCAGCAGTGTTTAATCTTTTCATGACTAAATCTTCTTCATTAGTGGTTGATTGTTCTTTGTCCATACTAAATGCTTCATCACTGACTAAATCCAATTCTAAAAGTTAAACAATACAGAATGCTTCATTGCCATGCGATTGCAAAACAAACTTTATCTATACAGTCACAGTTTTTCTACGAAATTACGAGCACGCAAGCATGATAATACAATTGTTTAGTTAAATGCAAAAATATCAATTTTAAGCACCTTTATTGAGCCATTCTTTTCGAAGTGTTCACAAATTTTAAATTGACAGGTGGAAAATGTTGTTATCGGTAGTCAGTTTTCAAATTTAATGGAACATTTTGCATGTTCGGGAATACACTGTTTATGTATGTGTCCATAATCCTTACAAAATCTTTATATAAACAATGTCAAATGTTACAAATAGTTATTATCAGATACTTATTTAACTACATTGGGAATACAATACACGCAACTAAAATCAAAAAAATGTAAGTTACTCAATTACTAATGTATTAGCAGGTTGTACCGGACACATGTTAAAAACAGTGGTAAATATTTCATTATCTTTCCATGATTATTTCAGGATAAATTATTCGGATAATGTAAGCACTTCAATGCCAAGAAAGATACAAAAGAAACGGGTGGAAACAAAAAAAGCGACAAAAGTCGCGAAATTGAGGAATACGCAGATTCATTTTTTTGCACAGGTAGTTACGAAGCGCAGAAAAAGCTACAATATCTTTGAAAATAGTACTGTGTTTTAATGCATTCACAATGTATAGTATGTATGTAAAATATGCAAGCATAGTATACCAAATGTGCAAACATTGCTTAGAGTAAGTATGTATATAAAATATGCAAGCATAGTATACCAAATGTGCAAACATTGCTTAGAGTAAGTATGTATGTAAAATATGCAAGCACAGTATACCAAATGTGCAAACATTGCTCAGAGTATTTTCTAACATTTTGGCATAAAAATTCTACTTAACTCAAAATACTCTGTCAAGCTGTTGCTATCAAGTTTATAAATATCGAAGGGGAGTCCATTGAAGCAGGTGATAGAGCCAGAAATAACTTTTGATAATCATACCATCATTAAGTTCGGATTCAGAAAAAGAAGCTCGTGAAGATATCGTCTCTTCCTGGTTTACGTCATTCACATCCACTTTTCCAGTAACTGCTTCGTTGCTTGGTGGCAGATCGTTAATAAACTCGGATACAGTCCGCAGATCTGTTTCCCTTTGTGTATTTACAGGTGATGAGAGATCTTCATTATCCATATTTGTCCCACAGCTACTGTAGCCGCTACTTTTGTCCATCCCAGGCCTTCGGCGAAGAGGCATCGGCTCGACAAAACTGATGTACTTTGGGACATTTCCACGGCGAAACTAAAATTTAACCAAGATATCATAAGAACTGAGTGCCTTAAAACGAAGAAAATCATGATGAAGTTGATTTTTGAAAGTGTAAGCTTTATCCACATTCGAGCACAACGCATGCAAGGTAAAGATGTAGTCCTGCTTCTCATCCATCAGAAAAATGACGATTGCCTTACCTTTGGAATTTGACGAGGCCTTGGTTTCACATGCTTTTTCTAAAATTTATAAGAGTAAATGCATTAATTCGATTGCAATAACTTTCCAAGAAGTGTACTTTACTAGTTACCCAAATGCCAAGAGACATTCTCTGTTCAACAAATTAAAGACTAGAGTCAACGGAGCATTGTATACAAACAACCATAATTTTCGGCATTGCTTTTTAGTCTAGGGTGAAGAATAGCCAACAAGTGCTTTTTTGTTTATGTTTTGTTCATGTTTTGAATTGTTGCTAACTGTAGTATGGTAAACAATAAAAACGATTGGAAATAGAAGTTAAATCCAAAACAAATCAAACAAGATATAGTGAAACGGTAAATTAAGCCACAAATTAAACCATTTCACCCCAGCTACTTACGGTAAAATCCCTTTTAATGACCGCAAATCTAACGCGTTTGTGATATAATCATAAAAAAGAACAAAAATGTAGAAAATAATAAATGACATAGTCTAGTAAATTCATTGAAGTTTCTTTGATTTTTAGTCATGTAAACGCGCGTATAAAAAAGACTACATTAAGGCCAACTTCTTTGATTTTAAGGTCAATTGCTGTGTCAATATTGCCATGAGAAAAATAGTACATAGGTGTATTAGAAGATCAATAAATGTAAGACACTAAAATTACTAAAGCAAACGGAGATTGAATAAAGTTTGCAGTGAGCTTAAACTGAGTGACATATTTGATAGCAATGAATATCAATGGAAGAAAACATTATGAAATTTTATCCAATCATCGCTCTTTAATCAGTTTTGTTAAAACTCAGCATACTTGGCTTGAGCCAGAAGTGTAGCTTCATAAAAACCAGTCTTGAAGTTTAATGTCTTTTTGCACAATAAATATGGTCCTCTTTGGATCATATGAAAAGTAGTTATGGCTTAAACGAGATATGCTGCGTATATACTGCTTACACTTCAAAGTCCACTTGCTAATACGTTAACTTATTGAAAGCATATAATACCTTGTCATGATTCTCCAAAATTTCTTTCGTTAACAAACCAAACTCACCATCTGTACTTGTATACACCAAACTTTCGTAAAATTCGCGACATTTTTCACAATCAGGCCAAAGCGACGAATTTAGGCACGTTTTATCATCGTCGTGACTTAAATGAAAGAAAAACCAATCACATTGCGATTGAAGACTCATTATTTCTCATGAAAATGCTCTAGACAATAAAAGAAAAAATACAATGTAAACATTGTAAAATTGTTCCATCGTAAAGGATGCTCATCTTCGAGTCTTTCTGTGTTTACTGTAATGGAAACCACAAATTGCATAGTTACAAATACGTATGTTGCAGTTAGTTTTTTGATGTTTAATTACTGACAGGTGGTCGATTTTAGAGTGTAGACTGAATATAAAAAAAAACTTTCTAAATTGGCTGAAGTGAATAACTAGAAATTTTCTTTTAGCCGATAAATTGTTTATTTACCACAGCGTCATACCATATTTATATATATTTTACTTCAAGCTATTAAGTTTGATTACACAAGATAAATTTAAAGAAAATTCTGAAGCGTTGCTTTTCTAACAAGCCCAAAAACGTATTCCACTTATTTTCGTACAATTATTTTACCAAGCTTTAATTTTCAAACGGTTTTTGGCTTAACTCATTTTTTCTAAGAAAAATTATCATGTTAATAATGAAATAAGAACGTAAATGATTAAAGTTTCGCTTGTGATTTCAAAAGATCGCCAAGTTTCGCGGAAAGTAAGATATTTCCTCCAACTTTAAGTTTACCACTCATAAACAACTGCTGTGGATTGGCTTTTCCCTCCATGATTTTCACCAAATCATCATCTGCTATTGTTATGGTACAATCAGGTTTTTTTTCAGATTCTCCCGCGGTGATGGACCCACTGCCATTTTTCAAATCTAAGAACCATTGACCAGCGATCTTGCCGTCTTTTGTGATCTTCCATAGGTAGGTAGCTTTTATCTTTTTACTCAAATGAGGCATGGAAACAAGTCGCTTTGCCAGCTCATCAAAAATACCGCGTGCCTGAAGGTCGGGTTTTTTCACAACTGTAGGCTTTCCGGGAAGCATTGTGGAACTTTGCTTCATTTTTTCAACTTCCTGTAAAGACACATACGGCAAGACTTGACAGTTTTACATCACAATGAAAACGCTTATTTGAACTAATAACAATTTGTGATTGAAAGCAACTTAAATAAGTAAAAGTTCTACATGAAGAATTGACTATGTTTACAATTCCCATTAATAGATACTAACAGTCTTAAGGCCATCCAAGTAGTTTTAATAATATGTATATCGGTAAGCAACAAATCGCAAGTCCACACAACTGGTACTTGTTTGAAATAAATAAGAAAACAGCACACTCCATTGATTTGATGAAAATAAAATCTTTTCTAAAATAATTTTTACTTATCAAGAAGTTTAATGTTTTACCTTTCTCATATCGAATTCGTTCAACAATGACTGAAGTTTTTGGGCCAACATAATGTTGCCAGTTATTTTTATCTTTCCTTGCATGAATAGTTTCTGAGGGTTAGTTTCCCCCATCACGATTTTCATGTAATCTTCATCGGTAACTGTGATCGTACAATTGGCCTTTTCGGAAGGTTTTCCGTGCGTTATCGATCCTGGATTTTTGTGAAATCCATCATCCACTCAGACACCACTTTTCCATCTTTGGTCAATCGCCACAAAAACGACGCGTTAACTTTTGAACTAAATTGGGGTGGTTCGTCAAGTTTTCTGACATCATTTGAAAAATGGTATCACTTTGAGCAGATGACGTAATTGCTGTTTGAGACAAAGGAGTTTTTTCATTGCCCTAAAAACAAAAATTTAGGCGCTATTTTTTCATCATAGCCATATACATGTCACATGCATACATTTGAGTCTACTGGCATTTCAATGTGTAGAGAAGAAAGAGGATTAGCACGACAAATTTATATGTACGGGGTTTTCCAAAAAGGATCTCTCAAATATCTTGGTATACGGTCAGATTTTTACCTCATAAAAAATTATCTAGCTATTTTGCACTTCTGGCTACGTAAACCATCATCAAGTACGTATTTTCAGCAAAATTTTTAATGTAAATGTTTTCGTGTACTTAACACAGGTTCCTTACTGGATTCACATTCCATGTTTTTCTTGCGATCAATTATGGGAGAAACACAGAATTCACCACTATTTTAAGTTGCAATGTTAGAAATTTAATCACAAACCTTATTTGTACTTGCTCTGCTGTGAAGATCAACATACGCTCCTGACAATACAACATCACCAGTTTCAACAACCTTGCATTGCACAAAGATTCGGTTGTTTCCGCCCTTCCACATTTCAACCCGAATACTTTGACCAGGAATGACCGGTTTCGAAAAGCGAGCTTTGATGGCTTTGAACAGATCAACATTATTGTCGCAAAAATGCTTGAGAACTGCTCGCGTTGCAATACCCAAAAAGCAAAGACCATGAAGTATTGGGGCATTAAAACCTGTTTTGTGCAAGAAAAGTAGAAAAAATATCTACATGAGCAATTAATCGAGCTGAGTTGTTCAAAGGTTAATTAGCAATAAACATCGATCAAACATACATATCATTCATGGTTGAAATAGAACTATTATAACATAATGTCAAATTTTCTAGTCAAAGATGTCACCCACTAAAGATAAACCAATACCCCCCAAAACCAGACAAATTACACTTGCTGTTGAAACTATCAGGCCTGTTAGTACACTGAACCTAACGCTGGTTGCTATCATTGACACTACCAATATAATTCAAAAAAAATCTTAATACATCATACCTCCCATTTGTGCAAAATTTGGATCAATATGTAAGGGGTTAAAGTCACCAGATAAACGATACAGTGCAGCTTGACTTTCATCAGTTTTTTCAATTTCAACAACATCGGGAGGTCTGTTTGGTGGCTTCGCAATGGGCTTAATTTCATTTGAATGGCTTTTACCACCAAAACCACCGGCTCCGATGCAGAATGTCACAAACTGGTTAAAACATATTGGGCCTGTTTTGGAATGAATAATAGCTTGTAATCACAATTGATAACAAACACTTACATTGACAAATGAAAGACTTAACAAGGGTTAAGCTTGACAATTTGAAAAGATGACTGGTAAGAATCAAAAACACATTATTGACAGGCTGTAACTTCACCTATCAAAGACTTCATCTATGATTCCCACAAGCAACATTAATAATTAACATAGCAAATAAAAATAAAATACCTTTCTCATCAGAACATGTAGCATTGACAATAATCACTGCTCCAGATTTCTTATCAAGTACATCTACTAGAGTTATTTCATTTTTCAAACTCCCGTTTGGTGGTATTGGACGATACAATTCAAGATACTGCTCGCCATGAACTGCCTGCATTCAATAAAACATCAAATAGTAGATATAAAGCTGTCCTATTTCATAATCTCCATTTAACTTTGGTGTCATTGAAAACCATGTAACAATACAGGCATTAAAACAATTCACACAACAGGTAACTTTTGTTTTGCTGTTTTATAAGTTTCTTATCAAGATTTGTAAGTAAAATTACAACGCATTAAAACAAATTGCATTGGGCAAGGAGAATTAATTTTTTAATGAAGGAGCTTGTGCTGGACATTTCCTTATTTTCTGCAATGATGAACATTTATTTACCCTACATTGACTGGACATATAGAGCTATAACTGCAAGATGTAGATATTAATACAGTTTTTCAACAATACCAAATAACTACCAACCTTTGCAGGATTGAAATCTATTCCAACATTTTCTTTAATAAGAGCAGAGTTTGACATCATAGATATCTACGTAACACAAATATAAAAACTAATTATGACAAAAATGAGAAAAAGTACAGGTAGTTGAAAGAATAGTACTGGTCATGATCATACATATCAATAATAACACCAGGTAAATTAAAGTGCATAAGTACCTGGGCAGGCAAAACAGCAAAAGTCGGGATTACACTAAAATCCTCATTGCCTTCATAAAGAAATTTCATGTGAGATCCATCTTCCTTCACTTTAACACCAATGCCCAATGCATACCTTATGACATCTTTGAAGGTATACTTAAACTCTTCACTTGCATTGGTCATCTCAGAACCTCCACCTGGGGGTTTTGCAGTAGACAGCAAAGACGACAAGCTCTCTGGATCAGATTTTGGATAAGAGGCATTTGACCAATCTTTTAACTTACTCCAATTATCCCGCACAAGTTCTGGAGTGATAACTTTATCACCACTTGAAAGATTTAAACTTCCAGACTGCTGCCAACGTAACATGGCAGCTCCCCCACCGGCAATATAGAAAATTTTACCACTCTCAGCACAAGACTTGTGACATAGGTACAACAGAAAGGGTGCCACAACTTTAGGTGGCAACATCTTCCGTACTTCATCTGCTATCACTCCTTGTGTAAGTCGTGAATCTGCAAGTGGCACTATTGTGTTACATCTGATATTGTATTGCTCACCTTCTAAAGCAAGAGTTTGGCAAAGGCCATACAGGCCAATTTTTGCAGCAGCATAATTCGCTTGCCCATATCTACCAAAGAGACCGGTTCCTGAGGAAATCATAATGATATGTCCATATCCCTGTTTTTGCATATGAGGCCAAGCTGCTTTTGTAACTAAGAATGCCCCCCTTAAGTGAACACGATGTACCAAATCCCACTCAGTGATAGTCATTTTACGAAATGATTTATCTCGTAAAATTCCGGCATTATTGATCAAAATATCAATTCGACCTAACGCTTCTATAACTTGTCTCACTAATTCTTCACCGTTTTCAACAGATTCATAATTGGCAATCGCTTTTCCTCCTGCTTTCGTGATCTTTTCGACGACCTCATCGGCTGAAGAACTGCTTTTTCCTTCTCCTTTCTCATTACTACCTAAGTCGTTAACAACCACCTGAGCTCCACGATCAGCAAACGCCAGTGCATATTCTCTACCAAGACCACGGCCTGCTCCAGTAATAAGAACAACTTTATCGACAAAACGTAATAAATTGCCAGCCATTCTCCCCAATATTTAACGTCTCCAGAAAATCTAGTATAAAGAACGAAATTTTCTACCCTATTCCAGTGTGGATTCAATGCTATCGAACATCGAAATCATCCGACATATCACAAGAGCCCAGTGAGCCCAGTCACTGTGGAGCAGTGGTCACGAGGCCTTCGTTGACCTACAAAAAACGTGACAACTTAAATAATCATATTATATCATACGGTGAATAATCGTAAAATTAAAATTGTACATTCACGCTTTGTGCGTTCTTTTCAGTACAAATTAATGATGGAGAAAAGTAAAGTTTTCGTTTCCTTTCCTTCGGGTCCGCTGGACGTCTACAGAAAGAGAGCTTCCTTTGACTGGTATGAAATGAAAAAGTTTATTAATGGCAGCGATATTTTAGATATAAAAGAAGAAATATGGGCCACATTATCAAAAGATCCATTGTTCACACAATCCACAAAAGGCTTATCAGTGGACGAAAAGCGACATTTAACTTGGCTGAGACTCAAACGTCTTATTGAATATGATTTTATGGGCGACGTTTGGGAGAACCCATACAAAGTGCACGCTTTTACAGACGCTGTTGGCTCCATCAACTGGGGGTTAGCGACAAAATATCAACTGCAGTTTCAGGTCAACTTTCAAAATCTGTATTTAAATCACACGAAGTAAAAATAACTGGAGGTACAAGGATAAGGCAAGGCAAAGCGGGGTTATTGATTGTGTCATGTACTGACTCTGAAACAGTCGACTAAATCGTCCACTCTCCACCCTCCCCAAAAAAGGAACAGCCAGTCTGCACATTCAAGCTACGTACAAATATCTATTGACATGAGTAAGCTGCAGTTGTCTCATTTGAACCTGTGTTAAATCCAATGTTTAAAACCCAGTTTAGCGTATGTGTTAAGAATGAGACGTCTCTCCTCCGCAGAGGTTTCGCAGAGGTTTTCCGGGTTTTTCTGACCAGATCATCTTAATCGCAACTTACTGATTACGCTCCTTGCCTATCCGGTATTTAAGTTATTTTCAACTTTAAATTTATTTGATTGACATGAACACTATAGGTCCGTCACGGTGCCATAGCATGAAGATTTTGTACTGCGGTGTAAAATTTGAATTGTTCAAATTTTTTATTTCTTTAGAAAAACGAAATATTTGCAAAGCAGTAGTAAAAGTTAGGCTCTTTAGGCTGCAGCTCGACCCCGCACCAACCCCTTTCTAATTCCAGCTTCTAAATTATTGATGAATTTTAGATGTTTTCGATACTTCTAAAGCGATCAAGTCGGGATCCGTTGATACAAGAAATTGCTGATAAATGTGACAACCTGGAGGTACTATTACAGCTAATGACTGCTCTACTCTTACATCGTTAGGTATCTTTTTCAAAAGAAGGAGAACTTTGAAATGGGTTTTTGAATTTCAGTCGTTTCTTTTCAGGGCGATTCACGTAGGAAATTTGTTTCATATGAAAGTTTTGTGAACTCCTACCACCATGTAGCATTTGCAGAATTTTGAAAATTAAAAGTTTAAAACTGTCTTTGGTATATTTAAGCAAAATGTAGAATACCGCCATTGTGGTCCACTTCATCTCGTGTGGGAGTATTTATTCACCTTTACTCTTCATTTTGTTCAACGTATTAAACCTTCTTATGCCTCCAAGTGTTAGTAATGAGTCATTGCTTAGTTATAACAAACGTACACTAATCTACTTTGAACTGACATTTTTATAGATTATGGGTTGTTTTGCTCTTACGGAACTCAGCCATGGAAGCAATACGAAAGCGATGAGAACCACAGCGACTTACGACCCTCACACTCAGGTAGTAAATTTGTGAGGTAGCTAGAACTTTTAGAACGACAATTATCTTCCAATTTAAATTGTTCTTTTTATTCCGTGTTTTTGATGTTTGACGGGAAATGCATGGGAGAAAATTAAAAAAGCGACCGAAAAATATATTTTTATATCATTGCTTTAATGTGGAGTTGCAAAGAACATGACACGGGTTGCTTCATTGCAATTTAAAAAAGAAATGAAAAATGTTCCATTTATGTTCAAATGATTTTTTAATCGTGAAGTTTCGAAAGATCCTTTTATATAGTTCTAAATGTGAACTAGTGGAAATTAGAAGAAAAAACTCACATCTTTAATAGACGAGAATTAATAAGTTACTTGCCGTTTTTCAGCATACTTTCTTTGGGGTTAAGATTCGGCGAGCTATTTTTTCCCATTTTTTCCATAAATATGCCAGAGGATGGGACTACATAACAAATATACATTATTTGATTTTTTAACCAGGAATTTGTTCTAAACACACCTGATTACGAGGCAACAAAATGGTGGGTTGGCAACCTGGGTAAAACAGCCACCCACGCTTTGGTGTATGCTCAACTCTACACCCCGGATGGCGAGTGTCATGGTCTTCACGCATTTTGTGTTCAAGTCCGTAACACTGATCTCTCTTCAAGACCTGGAGTATTTGTTGGCGATATTGGATTAAAGTTGGGACAGAACGAGTTAGACAATGGGTAAGGATGAGTATCTAGAAACCTAGGTATTTATGTGGTTTTTTTACTTCAAAATAGTAGTATACGAGAACGGGCGTACTGATTTAACATCACAGATTATGTTGATTTCGCGCATTTACTTCTGAAGTTGTTTTTTACGCACGTGTTTTGAAGGTTTATTGCAAAACTGCCTTAAAGTAGGTAAGAGGATTAATGATTGAACAAGTTGAACAATACTCTGCTCTTTTATATTGTATTAATCACGCACCTTGTTGAGTGTTTGTTGTGAAACTGAAAATGGGGAAGACCAACGTAAAAATAATTTTGAAAAGTTGCTTGGAATTTTGGAAAGTTGTTTTTCAAACGATGTTCAGGCAGGCTCATTAAAACTTTCGTGGAAAGATTAAATAGATAACCTGTTTATTGATTTGCGCTTCTAAACGAAATTATTTCTGGAAAATATGGCGTTTAGTGTTGATCGTTTTTCCATGAACTTTCTATTTTTTTTTCATCGAATTTTTTTCAGTTTTGTATCGTTTAAAAACGTTCGCATTGCAAGGGAGTGTTTGATAAGCAAAGAGTCACATGTCACTCCAGATGGTCAATATGTATCAGAGATAAGAGATCCCCGCAAGAGATTCGCTGCTGTTTTGGGTGCACTATCTAATGGGAGAGTCAGTATCACACTAATGAGTACAGTCAATTTAAAATTATGTCTAACGATTGCCATTAGGTTTGTACAAGTTTTTATCTTTTTATCTATGAGCTTAGCGAGCGCATTAACTATCCATAGGATGCATTGTAGTGATTGTAAAGAAAAGACAGACATTTACCTATACACGATGTCTTCGTGCTTTAGTTTCATCCCTGGTCTGTGACGTACCCATGCCTAGTAATGTAGATTGTATTTTGTATTGATGCATACCATACTGCACATTCGTCACAGACTGCAATGGTAAATTCTATCACGTATATGCGTTCTCACGAAAACGGTTAAGAGTAGCCTCCACGTATTAATACGAAAAACTGATGTTTTAATTGCGAATATCGACAGCCATTGTTTGTTTTTTCCACATTTTTGGACGACTCAATTCAGTGAAATTTTATTTATTCAGACGTAATAAAACATGTCTATTGAAACTGGGAACTCCATTTTAGCACCTTAGTTGACATTCAATTTACATTCAATTTCTTTGATTTTAATATCAAACCAAATTACTAGATATTCGGCTGTTAGAAGACAATTCGGTCCACCAGGCAAAGAGGAAATACCTGTTTTAGAATATCAAATGCAGGTAAGATGTTCTAGCCTGCTATACGGAATATTTTATTCTGTAATGAGGTTTCTAACACACAGTAAAGATAAACGATCTTTTTTTAAACTAATCTTTTCAAGCTGTCCTACAGTCGTTTCAATGGAGTATAAAGTTTTGATAGTAGTTGTTCATATATTCTTCATTAACTAAACAGTTTATACTCAATTTATGTAATGGCTCGCGTATTACGATACAGCTGACTTTCTTTCAATAGATACATTTTTTCGTGTCTACAATTTCAGCAATGGAGGCTTATTCCGATGCTTGCATTCACGTACGTCTTGCAACATTTCTCCCAGACGTTGTTTACAAATTTGGTGGAATTTCACATTGCCATGATTATGGGCGAATCAGATGAAAACAAGGTACAAAAAAGCTCAAAATACAATTAGTCCGAACAAAAACTGATGATTTCTCTAGATGCCGAAAATCAAACTGTTATTTGTACGCTTTAAGGTGGACCTTGGTCGTGAAATCCACGCACTTTCTTGCTCCTCGAAACCTTTGTCAGCGTGGGCAGCTCGTGATGCTATCCAGGAATGTCGTGAAGCCTGTGGAGGTCATGGCTATTTAGCTGGTACAATATTTTATTGTTGCCAATGGAATGCCTTTCTTTAGTTGTTTATCAGCTTCGTGCAATACATGATGTCGATGAATGAACTGATTTACCATTTAAAGTTGCTCATCAAAATCAAAATCATTCTTCGTCTTCAGTTAACAGATTGGGTGAACTTCGAGATGATAACGATCCTAATTGTACATATGAAGGAGACAATAACTTGTTACTTAGTCAAACAAGCAATTTTTTGTTGGCGAAACTTGATGAAAAAAATAAAGGTATGTTTAAACGTTTTTATAAAAGTTACAAGTTAATAACGAAGTGTACAAAAAAATTTTGTTGTAAATGTAGTTTTTTAATTTTTACGAAAAATGAATTTGAAAAATATATATAATGTTATCGTGATAGAAGTGATATAGTTATGATGGAGTGATGGAAAAAGTGGTCTATTGGTTTGAACAACTTTGTAGTCCAACTGTACTAAGTGGAATGTTCTTTTTTTAGTAATGCGGAATTAACAATTGGTTTAGGCTAACACGATTATGTATTTTGCTGACTGTGGTTTAACAAACTTATGCGTTTGATTTCTTTATTCTCACCAGGTCAAAGACTTAATTCACCAACGGGATGTGTTGATTTCATTAATAACATACAGCAAATATTGACGAGCAACACACTGGCGACAAACAATGAAGATTATAGGAATCCAAATGGTGAATTTCACTAGCGTTTATCGTTCATTTTTGCCATTTGAAATGAAATTCGTAGTCTGAATAGACACCAGCTGTCCCATGCTGCTCACGTGCAAAAGTTCTCTAGTTGTTTGATTTAATTTTACGAGTCAAATAGAAGCTCTTGCGTAAAAGTGACAACAATTTTAATGTTGCTTGCTTGCCCGTGTGCAAGATTTCATGCTTCACATCGATATTGAAAATTTTTGATAGGAAAGGAAACAATTGCACTTTGTTGGTCCGTTTCGCAAATAAGTATTCTTCCGAATTACAAAATCCATTCCAAGAATCTAACTTCTTTGTGATTTGTAGTAATTTCCAAAGCATTTGAGTGGTTGGTTTGTTATTTGCTGAAGAAGAGCGAGCAAAAACTTCAAAATCAAGTGGCTCTTGGACAGGTTAAAATATTTTTGCCATTATATGTTATATCCATGAACTATGACTTGTCATTAGAAATGCCATGCTGAAATTAAGCAGGAATACAGGTCTTTTGCTCACCATCAAAGTGAAATATACTATCAACAAAACATAATTCTTCCCAGACATGTTGTATTTTGACAGATTTTGGTAATGTTTATATGTTGATCTAACGATCATATTTATAGCTGTTTGGTTAGACATTGCAACGAGTCTGTCTTTTTCACTAATTTTTGATTCATATATAGGATGAATTTTCGGCCAAGAATGACAGCCAGGTGTATTTTTGCCGTTCTTTGTCAATAGCATTCATCGAGGTAAGCGAATGTATTTTGAATCAAAGATCTTGAATTATCGAAAGCCTGGTGAGAACAAGTTAAACAACCAAGAAGATGATCATGTAAATTTAGCATCTTCCTCAAACGTGTCCAACTCTATGATTTCACGATCTTCGCTTAAAGTGAATTTTTCATTCATTTCAGAAAACTATCTTCGACCGATTTCATAATTTAGTTCACGATGCCGAAACTCCACATGAGTTCAGAAAGATCCTTTTAAAGTTAGAACTTTTGTACGGTCTTTGGACACTGGAAAAACACTTGGAAAAGTTTTATGAAGGTTCGTTGGCAAGGTTATTGTTCAGAAAGGTAGCCGGAGTATAATAAATGATCATAAATTTTTTGGACGCCCCGAATTATTACTCAACTGGAAACGCAATGTTCGTTTCCATCAGAATATTTTTTGCATCTTTTTGCATATTTAACCAAACTCGTCACTTTTGATCAAAGACACAAGCAAAAGCCCTATTTCTACACAATCTTGATATCTCACACACTTTAAAAATAATCTTTTCGACACAAAGCTACTATGAGTGCCTTACCTTAATTGATAAATACTTTTGAGTTTCCCTGATGATAGATATTTTGGTATTTTTATATGGTATCGCAACAGGAGGATTCTGGGGTAATGGACTCCACGGTGAAAAAATCCGTAGTACAATCTTGGAACTTTGTAACGAGGCTAGTAAAAACCTTGTCAAACTTCATCCTTTCAACTTTTCCAAGTTGTGAATTTTCTAAATAAATGGTGAATATATATTTTAGATAAAACCAGAGTCAGTATCTTTGGTTGATGCACTTGCCCCTCCTGATTTTGTTCTCAACTCTCCTATTGGTCATAGCAATGGAAAGGTATACGTTTATCTTAGATATTATGTGGTCTCGTTGTTCATCAGCTCGTAAATATTTCGCTCAAATAAAGCCTTAAGCAAAATGAATATAATGAGGTAGAGAAACAAGATATTTCTGGCAATGAACATGAAAACTGAAACATTACTGGCAATGAACACAGATTCATGATAGGTCTAACAAAGCACCATGATCTCGTAAAACTTACGATGCGATTTCTATGTAAAATAATAACTTCACAGTGTAATTTCATGCACTTTATTTGGGTTTTTCCGTGTTTGTTCACGTGACAAAATAATTCTGCTCATCTTATGCTACATTCTTAGAAAATGACCAACGTCATATTCAATTTTGTAAGTTTATTTAAAATGTCTCTGATTTGAAATACCCTTTAGGCATTAGAGAATCTTTATCAGTCTGTGATAAACAATCCAGCAAACACTCAAAGGCTTTCGTGGTGGAAAGAATACATGAAGAAACCAGTGAAAGGCTCTCTAAAGATAGATAGCAAGCTTTAATTACAAATTCTTGGATATTTATATGCAAAACAAAAAGTTTATTTATCGCTTTCTGAAAGGTTATATTATATTAATTGGTTAAAATGAGCTGGAACAGTCCTGTGACAAGAAAAAATGTTCAACAAAAATTTACAAATGTGTTCAAAACCCTTTTATAATCACAACCTTTGCAAATGGTAATTTCCAATGGCCATTATAATGAATCTCTATTTTATTTTGCATTTAGTTAACGCGATACTAGTTATCAAAATCACACTCAGCATTGGATCGTCGTAGTGAATTGTTTAATAAACCAGGTCAAAGACATTTTCATATTATAATCTTGTTATTTTACGACTAAATACAAATGACAAACAATAGTTGAAGTTTCGCATTTCACATTTCACAGATACGGACAAGTTTAAGTCAGATACTTGCAATAAAGAACAAATACCTACCTTTTAAATGATGATGCTTCCATGTTTTCTTTCATCCTTGTCTCACAGACAAAATTCATAAAATATTCAAAGCAGTTCTTCTAAGTTACTGCGTTTAGTGACTTATATGACAACACGACACATGTACATCATGACTTTCAGCATGCGCCATTTTTTGATTGACCATCTTTGTAGTCAACTGGAAACAAAGCTGGGCCGTAGTGCATAATATACCGCATTAAGTTCTTTTGAAATTTATTGTCTTCTACGGTTTATAAAATGCACATATGAATACAAGCCTCCTAATTATTGTTTGTACTACAGCCCTGACTGCAGCAAAAATTTCTCAAGTTTCTATAACAATTACCCCATTTTAATATATAAACTCTTAGGAAGCTGTCACTTTAAACTTTATAATTGTTATGTACAATTTCCTCGCGAGAGATTTCTTGAATAAGCTTGAATAAATTGTGATTTGGTTTCACCAGGCGCATGCGCAGAACGCCTGGCAGGCATCTCGTTCAAATTAATTTTCTAACATAAAGTGAAATTTAGTATTTTAATGTATAAATTTCCTGAGCATCAAAAAAGCTAACATTACGTTGTTATTAACATTCACACACAAACTTGGACCGTATAAAAACCAACCGTATATAAAAGACCAACAAAATAGTTCCTGACAAAAATACAATGCAGGCCAGAAGTTTAAACACCATCAGCACTTACTCAGTTCTAAAATCAACACTATTTCTTACATAAAAGTATGATTTCCATATGATTTTTAAAATCTCTAGACCTCCACTAAGCTTCATCAGAGCTGGGTTCATTGTGAATTAAAGCGGAAAGTGCAAAATTGCGAGGTTATGCATCAATGATCTGAGGCAGCTCGACCGTAGCTCGAATAAAAATGGCGTCATCAACGATGTAGTTATTAGCATGCAACGTCTCGTGAGAAGCAAACTGCGGATAACCAAAGCCGGGGATGCTGGCATTTTTCTTTGGTCGATGGAAACTTGTCCATTTGGGATCTGGGGAAAAATTCTGCCGGATATGACGTTGTTTCATGGTGTCCGATGATTGCTCAATCAATGTAAGAGAAATATCTCCAAGGAACGGCCATTTCAAAAGTGAATCATACTCTCCGACAAGTAAACGAACGTAAAGCGATAGATGACTACCTTCACCGCTCCCGTTGCCATTCGGGAAGGCAACAATCATAAATTTATACCCGTACTGATCTGTGTAGAAAGGTGGACTGTGTATTTCATAACCGCTTATTTCTTTCGCTGTTTCCAGACAGGCAGAAAATTGATCAATCTTCCACAGCAATTCTCCTTGATTAAAAGGCTTACAATGTTTCACAATTGCTTGAAGCTCGTTGATCTCTTTTGATTGTTTCAAGGATAGTTTGCACATCAAATTCAAATGTTCCTTTAAATTATCTTCCAAATGACGGTTCATATTCGGTCGCGGGCACTTCCAAAAAAATCATGGTTTCATTTTTTGCAATACTATTCATGCATGTATAGAAAAATATTTTCTGTTTGCATGCATTATCTTAGTACGAACTTTTTGTAGCAACAAGCCAACAACTAAATGGTAAGGTAAAACGAGGGTCTTAATTAAGATAATGGCGACGACTTAGTGACATATAAGCCTACTTGCACTTCAAAATATTAGCTAAATCACTCGCTCATGACAAAAGTACAACTTTTCTCGTAGTATTACGGGAAAGCACAAAGTTTTAAGAACTACGATAAAAAGGTTTGGTGCTTTTAGTTTCTGTTTCCTCCACAATAGGGGACATTGCAACATATAAAAAAATGTACCTTGTAGCTACAGCCAGCAAATTTGAATGGACAATCTTCCAAAATGGCAGAACATTCGTAAGTTACGTGACGATTAATCTAAATAAACAGATAAAGTGATGAGTAAAACAATCCAATTAACTGATGATACTCAAGTTACGTGACTATCTCTATGATGATTTACACCAGACATTTCTTTCTAAATTCCTTACATCTTCTCTTGGAATTTGACGCACACCACAATTGTTTGGACAGCTCAAAGGAAATCTGGGACATTCACGAAGATGTTCCTTTAAAAAGACAACAATGCAGGCGTATTCACTTTGTTACTGTAGCCACAAATTGCATGATAAAATATTGATAAAATACCATTGAAGCGTTAAAACTCGAAATAAATATATTCAGTTTTTTGATAACAGACCACTCATCTTTAAAATATAGTTATATTCTACATAAAAACCACAGAAAATATATTGGTGATACCTGGAGTTCCGCATGTCCAACTTGTTTTTGACAGTATTGACACAAAGTCAGTCGTTTAGGACATTCCTCAGACATATGTAAAGTTATTTCTTCATTCGTTAACAAAGCACCACAAACACATGTGAAGCGCTCAGCATTGGGTTGGGTACGAGGCGTGTCTGACGATCCCATGTACACCACCTGACTACCAAACTCTGATCGACGACGCAACCGTCCAGGTTGGGCTCTCACTGATGAATCAGGAAGATCGCTTATTTGTTCTTCTTCTTGTAAAGATTCTTGAACAATCTGGCTGCGATCAATTGACAAGCGACGATTACGACGATTACGCCTTCTGCCAGCTATTTTTAAGACAACATTACAAATCACTGATGATATTAACCAATCAAAAATTCGCAGAACTATTTTTGAGGTACAAAAATCACACTAATTCCGATGTAATAAGTTTAAGGAATTGTTTAAACTACAGCGTTTAAGTTTTCAAAAATTTTCACTAATCATTATCACAGTGATGGTGACTTCGATCTATTCATAAATGTACATATTTACCTGATGTACCATGCCATTCTTCAGATGTCCTTTGAGATGCATCACTACGACCAACAAAGTTTAGCTGAGCTGGCACTGACGTAGCGCGCAATGGTGGTTGATCCCAGGACGAGTGACTGTTGAACGAATGCAAGTCTAATTTTGATCGTCCAAGGTTTTTGATGTGTTGACGCAATCTACTAGCGGTTGAGCTGCTCGCTTTATTTTTTCCACCCGAACGAGAATTTTCCTGTAAATATAAAAACATTAGAAAATATAATCCAACTTTGAATTCATAGAATTCAATATTAGTAATGCCATGACTCACCTCGTAATCTTCGCGTGGAATCTCATTATCACGACTGGCACGTGACACTTTACTTTTTGTGCACAAGTTTCGTAAGTGTTCTTCAAGTCGACTGCGCATTACTTGAGCTCCACACTTATCACAGTGTACTGGTGTGTATTCACAGGTCGTTAAATGCGTCTAGAACAGGGGGTACAACATGGTTTATGAAACACTAACATCGTACAGAGCTAAGATTTTTAATGTATCTTTTATGTAAAAAAAATTTCTTTATAAAATCGAGTATAAAATTACATCAGCTGAATGTTGATCGAATAATTTCAGTATTACAAGAACATTAGATATTAAAGATTACAGAATGTAAAATCATTAATAAACTTTGTAGTGCTGTCGCTACATATTCTATCATAACATAACATATTAAGTTTTGCATTGATAGAACTGATGATTATGCAATGCAATTCGTATTCTGTTTATTTAAAAAAAGAAAATTCTCACCTTCAGTTTCTTTAGTGGTCCTTTCCAGTGGCAACCTTCAATGACATATCGACAAAAGACGTTTAAAGACTGAATCTTCTTCCCCGAAGACTCGTCAAGATAAACCTTGAAAGATAACAGTAAATCCAATATGAATTACTTGGTAACTAAAACAAACCGCAACTCATACGGAATTATTTTTGATGACCCAATATATCAGTATTTCGTTAACAAATAAACCAAATTGTCAACCTACAGCTTGAGCTCACGAAGAGAAAGAAAACAATATATGCAAAATAAAAATATAGAAAACATAGCGTGGGTTTCATAAGCCCTCGTCTTCAGATGAAAATTTTCTCAGGACTATTGAAGATTTTAATCAAGATCATTATCAATTCTACTTTGCCCACGTAAAACATGCAATTTAAATGTGCGCACAATATAAAATATCCGTTTTGGTCTGTTTTTTTGAAGGGACATATTTACGATTAAATTGAAAAAGCACGACATTCGAGGAAGAAGTTTCAGGTTAATGACTACGAACAAGGCTGCACGTGTTGTAAAATTTTCATAAAGGTTCATTTCTAAACGGTCTTATATATAACAAATGTCTTTGCAGTCACGCCAACTCAAAAAAGAAATATCGAAGGAATATTTGTGTTGGCATTGCTATGACGCTTTTTCAAAATACTCGAGGGTATCTGGAATTTGATCAACAATTGACGATGTATATAGAAACAATGCTCCCATGCAAATATACCAAGCAGTTAGCAAACATAACGCTCAGCATCAAATTATAAGACTTACAGAAATTCAAAAAAGTAAACATCAAATCACAAAGATACATCTTTTGCGTAAAAACTTTAGAGCGCACATGACAATATGAATGAGACAATGTGAATAATATGTACCAGACTAGCAGTGAATGTTTATTGAAATATAAGCGTTGAAATAGTGCGTAAAGGAAATTTCTTGCTGCATGTTAGCTGTAAAAGTTTTTACACAAAAAACAGACAGACTGTTATTTAAAAATACTATCTTTCAGACAAATTCTCTTTTATTTATGCATGGCTATATCTAAATTCTCTTGTATATGGCTATCACATTTGCTTCGGAAATTAACATCTTGCCAGACATGAAAAATATTTGTGTTTAACATGAACTGTCACATGACTTGATGCGTGTGAAACGCATACAAAAAAGATCCCTATAGCTCCCATGCATATAAATCAACAGCTATTTCTTTATAGTTACACACCTGAGAATGCTTGATGACAAGTTGATCAGCAGGACACCTTAACTCCTGGTCGTCACTGAAAAATGCATAAGTTTTAAGTTAATACACTCGCTGTTCGCTTACTGAGTCGGCATATTTCAAAATGATAAAATGCTTGCCAGCGTTATACGCTCAACTAGATTCAACACATTCCATTTCTCTTTCTAAGTTTTATTTCAAGTACGAAACAACATTTGATTCATTTGGAGAATGGGACACTAAATATGCAGGGAATGGACTACAACTGAACTACAAGCTTTTAAAATAAATCACGACATTCATCTACTTAGATTTATAGCAATGCATTCTAATTAATGTACAAATTAAATAGGTTATCTTGGCACATGTTAGTTTCACGATTGTTATTTCGAGCAAAAATTTCAACATGTACACGTCAAAACTTTAAAGTTATTGATCGAGCAATGGATGTGCTGTTTACAGAACACCGAAGCCATTTGATCTACTTCATAACTTTGTTTGAACCACTTGTCTTTTTTATTCATGAATAAGCTACTATTTTTAAAAAAAACTATAGACGTCGTTTGAACTCATTTCTGCTTTCTAAAAATTTTTCAGAATCAAGAGGAACAACACAAGTGAGGACAGAGAGAGTAAACATTCCACTTGATCTTGACAAAGAAGACAAACCGATTTTTCTATATTATATTATTTCATACTGTATTCTATATCTTTCGTAACTCTTATCTGGGACATCAATTTGCAAGCGAGACAAAATACGTTTCAAGATATATACCACAATGTTTTAATCAGGAAATGGATTTCGAATAGACAACCAGTTCCTCTCCTTTTTGTCGTAATTAGATCAGATTTCGATCACGTGGATAGAAATTTCTATTGCACTTGTTACGCCAGAAACGATGGACTGGGGAGGCTCAAGAAGCTATGTAGGAAGCTTGCCAGCCTTAAAACTGTGAAACCGACTTGTAATTCAATATTTTCGAAAGCATAGAGATTAACTACTGACGCCACAATAACGGAAAAAAGGATTAAATTATTTGTTCCTGCAAAACTGGCAAGTCACCAAAGAATCAGAAGAATGAAAAAAAGGCAGGCCGTCGTCAATATGTATTTGACATTTGTATGCATTTGACCATTTAACGAGAAATATTCAAAATGGCGAAGAGATACCATCTGTCGTGCAAATCTTCATGATAATCGACACAGACTGACATGTATTTTTAGGGTCATCATAACTACGATCATTACATATATCGGTTGTCTACGCTAAAAACACGTTGCAAAACATAGTTCTTAAGGGTATACATGGTGTCATTACATATTGGCAGGGAAAAACTTTCTGTTCTCATTCTTATCTCACATTATAAATTATGAGAGGGAATTTCAACATCTTCAATTTATTTAATATTTATTATTACTTTGGAAGGGCATTCCAAAAGAATAAAAGCATACTTTTATTATCTAAGCAACAACAATGCATGTGGTGTATACAAAATACAAATATTTTTACAATCATTTAACAATTGATAAAAAGTTCCCAAGGTGGGTGGTAATGCTCAAATGACATTACGAGCTAAAATGTCTTTTTATCCGAAAAATAATGATGTATCGTGACAAGGCTACGACCTTCTTTACGTAATAAAATGTATTTCTTAAAATTTCGCAAAAATAATTATAGATAAGTGCAGATGGGTGCTTTTACATTTGAAAGAGTTTTAGTCGTTGTTGATTGCAATGATGAAAATCATTAACAATTAGTGTACTAAATTTACCAGACTAAATCAAGCTGTCGTTTAATATATTATAAGTACAATTTAACTCCTATTTTTAAAAGAACAAAGCATTGTCCGAAAAAGTTATGCCTTTCTCTATTCTCCTGAAATAAACACACAATTTTAAAGTCACAATGTTTTTGCTGCAAAAGAAATATGAACGTTTTATAATTCAATACACGACATTCTAAGTGTGATGTCGCAATTGTTCAGTATTTCCCTTGGCAAATGTCTTCACCGCGATCAAATCATTTTTTGAACAAAGGCAAGGCATTAAATTATCAGTTGAGATATGGACAACTCTAGAATAACTCTTATCGCAATGTCAAAATCTAAAAGCCTTCGGGACCAGCACAACTGTCGACCACAATAACAAAATATTTTTACTCACCTCAGCGGTTCAAAATAATCGTTCAGACAAGATTCACAAAAACGATGGCCACAAAGCGATATCTGAACAGGCCTTCGCAATGGCAATCCACACAGACCACAGAGTAAACTCTCCTTTAGCGGACTACAAAAATTGGCATCAATTCCTGGCATCTTTGGAAACTATCAATTACAAACTTGATCTATTGACTTGCTACGATGACTTTTTGCTTCCCTTTCTATTAAAGTAGGGACTTCTGAATTATATCATCCGTTAAAACGCTCCAAATTTTAACTTGAGTGCTTACATCCGCCGACGTTGTTTTGGTTTGTTTTGATATCGGCCGCAATGCTGAATTTGCATAAATATCCTTGATTGCTGTCACGTGGTACGCATTGGAATGCATGCAATTTTATTCAACTTTACGCAGATAGAAGTTCTCGCAACGGACTAAATATTTTCAAAAAGGTTCCCGCACTTGGCGGGATTGAATTTCAAATTCTTGACCTTAATTTGAAATGTGGAGAAAATCTTCAAAGTTTTATTTAAATTGTTAATCACAAGAATTACAGGATTACCCTTTTTATTTTTGAACAATTGGCAGTTACCAGAACATGAGTATTTCACTCCATAAAATATACTCCAATATCGTGGAAAAGAAATTGTTTCCAAGAATGTAGTTGGCAGTAGCTGCTGACTGCCCCGACACGGTGGAAACGATTAAAGAAAAAGAGCAAACGACGTCATACCTTTTATTTCGTGTTCTGCGTTCTGACTAACTTTAGACTGCTTTGATCCTTTTCATTTTACGTGTTTTTTCCCCGCACAACATAAAATTCCGTAATCGATTTGACTGCTTACGTAAACCAAAAAGAGGATATAAAAAAATGCTTTGAGTTCACAGCGTATACCCCCTGTAGTGCTGAATAACTGCATTTTGATTTATGATGCCAACGAGACGTTTCAAACATGATTTGGCGATGTTTGCTAACATTCTTAATAAAATTGAGTCAAAGTTACTTTGTCGTGGATTTGAATTCTTCAAGATGATAACCAACAATATCACACTGGTTCAATCACTTTTTCTTCTAAATTATTCTATCATTACTTTTATTTTATTTAGTTGAGAATAACTTATTACTTACAGCTAAATGACAACGTGAATACTTACAAACAGCCAGTAAATGCCCGTAAGCTTTTGACAAAACTTTCCCTTTAATGGAAACATACTGCAAATATTGTCAAGCAAATTATTCGTAAAATGTATTTTTTACAAAGTTTTGGGTCAAACAAAAAGTCGTTGTCTACCTTGAAATAAAGACATTTAAGGCTCGCTCATCCCATCACAATCGACAATAACTTTAATAAATATGGTATCATTTACCAGATAATTTCTCGTCTCTATTGCATCATGACGAACAAACTTTGCACCACCAAAACTAGCATTCTTTTCCATTTTTGGTCTGCCAAGAAATGGTTCGTTCTCTGGACAAGGATTTGGCTTGATGCTGAAAGTCACGTGTTCACGTTCCTTAGGATTTTCGTGTTGATCAAGAAGATAAAATGTCACTCGATAATTGAAGGGCCATTTTAGTAAGGAATCATATGCACCTATCAATATATGAGACCATACTTGTTTTGAAAGTGATGATTTCAATGTTTTAATATCTTTTAACTTTATTAAAAATTTTTAAATAAACTCATTGAATTTATCATGTACTATTTCTTTTAAATAACAATTGCTAATAACAATTGAATTTGCATTGTCAACAATATCGATTGTCACAATTTTATTTTTAAATCGCAACTTTCCACAATTTTGTTGCATTCTAAAACGTCAAAAAAATTCTTAGTTACATACGTCTTACCTTTTAACACACTGATAAAGATGGACATATGCGTTCCTTTTCCTTTACCATCACCATTTAGACATACTGAAGCACACAACCGATAACCATGTTTGCTTGTTGTAAATGTAGGACTGAAAAGAGTGCTAACTTGTCCGGATTTGCTATTTTTTAATTTCCTGGCGTAGTCTTCAATTCGCCAAATCATTGCGTTGTGTGCAATTCGTTCCAGATCACCAATGCGTCGGTCGACATCGGCGAACATTCCTGAAATGTTCGCAAATTCTTGCTCGTGTTTCGTCAAACGTTCCTTGTTGTCGACTGCCAATTGGTAAATAAGTCTTACATGATTGATGATGTTATTTTTAAATGTTTTGGTAACTTCTCACGCGAGCACTAAATCATTATCATGGATAAAACAAATAAGTTCAAAATAAAATAAGATGGCGCAGATTACCTCATTTATTAACGAGTTTAACAAAAAAATGTATTCAAACGATCAGAACTTTGTTCCCTAAATAAAATTTAGGCGTTCTTATTTTCTACAGATCTTCGATGTGCTTTGGTATACAGCATGACAGGCGTTTCTGTTTACTTTACTACAAATGTTTGTTCGGCTCTGGTGTCCAATAATGACGAAATATCAAATATCTACTTTATCAAAGTTCAAAAATGACGAAATATGTACTTTATCAAAATAAAAACATACCTTATATTCACAGCCAATATCTTCATATTCACAGGGAACTTTCGTCTTTGGACAAACCTCTTCGATATGTTTATCCAACTGTGAAGAGACAATTGACTCAGCAAACATTAAAAGTTATAGAAAAATATTGAAACTCATACAAAAGAAAGGAAAATGTCAAAAATTGTAATTAAATTTGTGGATGAAACCACTGAGTAAGTAAAATTATAAGAAAACGAAATAACACAAAATACAAACTTAATTCTTAGGGCTCCAGAGTGGTTGAGACTAAACTTATGGATTTTGAGCAAAGATTTGAAATTGAATTGAGTTGCAACAAAGAAATGCCACATACCTCGTCACGTGGTATACTTAAGGTTTTGTCGCATTTGTTTGGACAAGAGAGTGGAAACTTTGGACAATTTTGATTATGTTCCTTTTTTTCTTCACGATAGAACCTGTCGTCACAGTAAGGACAAGCAATGATCTTTTTAAGGCAATCTTTGTCAAGATGTTTTTGCAGGAAACGTCTCTGAAACTTGGCGCCACAGTCATTGGGACATAAAATATCCTCATAATCACAGTTTTCCATATGTTCCTAAGTGAAGACATTTTGAGACGTAAATATAGCTTCATCGATAAGATGTGTCATATATTCTATACGTCAGGGGTCTCCAAACTACGGCCCGCGGGCCAGATGCGGCCCGTTGGGCCTCTCAATCCGGCCCGCAGAGACACTTAAGAAAGCCAATTTCACCACTCACATTGACAAAACTGAACAGACTAATTGTGATTTTGTTATGATATTACTCTTCATTGAAATTCAACCTTTAAATTTTGAATAAATATTTTCTTAACTAATGAAGCTTGTGTAATGTACTTCGTTTTATTAAAATATTTGTTTTTTGACCAGCGGTATACGGTTCGTCGGCCCTCAACATGCTTGATGAAAGTTCATGTGGCCCTCTGGCTGTAAAGTTTGGAGACCCCTGCTATACGTCATAAAACGTCATATTGTTACTCGCGTGTGCTTGTTTATGGACCTGCTGATCTATATAGCATCAGAAAAAGTCTGTACTAACAAAATACACAAAATTGATGCCCATTCATAATGACCTAATCCAGTCTCCGAAATGACAACCAGTAGCTTCATCGAGACATAATAGAAAGATTACGATTCATAAATTCACAAACACGAATAAGATCCACCATAAGCACACACTATTTCTCGAGTTTCAATTGATAAATTAGAAAAAACTATAAACCGATCAAGGAAGCACAAAGACAGCAATGAAAACTTTGAAATAAAACTTGTCGATACTCATCAAAACTCAAAAGACAGTATTAGGTAAATTCATGATGAAATCACACGTAATAACAAAATACCTTAACTACCAAAAAATTTTCCCATACCTGTATCTGTTGATATTCACCTTCCCACTTACATCCCCATTCGTGGTTCGAGCATTTTACATCCAAAGCTAAAATTTCTTTATTGAAATCTTTGTCAATGGTTGCCTGAACAAAAATGTTTATAAAAAGTTCAATGATGATCAAAATTAGCAATACACTGCTGTCTGTATCTGTTACACACGGGAAATATAAAATCTAAGGAATCCATACGACGGTCATTTAATGTAAAAAAAAGATGGGAGTATGATGTACACAACATAAAGTATCATAGTCATCATACTATTAGTAATTTTCATTTAAAATTTTTAGAGGCCATTGCCAGAAAAAATCGAGGAAACACTTTGAGTAAATAGGAGTAGTGTTTTTAGGAAAACAATAACCATATACAAGAAACAAATAGAACTTCCTCTTTTAGAAAAACGATGGCGTCAGATGCGAAGGTCTTACATCGTAAGTATTATACAACTTGCGAACCTAAAGCTAGAAATTTAAAATCAGGGAATGCTGGAAATGCAAAAGAATAAAATCACGTATAATTCTCCATACTGAGATGGTTATTATGACAAGTTGACAAGCCAAATAAAGTTGCTGAATAGCGTCCTCAGCCAAAAATAATTTGGAAAATGGCAAAAAGCAATGTCAATTGAAGCAAAAATATAGATAAAACTACAACGTACCGATTCGACATCAATTTTCCCACGATCAACAGGGCATCGACCGTTGTCTGACCTAAAGGTATTAAGTTAATACAAAAGAGAAAGCAAGATTTGTTAAGGAAAACCAATATAATTTAAGCTGTACTAACAAAACAGGTATACACAGCTTGTAACCCTCCTTCTGCTTAGTAAAAGTCTGTTACAAAATGTGAGGAAAGAGATGTTTTAAAGCACAAATAAAAGTTAACACTGTTCACATTCATCTCGTTCAATTAAAATTCACATGAAATCCTAACTTGCCATTTTAAACTGGTTTGATAAGCGTTATCCTCCCCCAATTACGGTCACTTAGGATAAGTTTCTACACTTGACTATTAAGCTACAGTAGTATATGATATTTATTATAGTAAAAACTGTTACCTTTTAATTTTGGTTTCAAAGCAATGGTAACAAACACGATGACCACATTCTTCAAACACAACTGGATAACGTAAAACTTCATCACATGAAGGACATTCGTATTTCTTTTCCAAAGGATAGACAAAGTTCACTGACAGCCGCTCTTTCAGAAATTTTGGCATGGGAGTGTTGAACATTTGATTACGAACATTCCCCAGGCTCTCAAAAGGGCTATTTCGAACACTTTCTGATTTGGAACTCATAGAGCTTCTCATACTGCGTTGGCTTCCAGTCATGTTCTGCTGAAGTAGCAAAACAGAAAACCTGTTAGCTCCAAACACAGTTATCTCTTTAATCAACGACGATTAAAGACTTTTTAAAAATCACTTTAACTAATCAATAAAAACGAAGACCATCCTGCGTTCACAATACCCTTGCTAACACGTTTAAACATAAATTCGTGCTCTCGTTTGTTGTCATGGTTCAGTTTGTTGTCACAATTCGTCAATTATTAATACAATGGAACGAACGCAATTGTAATTTTTTCTTCAATGTATTTATACGATTTCAAAAAGATTTATGTGGGCAATTTCGAGTAAGCGAACTTTGAAAAGTGCGGATGAAAATTAACAATAAAACAAAAAACTAGGTGCAAGTATAGAGAAAAATTATTTTATTTTCTCGACTAAAAACTAAACACATGCATACAGCTGGTATTTTTTGTCGATGTCATATAATTAAGCATGTTATTATAATTTGTAATACACCTGCACAATTAGTAAAGCAGAGTGCAAGTGGGCCAGAGTGCACGGTCTTAATGAAATATAATTGAAAACAATCTATAACGTGACTATTTATCGAAATGAAATATGCCCATTAAGCACCATTGGAACTCATTTTTGAGGCGAGTTAAGGCTGAAACACACTAGGCAGTCGCTTTAGTCGCGCGTCTAAAACTACCGCTTTGCGTGGTTACTAAGCTAGTAGCGTAGTCGCGTCAGCTAGTCGCTTTGAAAGTTCAACATGTTGAACTTTTGACTTTGGTCGCTTCAGTCGCTTTACACTGATTGGGCAATAGATACATTTTAACTTGCTAAATGCATATCATATTTCCTTTCATACGCATCATACGAAATTTATAGATTATACCTTGGAAAACGAAGGCAATATATAGTGAATTCACACTGGAATCTTTCAGTTTTTATATGACTTATCAAATAGGGACAATAGGAGCTACAAACTGGAACCCTAATGCACAACCTAAATGCCCAGAATAAGATTATCCACAATATACGAGTAATGGGCTATGATCATATTGGCGTGTTTTAACTGGCTTGTTCTCTTTCCTCCACATAGTAGTTTGTACTGAGTAAATATTCATATATTAGTAACTATAATAAAAGCCAAAATAAAAAGTTTAAGTGATATCTGTGTCTGTAACAAACTAAAATCACCGCCATGTTCAATAGACGCCACGGTAAATGTCGCGATGGTCGCTGCATGTGTGTTTCTAGCGTTCAAGCGACTGACGCGTACGCATCAATTCGCTTTGGACGCGCGACTGAAGCGACTGCCTAGTGTGTTTCAGCCTTTAAAAAGAGAAATAAAACTGAACTTTGACGAACACAGTAGTCAGTCCTGCCACTGATAAAGATAGCAGTGAGGCAGTATTTCTTATAAATATTTCACGAGTGATATCATTGATACTTCCAAACAGTTTTTTACCGAATGATTTATCCAACCACAACACGCCATTTACGATGTTAGTGAGAATTTAATTTTTTACTAACGAGCTATTCTGATGTTATAATACGACTGTCTCGTAAATAACCAAAATTTTCACGAAACTCTAAGTCATTTCCAACAGTCTACAGCTTAAAATTCAACACTGTTTTCATCACTAATGTAAAATTGCCACGAGAGGGAAGGTTAAATTTAAAAAAAGTTTTTACAACAAACTTAAAAACGACAAAAGAATACGTCATCATCGTTTTATAACTTAATCAAATGCAAAATAATTCATTGCGGCAGAGTTCTGGTTGGATGTTTCATTTTAAGGTTTATAGCTAGTTTCATTGTATTTTTGATAACGAATCACTTAATGGAAAAGGAATCAACTCATAAAAGAAATAATGCACAAACTGAGATCTTGTCACTTCAGCATGTCAAATAATTTAGGATACAGAGTCATACCTGCGATTCTGAAGAAGGTTCTGGTTTCGTCGTTTCTTCGTTGTCTGATCGGTTAGCATACTCATCTACACTACAGTCAATCGCTTCATCCATAACGAACAATGTTTATGACAATTATCATAAACTTTACGTAAAAAACGTCGTTTACGTATTTCGTAGGCTGGTGGTGTTTGGACTTTAATTTTGACAGCTAGACAGCTACTGCTGTCACACACAATGCAGTTAAAATAGAATATAAAAACTGAGGAATGGCTGACTTGATGAGAAATCACCTAACTTAAATTATAAATTAACAAGGCCTTCACCTTTTTGGAACGTCAAAATGAGTAAAGTTTCAGTCGAACTAGTAGTTTCTCGAGGGATAGTTGAGCAAACACTCGTCGTGAATTACAATAAATTATAAATTATAATGATAGACGTTTTACTTGGAGACTTTGCTTGAAATATGCATCAATTAAGGAAAAGAAAAATTTAACATGTACCTATCTAGTTTGGAAAAATTAATGCAAAGTTTTTTTTCTTTATGCAAATAAGAGAAAGGGAAAGTTGTAATAATCTTTCGTTTCACGAATAAAGTTAACTATTATAGATGTTTCGAGAACTGCTTGCACTTCAATATTCTTGTGTAGTAAAAGTTTGAGTTGAGTCAGTTGACCTTGTACAACACTCAGCTAAGTAAAGAAAATTTCAGTTTCATTGGCATTCTTAGAGATTGGCACATAAATCGGTGGATGATGTAGCTAAACGGCGGGGCCTTTCCTCTATACACTTAAAACTGGCAGCAACTTAAAAATCGTTCACCTTATTTGGACTAGGATGTTTGCATAAATGTGTAGCGACAGGACTTCATGCATGATTTCGTTAAATTCATGAACTTGACCTAGCACTTTCCCCTTAGCCACGGCGTACGGAAGGGGGGGGAGTATGATTTTCATGCTGTAATTTGCTTCATCCGATTGTATTGTGCGTCTCCAAACTCATTTCGTTATTTATGAAAATTGGCAGCGCTTTTATTTGACAACTACGGCTAAGAAAACAAACATATACATGTGACGCGTGATTCCGTTTTTAAAACCGGGACCCCTGACATTGCTAATTGAGCTACGCCTATTATTATTAGCGGTTTTGGATAATGGCGCAACTCGAATTACGATGCAGAGAGAAAATGTAAACAAACGCCAAGTCTTTGAATGGCCGTAACCATCCTTAACCTCTGTCGATCACGATAATGGTCTTACAGTATGAAGGTCTGGCGTTTGAACACACGGCTTTTGAGGGCTTTATTATTTTGCCTTGTGTTTGTCATGTTTATTAGCTATTGCCTAATGCCAAAAAGGAAGAAAGACAACGAAAATCAAACGGTTTCAAGCACGCTTTATGATTTGGAAATTTCAATCAACAAACGACACGAGGCCGCCGCCACGCAGAAACTTAATACAAAAAAATTGTAAGTAATGACGACAATAATTATGCTCAAGTTGTGAAAAGCTTTTGAGCAATATGACAATAAATTTGACGGACCACACAGAACTGTGTAAATATCACGCGTGCCTCTTTTACATTGTCTGTCATCGATGGTAAGGCAAATAATACAATTATATCTCGATCCTCTTCTAGGTTAACTTCTTTCTATGCATGTGAAGCGGTCATTGAAGACCACACTTTGTATCAGCCTAACACAATGTATGATGTGGTATAACGTTTGCAATACAGGCGAAAGGTGATTGATGAAGTCATAGAATTGTTGAAGATGTTCGTATTTGTTTGTATATTTCAGCAGAGACAGTGCACACTCAACACACGCTTTTATTTTAATAGCATTTTGTTTGTTCTTGGCCGTGTGTAATGATTAAATAATAAGATCTCGCTTTTGCGATAAATTTCCATCAGCATTAAATCTCCCAATTAACATATGTAGGCGACATAGGGGAGAAAAGCGACTTCGTTGACACAAAGTGCAAATTTTATAAATGCAGCGGTGTAAAATCAAAACCAAACTTAAAATTTGGGATATCAATGGCACGGGTGTTGTTTATCAAACAGTTATCGATATGAAGACACAGTTTTGTGTTTTACCACATTCGCTTGTAATTCAAGTTAAGCAGCAGAACATTGTGAATAGTTCAAGAATTTTGAAAAGTCAATAATCAGGAAATATATATACTCTCTTGCAACTTGGTATCCGGCGGCATTTAGTAAACGTGCCAAAATATAAACGTTGTAAAAGAAAGAAACTTCAGAATAGGAGGAATGTTCAGAAGTACAATGAACACAAATACCTTGGGAAAAGAACGCCTTTATTCAAACGCTCATTAAATGTGATAAGAATTTCGTTTCTACGCAATAATTTTAAACATATTATTAAGAATTCACCGAATTAACTACGAGTTAAAACAACACTTTCGCTGTCCTGGAAAGCCGTAGCAAATATTTGAGCTAGATTTGATATAGAAGTATCATTCGATGCGCGTGGCTGTGTATAAATGCCAATACTATTATTAAAGGCAGTATAAATATCTTAGAAAACGTAGCTATATTAGAACTTGGAGAACAAAGAACATTATACATAACTATATAACCAATAGACAACTCAGTATAGTTAAAAGCAGCATGAATAACCAGAGAAATAAAACTATATATTATGAACAGGAGAACATTATTGTGTCAGGTAAGAGAAAACACGAGAACCTTGGTGATAAAGGATGATCGTGTCATCAAATGAAACTTATAAACATCTAAACTAACACTTCTTCTATCTTAGATCTTCCACAACACCCAAACGTGCAAATATGATAATGCATGTGGCATCAGTCATTTGTGGAAATCGTCTGGAAGAAGGACTCACAATGATAAAATCCGCATTGATCTTCACCAAACAACGTATTCATTTTCACATCGTTTCTGAACTTGAATTACAAGACAAAGTCAGGCATGGAATAGGGAACTTTCCATGGCACGTTCAGAAAATTTTGAATTTACAATTTATAACTTATCGTTTCCTGAGGGGAAAAACATGCAATGGAAGACTTTGTTTAAGACATGCGCTTCTCAACGATTGTTTTTGATGGTAATATTTTATAACAGACTGATAAATTATAGCTTAAAGCGTTGATCATGTGACAAAAAATAGTCGTTTTACATGTCATTCGTTAAAAAATTACAACTTAATGGTCAGTTTTCTCCAGGGGTGGTCTGCCAATGACCAATAATTAACTTGTACAACAATCATGTGTTAATAAAATATCTCTCACGTTAGAGCAAGTACATTCTGGACAAATTCTTGTTCACAATCATTCAACATGACCTACCACAGGGATATACTACTTTTATACATTTTAGGACTACCAAGTTTGCCCACAAGTTGTAAGGTTGAAGTCAAATGATAAAAACATAAATAATTAACTAAATAAACGAAATAATTACTGTTACGCTCAGTAAACCTAGTCTGACAAAGGTTTTGGATGTAGAATTGCAACTGTTTTATTGTTCTTTGACACAAGCATTATTAACAACATATTGACAAACATCCTTTGAATCTTAGAACTTTTTGATGCAAAAGAAAATTCTTTATCTGGATACCGACACTCTGGTTTTAAGTCCTCTGGAGAAGATTTGGGATCATTTTAGTCAATTCAACAACAGTCATATATCTGCGATGACAAATGAAGCAGAGGTCAAAACACTAGATTGGTATCCTCGTTTTGCTAGACATCCTTTTTATGGAAAATTTGGTTTGAACTCAGGGGCAATGCTGATGGATCTAAACAGCTTAAGAAAATTAGACTTTACCACGGAGATAGTTGAGATGTATAAAATGAACAGATATAACATTGTGTGGGGAGATCAAGATTTATTGAACATCTACTTCAATAAATATCCAGGTATGTTGAAAAGAATGATGATGTTAAGGACCTACCACATGATCATCTTTTTCTCCTCATTACATTTACTCTTATGGGGCAGGTTGCACGAAGCCTGGATAACGTTATCTATTGGATAGCAAAATTTTCAAACTTATAAAAAAGGTGTTTATTTTTCATACGACAAAGGCATTTCGTAACCTTCGAAACAATATTTTATTTCAGTGATAGCTCAGTTCGAATCTTATATTTTTTGCTTGTTAAAACGTTTTATAAAAGTTTAAAAAAATTGCTATCCAATGGATAACGCTATCCAGGCTTCGTGCAACCTGCCACAGATTAAAACAACTCTCCAAGTCTTTTTGTGATACACAAGTTTCTTTCGTATGAAAACATTTACTCTTCTGATACACACACCTCTCTAATACAGAAATCTTTTTGTTAAACAGATGTTTCTATCGTACAGAAATATTTTCTCTTTTATACACACATCTCTGATGTACAGACATCTTTTTGTGATACACAAGGTCTCTCGTATAGAAACATTAACTCTTCCTATACACACACCAATCTGAAGTACAGACATCTCTCTCATATTTAGATCTCTTTTTGATTCAGAGATCTGTCACTTCAATATTAAATTTCACGTAAAAATTCCAACAAATCTAATCTCAAAAATTTAGAGCGTGTTTATGTCTACTCCTGTGAATGGAATTATCGACCAGATCATTGCATGTACGGGAACAACTGCGAGACCGCTGTGCAAAATGGTATATACGTTCTTCATGGAAACCGGGGGGTGTTTCACAACACCAAACATGAAACATTCAAGGCGATATACGAAACAATTAAACGTTACAAATTTGGCCAAGATATTCGCACGGAAATAGCAGAGAAAATTTTGAATCTTGAATATCAAAAAGTGGAAGATAAATACTGTAAGTATATTGTCAATTATGTGGTGAAGAATATGCAAAGAAACAACGCTTTGAGTTACGGAGATGTGTAAACTTTACACAGACAGAATGTTGACGAGGCCTGAATTCATAACAATATCACACTTTATATGTCAAGAATTGACAGGAACAGATCTAATACATGGAAAATGGTAGACAACAATTAACTGTCTTGAGCTTGGGATAAAAATTGACATGAACAGATCTAATGGAAGATTGTCAACGAGACTTAACTCTATATCACCTTACTCCTGTTTGGTGTAAAAAATTCGGGAACAAAAACAAAAACATATTTGGTCGACACAACGTAAAAACGTAATGTAAACTTTAGTTAACTAACGTATCATGATGGAGGCATGTAGCATCAGTTGAACTGGTTATTTATGTTTATTGAAATCATTTAAACACAAAAATATCGATTAAATGCATGCGAAATTTATTCGATTGAGATTTGCAATGCGCATGCGTATACAAGCCGTCATCTTTTCAAGTGAGACCAATACAACGAATCCAAAACACTGAGATCAGTTATTGGTTCCTTTGAATAGCTGACACGGACTGCACGATGAAAATTGAAAAAAGGTCAAATTCGCTTATTTTAACAACAGCAGGCGCTCACTGTATGCGGTTCCTTAACGGTGATTGTAGCCCTCACTGTACGCGGGCCGTTTTTTGCACCGGTTCTCCTAGTTTTCCCAACATTCATTTTATAAAAATTTTATTATATACAAATCTTTGTCGGTGGCAAAATCGATGCTATCATAGCTTATGAAGGTTCGTCACTTTGTTCTACTTTATGTTAGTTTTAGCAGCCATCAATATTTAACCAAGAAACCAACTTCATACAAAGAAATGATTTACGTTTCAGACGCCAAATACTACACCAAAATAATCTGGCGCTAAAATTCCTCGGCTTTTCATATTCGTGATTGATGAACTTAGAAAAGCAAAGTATTGTGAGCAGTACTATTGCCTTGAGTAATAACAATTAATATAATAATTTTACTGCTTGTTGAAGGCTATGGCCGCTATGGTGCCAAAAAATCTTGCTCACACAAATTCCCTAATGTTCCTAAAGGTCGATATATGGAATTTCCATTGGTTCATCTAATGCTCGTCACTGCGACCAGACGTTATTGTCGAACGTTTAGTTAAAAACGCCAAAAATCGAGAATTAAAAGTAATGTTACCTCAGAATGTCTAGAATCCAGAAAAACAATCATTCTTGTTCTTTACTAAACACGTGATTTCTTGCAATGCCGACTGTACATGTACTTTTACACTGTATCCAATTTTACTGTGAGCTTAACGTGAGTCAAAGATCATAGATTTGTGTTTCCTAAACAATCAAAGACATCATCTCTTATTACACCTAGTGAATCCGACATTATAATTTCCCATTTTAGAATTCAAACACAAAATGAGTAAACGTCCTTGACACAAACCTGTTCTTGAATTTTCGGCCGCTTGCTCAGATGAAGATGGATTGGCTTTCTTTAGCATGTTTATGAAGAGTTGAGCACGGCGTCGTCGCTCTAGTTGAACTTGACGTCGAAGTGATGATGTCGTTGACTTTGCTTCTTCCTCTAGTCTTTCAACTGCAAGGCAAAACAAAAAACGATGTACACTCCATTTCAAACATATTCTTGTAAAGTTATTATTATTAATAATTTACAACAAATGTACGAACCTTCCTTCTCCTTTTCTTGTTTCAGTTTAGTTGCTCTTTCTTCGGCAATTATATCTTCTTGAGTTTTGGTGCCGCCACCTTTCTGCAAAGAATCCTTGATGTCAGAAACAAAAATTCTTATCTTCTTAGCGATGGGCCTAATAGCTACGTTAAAATTACACATTTATGTCTTACGCATCATTCTAAGATGACATAAACATAAATTTACATTTAACATGGGGGTAATGGAGGATTGGTAAGGTGATACAAAGGAAATTAGTTTAGAAAATGTACTAGTGATGATAACATACGCTGCAATAGTTACTCCTATACACACCTTGCTATCAACATCAATCCCCGTGATATCCTTTTGTAGACCATCCTCGTCATTTTCATCAGCCTTGGCAGTCTTATACAAGATACTACTTTTATACTCCATAACAGTTCTTTTATCGTCTTTCTTTTTGATTTGAAAGCTAACGGGTTTAGAGCTCGGCACCAGCACTCCGCTTTTGTTTACATTTTCTTCAACGGACTTATTACTAATTTCTCCAGGATCGTTCTGGAACTGACGAATTCTGCTTCGATAATACGTGTAATGATCACTGGTTTCATTTATAAAATCAAACCTAAACAAAAATGCGGTAAAGTTAGAATGATTCTTTCGGTAATTAATGCACATATAGCACATATATTTTACGGTCTATTTTATTTCGTATCAATAAAATTTGAAAGCAAGAAATAAGAAACGTTGTTTGTTTTTGCTGACTTGCCTTGGATCATTTTTAGCACGAATATTTTCTTCAAATTGTTTTCCATTTCTTGCAACGTACTGAGCGAGTTTGTCACAAATGGGCTTTAGGTCAGGTGGCGGAGGAATTATGGGATGGCCGCCGTATGCTTCATTATCATGATAGAAAAGATTTGACAGATTTGCCTGAGAATTGTTTTGGTAAAATATCGATGAATCTCGAGGACTCTCTAAAGTAAACGTAGAAGACTGTACGAAAACACATATCTGAAGTTTACGTGCACATAATAGTGAAAAGGAAATATCAGACAACTCCTTATGAAAAGAATACAAGAGTGAAGTATCTTAGGACAATGGTAAGAAGAGTGAATATTCAATCACTCTTCGACACAAGCCTAAAGTATATAAAAGCTCAAATTCCAACAGGAACGGATACACTATTGTTTTTTTGGGGAGGGTGTGCTCTAGTTAGGATTTATTATATTAGTATTTTGTAGAGAAATTGGCAACTCTTTCCTAAATCCACTTTTCATGAAAACACTACACGCTGAAGTATGAAAGGACACGTGTTTTAACGTCAAAAAACTGGTGAATACACTAGGATTTAAGTGTATAAAGTTGAGCATTCCATTCTTTTGATAAAGAGATCAGACTGCAGTAAACGGATGTGTCTATAAATTTGACATTCCTCGGGCAAAATTTTCAATACTCACCATGTCTCTCAACAGATGAATGTGTACCAGGTATTACATATGAATTATCAGAATACGTCAAGGTGTGTTCACCAGCATGTCCCATCATATTCATGGTTGCCAAGAAAGTGTCTGCCTTCATAGTGAATGAGGATGTACCAGGGTCTTCTACAAAATTCAAACAAACATTTGGAACAACTTGACACAGTAATTTTAACATACACATTTTGTTAATCAGTAAGTGAAACATGTCGCGAGCTCTCCTTTTTACAAAAAATCACACTAATATCTTTACTCGTTGTCTTCAATAAATTTAGAGCAAGTTGCGCATGCTACATGCAACTGCTATGTAAGGTCGGATTGCAAGAAGCATTCATAGCGCATGCAGTGATAAAAACTAAATTTTTCTCAAGAAAAATGGTAGATACATGCACAAGTAACTTCTTCCTTCACATAACAACATCATAATTTACAACTTTACATGTTAGAAACATGCTTAAATTTTTATATTTTGTAAAGGAGAGTGAATAAACGATCAACAAAATAATCCATCGCTTTGATTTTTCAAAATTCACGCAATCTTATCAACAAAATAACGATTTCATGTGCCAAAAAAAAAATCGAGAAGAGCCAATCATCAATGACTTGGACAAGTGTGTACCTGGATTAACAACGGTCCATCCAGGAGGAAGTGGAGGAGGTTCCACGGGGGGATAATGTCAGTTTTCTTTTTGGATGAGATGGGATTTCTCAATGATGCAGTAAGCAATGGGTGTAATTCCATTTCACCGTCTGATGACTCCTCGTCCGATTCTTCAACTGTGAAGTAAAAAAGATTTTGTCAAAATTATTTTATCGATTCTTACATGATTGTTGATACAGAAACATATGTACGACTTAAGGTATCAATGTTTCAAAACATTCACAGATATTACATATTTAATACAAATGAGGAAATTGATAAAACCATCACTAAGTTTATCCAATCGACTATAAGATATTGAACCTTCTTTTTCAGGAGAAACTGCGGGCTTTGCAGGTTCATAGTTTCCACTACGTATAGCCTTTAGGATAAGTTTATAATAGGGATTCAAACGATGATCGAATTGGAGAAAATCAAACTGCGGATTTCCCGATTGCTTTGCTTTCACTACAATTTCCATTTGAGCGCCATGATCTTTTATAAAGAATGCGGTTCTCTCGATGATCACGTGGTGCTTCGCAGTGTCTGGCTACAAATGGAGCAAGAAAAACTTTATTAGAAGGTGAGAAAATAAAACAATAGCGACCTATACTTCAAACGGACCTAGTCCTTTTCCGACCGAAACACAAAAATAGTTGACTGTTTCCATGTTGCGAGCAATTTTTCAATAAATATTTAACAGACATAGCATCAAGGCTGTCCTTTTTAATACTTGCCCATCCATCAGAAATGTTGTTTGCCGTAGAGAACAATGCCATGAGGGTATGAAGTGGTACGTTATGATACGATATGATGGGATATGATAAGATGACGGGATATGATAAGATATGATAAGATATGATAAGATATGATAAGATATGATACGGTGTGATACGACATAATAGCTAAATGAATATTTAAACTCGATTCTTTGAAATATTTCTTATTAAGTCTTCAATTCAAGAGCCTTCCTATAGACCTTAAAAAGATAAAAAAGATTTTTCGTCAACAGTTTTTTTCAGTATAAATGTCTTTTCAATTTGCACCCAAAAAAACATACTAGACACCAGAAAGACAACTATATTGACATGTAACCATAAAATATAATTAATGCTTTCTTTAAAAATAAAGGAAAGAGATAGTGAGAATTAAATAGAAAACGCGTGGTGAAAAAATAAATTTTTTACAGTTTGCACAATTTTCATAGTGAGACCTATTTCTTTTACAAAGACCCAAACAGAAAAAATAAAATTTTAAAATATCTTAATGATTGTTGGAAGTTCACAATGCGCTTTGCCCGCTGCATTCGTTCTATTGCCAATCAATAAAAATGTGATTCTGTTGGAAGTTCACACTGCGCTTTGCCCGCTGCATTCGTTCTATTGCCAATCAATAAAAATGTGATTCGGTTTCGACAGCTACAATACACAAGTGCATGTACACAAACTCTATGATTGATCGGGTCGGCGATTTTAAACTGTGCGAGGCATAAGTTTATTTGCACACGCTGAATACAATTTAGAATTTGTGGACATTATTTGAAAATTTATGCGTGCTAAATTTGTAGATATGGCTGTAAATACAGCTTAATTCAATATTTTGTCCATATCTCACATCGAAATGTGCAGTTTCTCTTCATAGCACAAATTGGAGGAACCTGAATCAGCAGAATAAGCTGGGACACATTTTACTATGCTTTATTTGAACTCGTTAGGTCGATCATTCTATTTCAATTTCCAAAAATATTTGGACACCCCGTTCATCAGTAGCGGACCTAGGGTACGTCAAAATAGGGTACTACAGCACATTTTGGCATATATTTACATTTCTAAGCGTCTTAGAGACACATCAATTGGTAAAATTATATTCTTTATTAGAAATTCAAAAGCAATAGTGTTTTTTTGAAAGTATTTTGAATTTAGAATTAAGTAGCTGGCTAGCTGGCTATAATTTATTTTGACGAGCGCTGGATCCGCTACTGATGTTCATCACCATATAGGAAATGAGTCAAATATTTTTCAGCCCTGGTAACTGACCCACGGAATAAACTTTGTTCAAGGTATACGAAAAAAGACCCACGGGAGCAGACCTTCGTGAAAGAGCCCCAGGAAAAGACTCCCGGAGAAAGAAATGACTCTCAGGAACTTCATTAGTGAAACATGATTGTTTCTGGATAAAATTTACTGACCTTTTTCCTAAAACAATGGACTTCTTTTCAGCAAATGAAATGACAAGTTACTATAAAATGTCTAACACTTGGATTGAATAAAACATTTTTCTTCATTGTGATGATTTTCATACAATAGTTATCCAATAAATACAAAGAACAATAGATTACATAAGTTTTTTGCAGTACATCAAGATAGTCTTCTACAGTGTTTATGTACACTTACCAGTTCCATATCTTTGGGAATATTTAGTTCTTTTGGTGGGACAAAATCTTCCAACGGTTCACTAGGCTGTTCTATTTGCTGTTGCTGTATTGATTGTTGTGCTAATTGTTGCTCATGTTGCATCTGTTGTAGTTGATAATGTTGTTGCAATAATGGTATTGGTTCTGAAACAAAATAACATGATCAATTACAATGTATTTTTGTATAACAAAATGCCCTTTGTCAAATTGATCTGCTATCTGATTGATTTATTGCAACAACTTCATCACTTGAATCATGAATACTGGTCAAAGATATCATTTATGTACCTACCAGATTCAGTTTGGTGCACATTGTTAGAATAATACAGAGCATTTGGGTTAGTTGTCTCAAGATGAGTAGCGTCATAGTTGTATTGTGGGTAGAAATGATTCTCTTCGCCATAAGTCATGCCAACTTCATTGTATGAACCAACTTCTGAAGCAATTGCTGCTCTGAATCTTTTCATTTCTTCCTCTGAAAAATTTTTAATTTTTCCAAGTGAAAATCATCACAATTGGTATTTTTCCAGGTCAGTCACTGGCAATGGTCTTATTCCATTTTAGTGCAAATCAAGCTGTTGCATAAAAGTACTCATGTTTATAAAAACATATTAGGCAAAATTACTATTTGTGGTAAAACTTCCTCTAGCTTAGACAAACTTTCTCATTACGTATAAACATTGATATTTTTCCTTTGTTTTGGACAAACAATAAATCTTTGCACATATGCACCACACTATTGCTCAAACATACTTCTTGTACAAAGGCAGTCAAAGCGAGCTGCTCGGCCATTGTGTATTAATGTAGGATAGTTAAAATTCTTATCTGTGTCAAAGCCCAATCAACTCAATACATAGCAAGTCTAACTGATGCAAAGTTGCAACTAAAGCAAGAGGAGTGTAAGAAGAATCCCATAGATATTTAAAATTATTATTTTTTAGTGGGGTAACTTTTAAATGTTTCTACACTTTCTTCCAATGTTACACTATCAAAATATCTTCTGTTGATTAGCAGTTCTTTTGATTGCTCGTATATAAAGGACATCAAAAGTCAGTCAACACCAACACAAAAATTAACATACGTACCTTTGAAACAATGAACATCTACAAATATGTTGTTTGTTTAAATAAGTATAATTTTATGTTGGAATATAGCTAATACCTTCATCATCTGAATAATTTGTTCTATCATGTTCCAAAGCTCTGTATCTCTCTTGATCACAAAGCTGTTCAATCTCTTGTTCCTGAGTTGACAGCTGTGATGCTTTGGAAATAAAAGATGTGAGATCTTCCAGAAGTAGTCGGCCATCATATCTAGAAGAAAATATTATTACTGCATGAGATCTCGGATGCACAGGACAAACTTTCTGCTTTGGCAATCTTGAAATTGAGACTTGATGTTAAAATTAACCGAGGTTTCATGCACACCTCACATTTATTTCTCCCTTAGCTCTGACGGCAACTTTTGCTAGGGATGTCAAAATGTCAATCAATAAAGTCCTATTCCTAACTGCATTAAAAAATATTGTAAAGTAAATTGTAAGTATTATACCCACCTATCTATCATTAGAGATTTATCACCCATCCATGGAATCAAATGCTTTCCCTCGTCAAAGAACATGGCTTTTTCGTCATCATGATATGTGTTGCAAGCGTATCCAAAAACCAATAAACTTTCCTCATTTTTTCTCTTCTCCTTTTGACCAATTCTTCTTTGCAAAAATTGTTGGTTGTAGTTACGATTTCTGAAGGAATCTTCGTCGTTTTCGCGACCGTGAGGCGCATTAAATAGCACCGACATTACGAATCAGTTTCGTTTGCTTGATTTCAAGTTTCTCCAAACAAACCATTCTAAAAAATCATTTAAAATATGTATTTTTTTAACTTTAGGACAAATTAATACTTGGCTATTGGTTAGCCATTCGTGCTCTTCTAGTACTCGTGGAGACTAAGTCGAGTTTTTAAAGTAGTTGACTTTTACTTCCGGTGCATCGAGCTCAGCCAAAAGATAACGAAGAGTCCTTTTATTTTTATAAATCCGTCAAATTTTAATCATTTTATCAACAGCAGCATTACATGGTAAAGGATATTAGATAGTTCCGCAAATAAAAATCAACATACATGCGTTTGCACAACTTTCGGTCATAAAACTAGACAGGTTTACTATAAAGTCTGATGGACTTGGTCTATTGTGTAATGGTGTGTCACTGTTCTGTAAACGCTAATATGCAAATTGTGGCATTATTTAAGTTAATTTTAAATTCCTCACACGTTCCTCCACGTGTAACGTTTTCATAAAGTGAACGCCGTTGCTCTTGTGAAAATAGTTGGGGAACACCGTTTCCCCAGCGTCTCCTCCTGCAAAACATCACTGCAACTAGAATGAATACTTTATTGCCATCATCAAAGTCAAAAAAGCAAACAAAGCAAATTTTCAATGACGCGTAAACGAACATAGGTTGTCACGTGTGGAGTATGTTGTCATTACTCGGAAATAAAAAAATTCAAGTGAAATATGAACACAGCCTGTTGATTATGATGCCAAACCCAATTCAAAATACCTGCAACTTTCAGTAATGTGTAACATCGATCATTTGAAATGATAGCATTAAAAATTATTCACTAATTGAATGTTTCTCACTTTTTATGGCAAGTCTGTCTTTACTTAAACATGAATCCTTTTACAACAGCCGTCGCTGCAGGCGCATTAAGAAATAGAAAAAAAGAAGATAAGACGAATGGGTGTGTAGATGAAAACAAACATGAGCAAAACCGCGACAATGGAGTCAACAAAAGTAGTGAAGACAAGAAAAACGAGAAGAATGGAAAAGAATGCCATATCTTATAAACACTGCGTTGGGTAAAAAATAACTGTAAAAACTGTGGAGGTTTAGAATTAGTCTAGTATATTGTTTTTATTTATTGCATTGTAATGAGCAAAGACTTTAAAAAATCTTTTTCTAAAATTTCTGACAAAGCTGTAAGTGGTAAAAAATCTTTAAAAAAACTCTGTGTAGTGTGAATGCAAATTTTGATAATAAGGTAAATCAGTTTTATAGGTCATACACTTGTCGCATGTCCATCCAGTTTGTAAATAGTAAATATGTTATCTTCTATGCATATGTCTGCTAGTTTCGCCAGCGGCTACATGATTGAATGTACAGGTGCAAAAAATCTTTCCCCCTCCCACATAAACGACAAAAGGACAAAACTTATAAATTGTTCTCCTTTATTTCGCATACAATTTCGCATCGCGATCAAGTTTAGTTTTTGTTTCCGAATGAATGCTCCTGGTAGTTTATCCAATAAACTTGCCAAACTATGTTAAAACGCGTCTATTTACCGAGAACTTTCAATTTCATACCGAAATACAGCTTAGGTGTGAATTACACAACAATTTATAACAGGATCCATGGAGAAAATAAAATGAGTGGAGCGATTACGAAGCAGCCAAAGCGAAAGTATTGTCTGATTTCTTTAATTTACCAACAAAGAAAACTTTCACTACATCCAAAAAAAATACCGTGGTTAGCAAATAGTCGATTATATCAGAGAGGCACGAGAGCAGGAAGGCCTATATCATGGAAAAGCAGGATGTGGATTGCCTTTCGAGGGGTTTTCATCGCTACTGGAGGCCTTGTGTGGTTGGTACTTATTGTTGGTTATTTTGCTTTGGATAGGATAACTGTTGATATATTAGACAGTGATAAAAATATGGGAGCTTATGCTCTACAAAAGAAACTGTCAGAACATTTCTTCAAAGAGACAGATGAAGAGGCAATCTTAGTGAAGGACAATGCCCTCGAAAATATATGGCACAAATTAAGTGAAGAAGAACGAATTAAGGAGATATTTGGGCAGCCTGTGTTTATTTGCGGTTATAATTATGTCCAAGGTAAGGAAGATGTGGAAAGGTTACAAAAATCCTTCAGTAAGATGAAAATAGAAGATAGCAAAATGACTAACTCAACAGACGATTTTGAAACATCGGTGAGGGCATCTGTGTGGGAAGCTGAATGTTATGTCCAAGGTCCAAAAACTTTAGGTCAGATGAAAGTTGTCTTTCAAAAGTTAAACAATGATTGGGTTCCTGTTTCATTACACCTTGAGACACTTGACAAAACTGGTTTGGTGGTGAGTAATGTTTCTTCATCATTACCTAATGGCATCAAGAATTTTACAAGGCTATCTAACCTTTGACTTTAGCAAAAAAGAAGTTATACTTTGAAAACATTCTTATTCAATTGCATGATTACTCACCTTGCACTCACACAATTTTCCCTATGTAAGATACTTTATGTAATAGAAAATAGTATTTTCGGTGATTTTTAAAATCAATTGATTTTAATTCATACATATAAATATAATTAATATTACAACACAAAATGTTTGTAGTATTATGTAACAGGTATAAATAATGATGAACAGTGAACATGTATGAAAATGCCATTTTATGGCTTATTATTTTGTTTTACCTCCAATTTTATTATTTCAGCTACTTTTGCAGCAGAACAGTGTTATCAAAATGAACCTGTTATTAATAAAAAAAAACAAGTGTTTTCATAAATCATCACAAGTTATCAACAATACAGAGCAGGGAAATATGTTTATCTCCAAGAGAATGAGGTCAATGCATTTCATAGCATATTACCTTCTTTGGTTTTTCAGGCTTTCCTTTTACCATTCCATATATGAGTGAAGTTATAACAAGAATAAATAGAAAATAACTTGTTACTTGCAAATGCAAGTTGGCTTTTTCCCTTTCATCCTGTTAAAAAAAAGACAAAAAACCATCAACTCTACATCAACAGAGAGAAGTATGAATTGAGCAATCACAATGAATAAAAGATTGCTGAATATCTTTGCTTAACACAAAAAGTAGAAACAGTATATAACATGTACACACCAAGGGCAGTTTCTCTGTTATTTCCAAATCCACGGGATGCTTAAAATAAATAAATGCACCAGAATGACATCTTTTGTGCTCTTCTTTCTTCAAAAAAGCTTTAACTTTTGCGATTGAAATGATTGATGAAGAGTTACAGGTCTCTGGTCTCCTAAATAAATGTAAAAGTTTATGTTTATTAGTTTTTTCCACACATAGTCTAAGGTTTAATTGATTAGAAGGAAAACTACACTAGCAATATCACATTCTCTTATTTACACTTCTCACAAAAACTTACCATTCTGGTAAGACTTCTTTAGGTGCAAGAATAGTAACACAACTTTGAAAATATCCTTTTGGTAGCTGACACTTTCCTTTTTCACACTTCTCTACATAGAAATATTAATGACACAACCACTATTAAAGATAAAGAAAGTTGTCTGATCATGCCATGACATTGTCCAACTACCAATAAATGAAGAAAAACTTTTACAAAGTATTTAAATAGTATAATAAAAGCCAAGGTAATTCATAACTCATTACTAAAGCTTGTAATGTTTAGCATGTTTCCTTAATTAAGTTTTTTTTATCTTTTTAACAAAATCTAAAAATAATAAATGCATATGATTAATAGAAGACGTACCAGTGTTCCATACTTGTGGTAGTGAAAATGTCAAATTTATCTTCTCTTTATAATATCCTGAAATGGGGTCAGAGTTCATCATGGTTATCAGGCAAGAAATGTATGAACGCGCAGTTCATATCTTGTAAAAAGAAATTTAGTCATTGAATCAAATCAAGAAAACACATGGTGTACTATGGTATATGTTGATTTTTTAAATGACTGGGTGGTTTCTGGTGAATGCTTTTAGGGATCATTGACAAATAGATTTTGTCATGAATCATGGACTTTATCCGCAATGGGGGTGGTGGGGAAGGGGTAGCTCAGAAACAACAATTATAAGAAAAATGTAACAAAACCTGATTTAATAAATATCATTAATGTCAGGAGCATCTCACAACATTTTTTACTTTTTTTACTCACAACAAGAACATTATGGCAAAGGAACAAGTATCTCCTGGTGGTCTGAGCACTACACTACTCTCAACAATTACAAACTGCTTTTTTTGTCACCTATAAACACATTTTTTCTTGGTCCATGATGGGATAGGGGGGGAGGTTGTCTACATAATTGTGGACAAAGTTCACAATGCATGATTAAATTTATTTGTCAACAACCCCTTAGAAAAAATTTCAAAGCATAATAGTTGCAAATTTGCTATTTTCAAACATGTAAAGAAATAAATAGAAACACTATCTACCTGATTTGATGTTGAGGGAATTCACAAGTGCTGTCAAGTGGGAAATGTTACCATGGATATAAGGCTTGTTGTTTCCACTTACATAAATGCCAACTTTCAGTGGAATTGAAATTTGTTGTAAATAATTTGTTGAAGGTACATTATCATGAATGGATCTTTTTGTTTTATTGAAGATGCGAGGCAATGCATTTACATAACCTATCTCATGCTTCAACTCAAAACAAAACTGAATGTCACTGAGACGAGCCAGAAAATTATTCCAATCCTAAATCAGACAGGAGAAATGAATCAAAAAACGTCCAAGCATAAAATGAAATCAGAGTTTAATGAGCAATATAAGGTTAACTTAACCACTTAAACCACAAGTCCTTCACAAGACAACGAAATCTGACTTGTCAATAAATAATTTTTCGTAATCTAAGGCCCTTAAACATAAATAATGTAAAAAAATATATGATGAAAGCACCTTTTCTGCTTCTGGATCGACAATATCTCTACTCTTGATGTAAAATCCTAAACAAAATAATGCAACAGCCAGGCAACACAGGAAGGTTATGAAAATTACACAAGGTGGTTTTGACGCAACGAAAGCAGCCAGATTTCGACAGTAGCGCCTCGAGTTATCCAACAACATTATTTTTTATTTTGTTTTATTCGCATCCATACAGATTAGTTATGAAGGTCTGAAAACTTCGTAACTACTTTGCAACTTATTCTCTCTCCGGCAGCCATGTTTAGATTGACGTAGACAGTATACAGAGGTATCGATTTCGGACTTTCCGACAAATGACGTGTAAAGGCGCTCCAACGAAAATTATCATTAATTTCTAATGAAAGTGAAAGTGAATTTTACATCAAAGCTGATCTAATTTACTTTTCGTTGTAGGATTTAAAAAAGAAAGTTTCTGGCAACTTACGTAATATGTCCTTCACTTGCGAAATTAACTTTCAAGTTGCAGAGCTTCTTAAAGGATTACCTACCTACCAATTTTGAATTCATACGAAAATATAAAGTTGATCAACGGTCACTTATATACGAGATAAACAAATTGTTTTATTCCTTAACACCGCAGTAGTTTCTTAAAGAAAGCCTATTTTCCTCAAACCGAGTCTATGTCAAAAATGGAACATCGTAAATGTTATATAGAAAAAATCTACAGATTACAAAAAACGGATTAGTTAGGTTTTGTCTATGGATGTGATGTTATTACTTAAAAGTGATAAAGTACCGTATGACACAAAGTAACGACTTTCTAAATTACTATTTTATTCATAATATAACTTAAAGAGATAATAGTCACACAACAGAGAGCCTGACGAAGATCATAGAAATTTCTTCATGTTAACCTATTGTGAAATTGCTGTGGAACTGCAACAATAAAAGATAGCCAAAGCAAGTGCAACAAAACAAACGTGAAAAGTCTAATGAAAAGAATAATTTAATTGTTTTGCTAACTACATTCGCTTCGTTTACAATTGTAGGTAAATTTGCGGATATATTTAGCTGAGCTTATAAATACGTGTGCTCGATAAGTGCGCTATCTACAAAAACAACGAATAACGAGACTAAGCGATAACATATATATATATATATAAAGTACTACATTCCTTTATATCCTAGGTCAACTACAAATACTATACTATTAATTTCATTTACCAATATACACTGCATTTCATAAATCTAGTAAATTCAGCAAGCTTCAAAAGCCATAACTGTATATAAATATACAACGGTTAAAATTACCGATAATTCTATTAAAATTACATAATCATCCCAAGAACAGTTCCATCAAAAATTAAATCGACTTAAAACCTTAGTTATTTGATCGATTTTTGTGTACAATTGCGTGTTTTTACCTCAAAAAATCGACATACGCACGACTGTCAAATAGGAATAATTACAATAATTGTATGAATTAAAATACTGTACATATTTCATAAAATATACCTCAACAAGGTTGCGTGTTTTTTTTTTATCTATAGTCGTTAAGTCGCTTGGTTTTTCATCTACTGACAAAGTTAAAAAAAGTTGAAAAATATAGACCGCAAGTGTATAATATATTGCAATGGCGATATGGTTTAGGTGCCACTTGGTAATAAACACTGATTTTTATATTTCTTGTGGTGAAGGGTTAATCAAAACTGTGGTTACGATTACAAAAAAACATAATGGTGCGAATTTCAACAAATAAAAACCAGGCTTTTGTAATGAAAATTTGCAAGACAGTGAAATCCAATTCTTCGGGATGCTAGCTTGTAAAATAATTTAGGTTTCGTAACAATGTGATCTACCACAATGTTAAAATATCGCAGCATTACTTTTGTTTGGTCAAATCTTTTGGAAAGTTTTTCTGGCACGACTCAATGATGAAATCATGTGTTAGTTTTGATCACAAACTTAAATAGATAATGAAATATGTTCAACATGCTTCAACAAAGCACCGTGCTCAGATCAAAAGTTGCTTTAAACATATAGCAGTGAGGAAAATTACCAAGCGTTTATTAATAACTTACTTCTGATTTCATAATTTATATTTAGAGGTAAAAATAGTATTTCGTTAAGTCAATAAGCCATTGAAAGCCCGAGTCATTTGGGATAACGATACGTAATGTGCTGGAAGACAAGAGGAGCGATCTTCAGACATTGAATCAACCGTGAGCCATGACAATGCATCGTACTGCTCAAGGATGTATCTAGAAAAACAAGAAAGACATGAATCAATGCATCCACAAACCTTTATGGTGGTAAAAATCTGTGAAAGATAAACTATAGCAAAGTTAGATCGTCTTTAAATAATACAATTATGCATGAGTTTTTACAAATTGAAAAACAATCTGTAATTTATATACTTAATCTGCGAGAGTTATGCTACACGTACATTGTTCCCTGTAAGTCTCGTGTATGATATAGACATTAAAAAACGTACCTTAAAATACTTGAATGTGTGTTTGAGCTAAGAACATGACTGCTCTTTCGACCAGTTTCATCAATGCGATGTAACAAGAGCGAGGCCTTAAAATGAGCGAACACAAAAATTATCAACAATAATTTGCAGGTCGTCTTGTGGTCTTCAGGAATCATAATCCAAATTAGCGATTAATATTCAAGAAATAAAAGATTTTTTCGTGTTTGCACAGGCTTATGCAAACAGAACAGAGTGTAAACTGTATAATTTATGAAACTACATCTAGACAGTTTCATAAAAACAACCAAAACACCAAATTGCTTCTTTGACGATCATACTGTAGGAAGTGCTAGCTCCGCATACCTTTAAAACAATAGGTGTACTACCATCCACGTGTTCACCATGAGCAAATTCTCTAAACGCTGGACCAAAAGGCGCAGTTGTGAAGATACGACCATGTGCAAGAGGGCGACCAAAACCCTTGTCCTGTTCAGTATGATCGTCGCTACAAACTGATTGGCTGGGATGTGGGGAGTTCATGCCAATTGGGACAAACGATGAGCTAACTGTATCTGTCAACATAGGTGCAGAAGAAGGACGTTCACGGGGGGACGAACCTTCCAATTCTTGTTGTAAAGACGATATTCGAGGTTGAGGAAATATACCACCTACAAAAAGAAACCAACGTTACTCATTATCTTACATATTTAACTATGGTGAGGACATGTTATCAATTAGGCATAATTGATGAATTATACCAAATAAGGGCATCATTATATTTAACTATGGTGAGGACATGTTATTAATTAGGTATAATTGATGACTTATACCAAATAAAGACATCATTGGCATCTCGTCATCATCTTCTGGATTTGATTCTGACATCAAAAGTTCACTACGATCATCTACACTACGCATTACATCAAGTTGCGAGTGCCGTGATGAGGGTGTCATCTCGCTGCTGACCACAACAAACGATGCAGATATCCGCTGACGTGTCACGGGTTCAACAATTGTCATGTCTGGATCTCGATAGTTGATAAACGCTGTGGTAACTGAATGTTGAGATTAGTGTTGTCGATATTTCACAGAAAATTATTTGTATGAAACAATACGAAAAATTCATTAAAAAATAATGACCAAATAACAATCACTCCAAAACAATGGCACAATAATAAAACAACAATGATCTAAAAATACCATGACGTAATGACATCAATGTGTAAATTACATTTTTACATGGTTACATAACGACAATGACAAACAAAACAGAATGACAAAATGATACTGCAAAGTAGTGACGCCACGATTGAATGATATTATAAAGTTAAAAAATGACGTTAAAATAATAATAACACAAATCACAATCACACTGTTCAACTGATTATAGAAATTACTCTCTGTGTAATGAAGAAAGAGAAAACGACCGAGCCTTACTTTTAGCGAAATGAATTCTCAAATTTAAATCGTTGTGCAGTGATAATATGGAAACGCTGTGAAATCTTGAATGAAAACGTGAGGATGCACATGCTTTACATTTATCAGTATCTTCGTTTAGTGAATGATGGGGAATTACTTCATTCCAATCTAGAAATATAATAAATTATCATTTGTTTATGACAAAACGACAGTAGAGGTTAAAGTTATTGTTTAGTTAAAAAAGTTAGCATATGTCATACCTAAATGATGACACCCCTTAAATCATTTATACTAAGATGAAATTGAGGAAAAAATAAAATATCAAATTGCTAAAATAATAGCACTAACGTTCACACTATCACATGATCAAGTCAGTGATATAAAAAGTTACCTATAACAATACCTCGTAATTCATTCCTCGTGAAACGACCAAGTTTTCCAACCACTAGCCTCCAATCTTCAACCATCGATGACGTAATACCTTGAAGAAATTCCCAAAGTCTGCGAAGGGCCTTGATACGTTGTCTATGGCGATGACGTTTGGCCTGGAAGCTATATGAGATGAATTTAAATCATTAACTGAATGCTAATGCCGTGCTTTCAATGAAGTAGAAGAGTGTTGTTTTAGGATAGCGTGGAGGGGCCGAATTCTCCTACCGAAACGTTAACATGCGACGCTCTAGTGCTCTACTATCTCGGTGTATCCGGAGGCATGGACCGAAATCGGGATTTTTTGTTTTCAAAATTTGTCTTTTTTCTTTACAAGAATTCGTTTTCATAAAAGAAACTAGAACATCCAATGATACTGAGAAACAAACAGTTTCTGCCTTTTTGACTTATAATTTAAACCAACTCTAAGCATGTTTATACGTTTTTTACTTGCTGCCTTTTACAATGCAACTTTCTCATAACTATCTCGTGATGAACGAGAGCCTCTTTATACAATGTAACTTCTCTCATCATGAACGAAAGCACCCAGGGGCTTCATGGAAAAAAGGGATTATCTACTTTTTTAATAATAGTTTTTACAAAGATAACATTGAATAAGCCAAGCCATTTGTATCGCCGAAATTGAACCCTTATGTCAAAATTTTTTAATTCATTTTGAATAGGAAATTTCTTTTTACCTTATGGTATTTTCATGATTCAATCAAGAAAGTAACTTCACTTCTGGAGTAAACAGTACACTTTTCGGATTTAAGGGATTTCTTTTGGTCCCATCTATTACGCAAATGCATGTAGTATGCATTTCGTAGTGATAAACCACCCTACCTCCGATCAAAAAATATCCAGATCGGATTTTGGAATCCGTCCTGGTTATTCTTAAGTCACGCCGTAAAGACCGGTAACAATCTTTACAAAACTGTCATTAGGGCGACAACATGCCAGAATTCAAGCTTTCCTTCTATCGCTATGCTTTTTTCTAACCCAAAATGGTCAATATTTACTGTTATGCCTTCTGCCTTTATAATTAATCGTTCTGAAAAACTAGAATCAGATTCACAAATGCCCCAAAACAATCTCCTAACCATTTTATTGCCACTATTCTACATAAGCAATACTATGTCCGACCATTTGATTGTCCGAATTTTGCAAGTTGATCTCGTATTTTTGTCATAATACAAATGACTTAGGAAGAAAAAATGAAACAAACATCGAATACTGGACCTTAAGAGGCCAGTGTACTAATATAGTATTTTTTATCGATATCAACAACGATACATTCAAATTTCAAGCATGAACACCAACTACAGTTAAACATGTGAGTTCCCATTAAACATATGAACTACCTTAAAAGTATCTCATCTCGAAACCAAACATCGATCATTCAATTCGCTGTACTGCAAACATTGTGCAATTAAAGCCCACACACACACAAATACTTCATATAAAGTTACGCTAAATTTCTACTATGTAACCGTGTGCTACAATTGTGAATTTTTAAAAATGTCCAATAAATTAAATCTCACCCAAATGGCTCGATAATCGTGATGAAGGTCTCCATTACATAGCCAGTTTCGTTAGTACAAGTCGCCAACAACCATTTTTGATCCTGTGATAGACTATAACAACAAAACAGTAAACTGCATGATTCCTTATGTCTTGTTAGATCCTCCGGTGAATCCACAGTATCAACGTTGTGTATCAGCTTCGTGGGAGTTGCTAGGATGTAAGCAGGTGAATAGACCCTTTCGCGGGTTTTCTCAGGCAACTACGACGAAAAATGAGACAAAGATGAGAGATGTTAGTACAAAAGGAAAAACTTTTCAATGAAGAAGATGGGACAAAACTTTCAACATCATATCAATAAAGATGAAGATAGTACACTAGACTTTATATGACAATAAAGACGAACATTGTACACTTGAGATCATTAAAGCGTAACAAATTTTTCATACCAATTTTTTTAACGCTTGTCTTTGACTAGATGTTGCCCAAAATCCAGTGTGTACACGTGTCACAACTGGTTTCTTTACAACAACTCGACATCGCGAGAAAACTGAGAACGCCGTCGTTTTGAGAAGTTTAACGAACGAAACTAACGATCCTTTGGTTTTTTGGTAAGCATCGACCTGAGTCACTTGACGAAGGGGAATTATCTAAAAAAAACCCAAGACCGTATCGTATTTTAAGATAACACACTCTCAAATTAACGCTAATAATAACCACAATCGTCAAAATACTGCCAATACTGACTCGTGTCACCAGAGGCGTAGTCAGCCCACAAATTTAGTCGTGCTATGTAAATTTCAGATCATTACCATTTTTCATTTCTTTATAAATCTATTGTTTTTACAGGGAGTGAACAAAGAAAAATTAACATAACACGACTAAACATGCAAGCTGGTTACACCACTGCGTGTCACCCTAGTATCAACATTATACAATGATACATAGTCTTATCTTGCTTCAAATACGATAAATGTTTGGATATCTGCATATTGTTCCTTTATGAAGTCAATAGTGAATTTATTTTGGATAAAATGAACAAACCTCCAAAACTAAACGACATCGAATTTTCTCTGGAAGATCAGAAGCCATCTCCGTAAAACTTCTCAACAACGCAAAATGCGATTCATTTCTAGTGATTTGATCACTGCATTCTTCGAAAGGATTGATGATGTATACAACAACAGTAGCAGAATCCTTACTAGTCCTGCCATTTTCCCTAATACAACGTAACACAATTTAACACAAAATAACAAAGATATAGTTCTCGCTGTGAAAAACAAACAAAACAATGGATAATAAAAATAAACATGATTAAGTCCTTTGTTGGTATCATTCACACTTACTGAATGAAGTCCGTAGAGTTTAACTTATCCAGCGGTAGTTTCTCGAGTAAAGGTCCTAATGAGTAAGAGAGTTTCAACAGCACAATAAATATATCAAGATCTAAATGAATAAACGACTGAATACGAAATTTCTCAAATAACTTTAATGCAAGAACAAATGTTACACATGATGTGAGAAAGCGCGTGAACATCAAAACAAAATTATTCCAAATACAAAACAACATCGTAACACACTTAATACAACTTCTACGCCTTAAAACCATGCAGAGTTAATGAGTCAAAGTAAGGTTCCCTTACCGAGTTCGTATTTAAAAACTTGAGCAAAGAGTTTTACCCTGAGCCCTTCAGCAACATTTTCTATTTCAACAAAGAATAAGGTATCAATAAAAGTGAGCAATGACAAACGAGATAGTGAAGAGGCAAGGCTTTCAAAGCAGTGTTTCAAAGATCGTGGAAAATATATAATTACTTGATGTTAGAAAGTTGTTAAATACATACCAAACTTTGAAAACCAAGAGCTAACGACTTTCTTCCCATATTTATTCTGTTGTTTAGGACCGATTCTCAAAATACCATCGCTTGCCATCATGGAAATTTTACTAAGAGGAACATGGCGTCCAAGCTGACATGTCTATGCAAAATGAATAGGTGAGACATCACTTCGTTTCTTGATCATTGATTGGTTGATTTACTGATTGATTGCAAACGTGCCCAAAAAGATAATTTATGTTGTAACGCTCGTCTACGAAATAGGAGCACCTACACACCATCACACCTACACACTGACACACCACTACACTGACACACCACTACACCAACACACTAACACACCATCACACTAACACACCACTACACTGACACACCACTACACCAACACACTAACACACCATCACACTAACACACACTACACTGACACACCACTACACCAACACATTAACACACCATCACACTAACACACCAACACACCATCACACTAACACACCATCACACCACCACACTGATACACCACTACACCAACACACCATCACACTGACACACCAACACACTAACAAACTAACACAACAACACACCATCACACTAACACACCATCACACAAACACACCATCACACTAACACACCAACACACCATTACACCAACACACCAACACACCATTACACCATCAACGCTTACCTCGTACACAGAACTAAGTTCCCGAAAAAAGTACTTCACGTTTATATTCGTCATTTCGTTTTCAGGAGATACCACAACATAGGTGACATTACGTGGTGAAGTATACGGTTCCAAAAATAGTTTTTCCTAAAACATTAAAAAGGTTAGTGAACTTTTTCACCAGAAATTCTACAATATAGTCAACATACCCAATGATGTAATGCTAATGGTGACACGGAAAGCCAGTTACCGTCTTGACCAACAACCACGCGTGGGATTCTTGCCGGATCACATGTTGTGAGAACACCATTGTTATTCATTTGCCATAATTGTTTTAAAGAGAGGGGACCCTGTACCGTACACAACTGATCCCAAGTTTTCCAGTGGATGGCTTTATGAAGCGATTCCTGAATGATCGGTTTCAAATTCATCAAAAATTCGACGCTGATTTTGGACTGTTTTTCCAATTCTGTAGCTAAAGATGAACATAAGAAATGAAAACATTCAATAATATTTCATGAAGTTTATCTCGTTGAACGTCATTTTTTCCATTTTTTCATTCTTTTGTCTTAACTCAAGTATCCAAGCAAAGCCCTTATATGACTAATCTTCTACACGGAAAGGGAAAAGCTTTTGCACGGCATTTTTTAAAATATTGAATGATAATCATTCAGATTAAAAAATGGAGAAGCACAAAATCTAACCTGTTTTCATTGGGAGCACTTTGGTCGTGTCGACATTGTCTGAAGGCGTAAAATACAGTTTGTCAGCGGTATCAGACGCACACAGAGGTGAAGAAAACTGATCCAATAGATTTTCCACTAAACACGTCGAATTGCAAGACCCCAGTAATTCTGCGGACTGTACAGATTTAGAAACTTTAGCAGATTCCTCATTCTTTACAAAAACGGGAACTTCTTTTCTTTTTGCCATGTCGCAATACCTAATGTCTAAATTCACACCAATATCATCTATGCAACTATTTAAGCCACATGGTTCGCTCGAAAAGAGTCCAGTATGCGATCGCAATCTTTCCTTTTCGAATAGTCCAAACCACAAACACAGATATCATTGTCCACATATAATCGATTATTGAGCTTACACTCGGTAGAAGTACACGAGCAGGCATTTGTATCATCCAAATTTCTATCTGACGTGTAATTAACGTATGAATCCGATAAAAACAAGTTCGCATTCAACAAATTCGAATTTTGATCAACTTCCGGTAAAAACTTCACAGAAGTAGTGTCGCCAGGAGAGCTTGCTTTCGACGTTTGTTGCATGTTTGTTGCCATAGTGACCGAGTTAAGATCAAAATGTTGACCAGTCGACACACTGGCACAGGAAACTTTGGCTGTAACACTAAAGAACCGAATATAATATTGAAAAGTCAGTAGCTAAGGAATTAGTATTTGTTATATAATAAAATTCACACGTAAAATATTTCAGCCAATAGTAAAGCTCTGATTTACTTGCAGATCAAAATCTGATAATCATCTGAATTTTAAATTGCAAACAAAAACACCTCAGTGAGATAATTCTCAGTAAAAACCTCGCACTTAGTTAATAAAGGTTCAATGATTACTAATGAAATAAACAATGTGTACTTTTTAAACACTAGTAAGACGCATTACACCAACCTTGACAGATCACTTATAGAGTCTCTAGCTTTCATCTAAATTAAAGCAGATAAATACAAGTTAGGACTGTTACGTCATACTACATTAACATGTGTCATTTATTATAACAACCTGAAGAGAAGGTGTGTAAACCATTTCATTCTTGAGCAATAGAGAATTTGAAGATTTCCTTGTTGAAAGTAGTGCACTTGAACCACATAGATATTCCTGTTCCAAAGGAATTTCAAAAATTGTTGGCATTTCCTAGATAAAAAAAACATTTACAATTCACGGTTGACAATGAAAAGACTTTTAGAAACCAACTATTGCTTTAATTTTGTTAGAAAGCAGTGATATAGGCAATAGCTCAGAATAAACAACAAATGAAGTGACAAGTTTTGTATGATTTTACATTGAAATTAAGGGATGGATCCAGGATGATTTTTAGGGGAGGAGGGTGCTCTAGTTTGTCGCTACTTTGTGGCCATAGATATTGGTATAGTCCCTGCTCCCAACCCATCCCCCTCATCTCCAACCCCAGTAAATTCATCCCTGAAATTAAAAACGAAACAACACGAATAACGAATCTAAACATCCCACCTAGATAACCGACATCCATTCACAAACCTTAATTTCATTTAACAAATCGTGAATTTCATCATTTAAAGATTTGCTGGCGTCAATGCTGTTTAAACCAGACTGTCCACTAACTTCAGCAGGTTCGGGCCCAGTACTAAGAGGGGGTTGAGGTGAATTAGGATGATTCTCCACCATTGGAGGTGTCGGAAACATGCGTACTAGATCAGCATGTGAGACGACACAAGGTCCCGTGTTAACTACAGCTTTTGTCTTCTGATTTGTGTCATCGTGAGCGTTTTGAAATGAAGGAGAGCGTTCGTCGTTAAGTACAGATAGCGGTCGCTGTAAACAACATCAAGATAAGCGTTTATCCTCATAATTACCATATTAGGCTAAAGTTAAGTATGTCATGTCAAATCTATGTCAAATCATGTACTCAAAAGATAACAACTCAAGCACTCACATAAATGTTAACCAGTAATCGATTCAATTTTTGCCTATAGTCTTGGGTATAGCAGCGTTGAGAAGACGTGAAATACTCAACAAACAAAAACTCGTAGAAGTTTTTTCCAGCAATAATAAGCAATTACTTACTTGACCAATCAGAGAATGTGTTTTAAATAATCATGTTACTACCTACCGGTTTATTATCTTCTTCATCATCATCTGGGGAATCAAATAGATTATCAAGATCCGAAATTGTTACTTGCAGATCTTTTTCAGTACGTAATGAGACGCTTCCCCTGGGTGTAGGGGGTGAGGCTAGAAATGGCAAAGGTGCTTCTTGCTTCTCAACAACTTCTTTTGGTTTATTGTCTGTAGTCTTTTTACTATGTTTACGCTGCTTTGAGTTACGATGTGCTTTAGATGAAGTACCACTGGTCGCAGGTGATGTGGCTGAGCAACTACTCGCACTGTTGGCTCGTCCACGTGGGCAGGTTGGCACAGGATAAAATACAGAATCGTTCGTATCCATTGCATTGTTTCCTGGTTCTGGAGAAGGTGTAAGGAGGGGAGGTTTGGTACTAGTACTCGATTGTCGTCGCCCTCGAGCCTTTATGGAAGCGGATGTTTCAGATTTATTTCGATTCGATTGACCTGACGAAGAGCTTTTGCGCATGCGTTTTGCAGGTGCAACTTCTTCAGTCGTTCGCTCATCCGGCAAAGTTCTTTTGCGATGATAACTGGAAAATGATAAAGATGTCAATTTACTTGACTAGCACATGAATAAAAAATCGTATTTTTACTCACTTCTTGTTTTCAACGGTTTCAATTTTATGCACATCACCTGAATTTTCAGGCATTGAAACTACTTTTTCCATTGTCAGAGGCTGTTCCTCGCCTTCCCTAAAATCGAGCACATCATCAGGGAGAGTGGGCCGAATAGTTTGACCACCAGTAAAAACATCATAACATTTCCATTTATTTTCATAGTTCGAGATCAATGATTTCGTATACGTCGAGTCCTTAACTCGTGACAACTTTTTCCAATAATCTAACGACTGTTGAGAATCAGAAATTCTAGTTGGAGCGGGAGGCATCGGTTTAAAAAACACATCATCATTATTATTATTGTTATTTGATACATTTTCATTGGAAAATGGCTCCAGCTTCGGACTTGTCCGTGACTCGTCCGTACTGTCCGTAGATTTTGCAGTAGAATCATGACTGTTTGGCTGCCGATTTTGATCGGCAACAGTTGTCGATACGTCAGAAGTTGAGAAACCTTTTGAGGCAGAGTTAATATTTCGCAGTTTTTTTGCTCTCAAATGAAAGGGTAGTATGGCTTTACGTTCCCGCTCTTTCTTTATTTTGTGCGCAAGCGCAGTGGTGCTGTTTTGAGATGGAGATGGACTGGGACGGTTTATCCCAAAAGGCCTGTTAGGTGGATTGGTACGCGAACGGCTAACGTTACTACTCGACGTACAAGAACAAAATTTTCGCGCCAAAGGTTCTTTCAATTTCCAAAACGACTCCTGATCGGTTTTGAAATTTGTCGCGAATGTTTTATTCTGCGACATGGCACCACTTGAAGATTTGCTTCTGGAAGTATATAAATATAAACAAATTGAGCTTGTACTGTGGATAAAATATCACAAAGAAAATAAGAAATCAATCATAACTACTGAAAAGCATAATAAGCGTATAATGCTACTTTTTTTAATTCGCAAAAAAGTATATTTTCCAATCGTGCATCAAAATCAGAACTTCTCTTTCAATTGAATTAAATTCGACAGAGTAAACTTACGTTGATTTTGTTGCAGTGATGTCTCTCCATGATTCATTCACTAGTTCACACGCCATTTCCTTGCTACCTCCTAGCTTCGAGGAACACTCCAAATTAACAGAGGTTTCTGTTGAAACGGTTGAAGCATGTACTTGGTTCATCGTGTTTGTATCCTTCATTGTAAAAGGTGAAGCAGGAGGTGTAGTAAATTGTTTTGTTTCACTGGAATTGCCTACAACAAAACGGAGACATCTTTAGTTGAACGAGATTTTAAAGAAAATGAAACTTCTAAAGTTATGTTAGTTTCCTCTCAAACATTACCTTCAGTATTGTTGTCTTCTACAGAGATCAAGATGTAATGTGATGGATATTTAATGAAATTATCCTCCACAATCACCCCAACCACCACAGGTATATCTATGTTTGTCTTTTCAGATATATCACTCCATTCATCAAGGACATGAAGAGGGAAGAATCGATTCCAATCTTCCAACAGCCGACTTACTCCCTTGGCATCGCGTTGATAACAATGACCAGTGAGTTTTGCTTTTATGCCATAAGGACCAAGAATAACTGAAAAGCATGCCAACATATCACATTATGACATTTTAAATACATTGGTATGTTGATGAAGTCTGCTCATTGTTATCTATTTTAGTCATCTCCTGATCTTAATTTTATGCCATACCATTAAAATCTTCTTTCTCAGTAGCTGCTTTGGCTAAATCATCCTGAACAATATGACGTACTCCAGGAAGAGATTTAACATCCACCGTAAGACATATTTTACCACCTCCTTGGACAGAAAACGCAAACGAAAAAAACAGCTTCTTCCTGAAAGAAAATGAATATGAAATTTACTAGCAGAAAAAAAGAGACAAGAACTTGGTATACAACAGGCCAACAATTTGTAATAGTGAAATGTATCCTGTGAAGGTTTTAGAAACCAATCACAGAAGAAAACAAAGTTTTCAATCTAAAAACTTTGTTGTCCAACAGTTTCAATTCACAATAGAAAAATAGTTTATGAGCACTAACTTCAGTTGGTGATTTAAACCATTAGTCAATTTCTATGAGATTGCATGGTGTTTTTAAAACTTTGAAATAAATATTGCTAGGGCAACACAAATCAAAACTGTCAATAAACAAGCCTTTAAATATAAAAAGCAAATATGCTAAATTACATACATGCTTTCATTTGAGTTTGAGTCCAATGGAAATTTCCAAATAAAATTCTTACACATACGTAATTCTAATACATACTTTTCCATCTCAGATGATTTCTCTGCCAAGTCAACAAACCATTTTCCAATACGTATATAGTCACATGACAAAAGATGCCTAAAACAATTTTCAACATGAATAAGTTTAATGTGCTATATTCCAGTGCTAATTTCTTTGTGGAAATCAAAATATTCAATGCACTAATGCACACCTTTCCAAAGTATTATGAAGTGCTTTGAACAATAAGACTTTGGCCTCTTCAGGAAAATTGGTTTCCCAGCAACCATGATCAGCTTCTATGAATACACAGACAGATTATTTCATATAGAGGTTAGTGCAAGGCTTTCTACGTAAAGGACAGTGTGCAAATTAACGGTGTGCAATGTGCAATTTGCACATCGATTTAGCTAAAATGAAAACAATTGCACATCACTTTTTCAAACGATGAGCAAAAATCAGCGGTTTTAATGAAAAACACTGTTGTAAATCATATGAATTTGTTCACATTTAAAAATATTAATTTAGCAATTAGCGCTATATAATAAATAACGATTTGATTATGCCTCTAAAGAAACACTTTTGTTAAAAAAATTGCATATCGTTTTTTCTCAACCAATTCGCACACTGATAAAGGACAAACTTTAACATTTACTTGGCAATATAAATATGTAGTAAAGATTTTGTCCTTACATATTGACACAAAACAAACAAGAAAATAAAACTTAATTGAAATCAGGTTGGTCAAAATGAGAAGCCTCGGAAACAAGGAGGCTACATTTTGAAAAAAATATACATGTTATACTACATATAGTGTGGCAGTTTTTCACTAATTAACAAATGGCTATTTCAAATCTTGCTCAACAATCTTAGTACAACATAGTAATGAAATTTAGATAGCAAGAATTGCAAGATTATTTGCAAGCTTGAGAGAAAATATATAATACCCAGTCAGTTATATTATGCAATAATATAGGATAATTTTGTTCTAACTCAAACAATTATAAAATTGGAAATTTTATCATCATTTAGGAAAGCATTGCAGTGCATTGAATTCACAGCTAATTACTATAATCAATGATTACTACTGTATCAGCAGACGAGGGGCTGGATGCCTAATGACAACAAAGACAAGATGACATTGTAAACTAGCCAGTGACTTGTTTAATCTTCTTTAAAAGATTGCAATATTACTCGATAAAAAGAAAACCTGTCCAGGTTAAATGGTAACTTCATCCATTTTTTTAGAATTTTAGATATTGAAAATTTTTTATCTGGTGGATTTAGGTATTTCAAAATCATACTCTTTACAAGAAAAACTCAACACACAAACAAACCTTTCAAGCTACTATCCACGACATTCACAGTTCTTGGATCATCCCCATACCAAAACAACCAAAGTTCTTTAGAGCTCTCTGGGCATGACAAGTTTTCATTCAACCTTTGCTCTGCATACTGAGGTGAATGCCGCCAAGAACAGAGAATGTTATTCTGTAGAGCATTGGTGAAGGAGACAAGCACAGGATCATCAAGTGGCTTATCCAAGGAGCATGGATTTCCGGTGTATTTACACCACTTCAATCCATTAACATCAGCCTACAACCAATTGAAAAGAATCAAATGACTGTCAAAATTTGATTACCCAAAAGCTGCTTTGCTCATAAGGCTATGAGTTATAAGTTTGGTCTTAGAAAGTATTTTTGCCCAATGATATGTGTTTGACTTGCCCAAAATAATTTGAATGGAATGCTGTTTTTATTTTGACTAGAGCAAACACACAATGTAAAATAAACGAATTAGTGAAAGTAATTCACCTTGAATTTTTATCCACACAAATCAGCCAAAAAAAATAAGCAATAAAAATTACCAAAGAAAGAAACGTTTCAGTTAATTACCGTATGACAACTTTATTTTAATTATTTCCCAAATTTGCTAACTTATGCCACCGAAGTGCTTCCGTTTCTAGTGGATTTCTTAAAATACAAAACTTAAACTAAATAGGGTGACTAAAGAGTTCATACAGTTCCTGTAATAATCATAGCACAAGAAACGGAAACTTGACAAAAACATGATTCGCAACACTAAATTGGAATTGTCTTTCGTTGTTTGAAGTGGGTTTAAGTAAAATAAAAATTATCCCCTAATCGCATTGTTTCGCCTACAACACAACCACATTTTACTCGTTTATTTGTATGCTTATATAAATGAGGTATTAGATAACATTGACATTTTGTTAAAAGAGAAAATATTCCCATTGATAACTGGAAAATGAAATTGCCATGAAAAATACTACATTTCTGGTCAAAGACAATCGCTTCTCAACAACAAGAAACTTTAAATAGATCACAACTGTTCACAACATTACCCTATAAGCGCGTAAAAAACAAACCTTAAATATATCATATAAAAGGAAATTTCAATAATTAGATGAGGTAAATTGTGACAATACATGGCGCAATAAAAATAAATAACTGATCACCGGTCTTCTTATCCAAAATTTAAAGGTATATTTTATTATACATTGTTTGTTTTCTAGCAACGAAAGACACAGACACGTAAAGTCGACACAAACTAGATAAACTTCGGTCACAACATAATGCAACTTAACATCATGATTTAGCTTCTTGCGTCAAATGATAGAGCAATTATTACAGGCTCTCATTGACCCAAAGGTGATATGAAATTAAAGATTGTTAACTAGTATGTTGGCGCCCCCGAGCACTGACAAAATGTTTTCACAAAACAACGGTAATTATTTCGACATCCTTTTCTCTCAATTCAAACAGTTTTGCAAAGATAATACCAAACAATGTCTTCGAGGACAAAATAAATTACATTTCGCAATTTCGCACAATCACATCGGAAAAACCATAAACACTTCCCAAGCTTTTGGGAACGACAGATAGGTGAAGTATATCGTAAACAAATACAACAACCACATCTTGTATTTGCACATTTTCGCTCATATTATTGAAATTTGATAGAGAAAATTTTCAAGATACACTTCGAAGGAAAATAATCGACTTGTGAGAACTTCTAAATACAGATCAAGAGAGCTTCAATTTACAGTCGATTCTTGAATCCGATCGATAACATTGTACGTTCAAAAGTTTATTTTTGTGTATGAATAGCCACAATTTTGTTGTAGTAAGCGGTGATAACTAAGTTATAACGATCTTAGAGAGAATTTCATATAGGACACCGCTTGAAACCGTTTACATTATGATAAGATTATTATTTGAACATACTACATAATAAAAGTGTCTGCGACAATTTTCATTGTTTACATCGAGCAATGAATAAATATCTTTTACAGCGTTGAACGAAAACCATATACGTGTAATTTTAACAAATTTGACGCAATAATCTAAAGTTTAAACTATTTTAGAAACAAAGTACACACGATGAAGGCAGAAATGACAAATATTGAATATAAGCAAAGTCATTCGACCATACGAAATGCATGTTTACCGTATTACAATACTCACGATCCAAATCGCTATGATATAGTGGATATTTAATGGATTATTAGTATATTTCAATCATGCAACGGTTAGTGTTTATCGTTAATACACGAGTGTCAAAATTTTGATTTCCTACTGCAAGCAGCCATGAAAGAAAAGGACGTAAACAACACTCTATTATCTATCAAATTGAACTGCACATAGCGACTAACGTGTGATAAAATACTCACCAAAGTAAAGAGGTTTGAACTACATTCCCGTATATCGACGCCACTTGAAGCTAAACTACCAGAAGTCATGCTAAACGCATGGCGTTGCTTTCCACAGCGAGGGTAAAAAATTTAATAAACGCCAGTAAAATGTACAATTTTCACGAAACTTTTTTAAAACGTTTCACATCAAGAAGGAAAATGGCAGCGATTTCTTCGATCGAGGAACGAGCAATTTAGAAACCTGATTGGACTATTGGCATCACGTGGGTGTAAACGGAACTTAACGAAATATTCCGAACTGTTCCGGTAGCTTGCAACAATGAAATTGACATGAAATATTCAAGTTTCTTGAAATTGTCCAACTTGAGTTAATTAATTTGTGGGGAATTATATTATAGTTTGTTTTGATTTAAATGACACTCAAAAGCGTACGTGAAATCCCATAAAAGTTTGAAATTATCACTCCTCGCTCGCATTACATATGTAGTATATACAAATAAAATTTGTGTTTGCCACATCATGTGATACTGTTGGTCTGAAACAAAAAATGTTGCAGAAAGTTGGAAATTTATTACAAATTAGCGTTGCATTTAAAGATTAGTCTCAATTGTGCTAATTGCAAAAACAGCATTATCATTCGACCTAGCTGCAAGAGGTTTTCAAATTTCTTAGTAAATGTTTTCGTAAATAATCAAGAGTCAAGATTTGACTTCAGTCTTATTTTTTTAAAGTTCTTTCATTTATGTATTTTTTGTACATGCCAATCTCCTCAAACGTTAGTGTGCATGCTCGAGTAATACATAAAGCAATTAGCGAAATACTTAAAATTTAGAACTGAGATAAGGGGATTTCCAAACACAAACCGTTTGTGTCATTAAGTGAAGTTATGAGAGCAGATTAGGAAAACGGCTGCAATAATTCTCTAGAAGTTACAAGCAGCAAACAATTAGTTAAAAGAAATGGAACATTGTATAATTTCTCCACAAGCTGCAAAAGCTACTCGAAACTATGAGTTTTAGAAGATCCATAAGCAACCTGCTACGAGATTTTCCAAAGAAAGATTTACTAGCAAACAGTCTTTTATGCAGGTGTCCATTTCAATTGAATACCATATTAATTCATTTCAACTACCGTCTTCATGAGCTGTGCTGTCACTTGAGCATACTTTGATCGCATCAGAGAACAAGAGAAGGATGCATGCACGGACATTACGCACAAAGTATTTTTGCCGTGCACTTTTGATTTTGTACTCTTTCGGTTTTACTGAATTTCCATACAGTAACTCTCTTTAGCCGTTTGCTTTTTACCAAGTTTAAGGTCAAGGTCAATCCAGGATTGTACTGTAAAGTTTACAATCCTAATGTAATAGCCAGGCTCAAGTTATTTGAAAATCTTTAACTAGCAACAGCATTATATCATAGTATTTTGAATTACTTCAAGATATTGTTTTTAAATGTATTCAATAGAAATGCTAGAATATTTCCGATGTGAACACAACAATCAATATCAAAGCAAAGTCAACTCAAAATGAGCACAAATTTAGTCATGAAAATTATTGACTTATGCCACAGTTGACTTGCTGTAAAGTTAGGCGAAGATTTTCGCACTCGTTTACGTGCATTTTTCCTAAGACTAGTCGATTAGATTCTGACCAACTTGTTTACGAAATCTGCGAATGTTTTTTGAAGACATTCACGATCCACTCGCTCGTACTAAAATGACATCTAGTGCTGTTTTGGATTAAATCGTTGTTTCAAAATAATAAAAATCCTTCATCATATATTTTCTTCACATTTAGTGTGAGATTTTATAAACCGACATATTTTCTTCATATTTAGTTTGAGATTTTATAAACCGACATGACATTTCGTTCTATCAAAAACGTTATGCTTTTTGTTTTCACTGCGGGTTTCATTGGTATACCAGAAACAGCATTACAAAACGAGAGGGAGCGTTAATTAAAAATAACTTTGAAAGTGGAAGTTTGACCACCAAAATTCTTCTATTGCCTCTGATTACATCCGAGTTTTCACATACCTTTTGCTACCTCCAGTTCTTTACACAACTCAATGGAGCGCAAGACCCAGGAAAAAGGACTGCCAGAAAAAGATACCCTGGGGGGAAGACCCTGAAATAAGACACTAGGAAAAAGACCTAAGAGAAAAAACTATAGAGAAAACACCGATGAATAAAGACTACGGGAAATAAACTATAGGGAAAAGACCTTAGGGAGCAGATCACCACGGACAAGACTCTAGAAAAAAGACTCCAGAGAAAAACCCTGGAAAAAACTAGACAAAAGAATCCCGAAAAGACCCCAAAGCAAAGGCCTTATGTAGAAAACCCTAGGAAGAAGATCCCCGGGGAAAACTAATGGGAAAAGATGTATCCATTTGATATATCATAGTAATATTTATAACAGAAAAGATTAGATTGTACCATGAATTAAAAATTATTTGAGCCCAAAGTCAAGAGAAACTAAAAACACGAGTCCTGGGCAAACAATTTGTGTTTTTAAATTAGTGTGCAATCATTTATAAAGAAATCACGAATATACGCGAAAAAAAAGTTAGATGTATAGACTTATAAATTTGGTAAAACTTACATTGTGTCAAAGAGATTTCTGTAGCTTGTTATAACTTCTGAATACATTTTTATGTACCCACAATAACATAAATATTTGATTTAGACAACGTTCATCACTGAGCTATGCACACGAAAAAGATATTGTTAATTACCGAGTTCACTGCACAGAAAACAAACTTTTTTGCGAAAGCTGTACTGAGTAACCTTTGGAAAATGGAAAACATATTTCCAATAACGCATTAGACCATTGTAGTAACTGCATCTTAAACTAATATTTCATATTACGCATTAATGATTTAAGAAATAAAAAGATGTTTACTGTGTTTGCACAGACTTATGCAAAGTGAGGACACTTTTGGGATTGCACTAGAGCTAAAGTATGTTGTGTAATTCTAGCGCAATCCGATGGAGACCACGCGATCCATATCGAGTTATTTCATAAAAAAATACGTTGGCATAATGTGCCATTAGGATGCATAAAGACATCCATCAGATTAGTGTTTCACCGACAGTGAGCAATTTGATGTCCCACCTCAAGAAATGGGCTAGACAATATGCTATCATTGACCGTAAATTAAACATACTTTTACATAACATTTCAGATCCACGAGATGTAGTAGGAAAGTTCAGAATGCTAACCATCAAAAAATTCATAAAACTCAAGAAAATTATCTTGCAGAAATGTTGATCTTTCAAAAGCGCATGACTAGTTTCCCTTCATAGGATCCGCCCCAAGCAAAAACGAATGACGTAAAACCACATACTTTGATCAAAGCAATTTAAAAATGAAACAAATAAAGTGCTGTTGCTTATTTGCTCAAAGCAATAAAGCTTCCAAAAATCCTGAAGAGTTCTTTCAAAGCGTAGTAAATCATTGAATCAAAAAGTTAACTAAGATAACGCTTTTTACATAAATGCCGGACCACCGTTATTGAAATTCATCACAGCGCAAAATCCTCTACTCTGGCAGACATCCATAATGAATTGGAAAAATACATAAATGCACATTATTACAGTTTTACGAAGACAGTAAAATCTTCTGCTTGCTTCTAACGATTGTAAGACACGCGTACAGTAAAAAAAAATTAAGTGGTCTTATGCTCGCGCATTTCTGAATTTGTATCAACATATGATTTTTACCTTGATTTTACTTTTACAACATAGTTGAGGATAATCATTGTGCATAGTGCATGGTCGTATAAATATTCTGAAGTTATATTTCATAAGATTGTAATAAAACAAAATAATGTGAATAATACTGAATAATCTGAAAGAATAACATATGCCAGAAATGCATTTTATCTTATTATTTTTGTTATAAAGAATACAACAGAGTCAAATAGCTGAAAACAAACGATAAGAAAGAGGTCACGTGCTAATATGATTTCAGGTCGATGTGGTTATGAATATTGACCAGTAAAAGAAAGAATTATATAGTGATACAAAATGAGATTAGCTATGATAAAAACATTGGGATCATCCGTACAAAAAACTAGCATAATCTCAAGCAAATGACGTTTACAGCATGTCGTTTAAAATGCCACAAATTCTTGTGGGCTTTCACGAGGCGATAGGATATTTCACAAAGAAAAACAAATAGGTACAAAAATAATAACTACATTAGTCTTGACAGAAAAAAAAACAAATATATATAAAATCAGGCAAAGAACTAAAGTAAAGGAATGATGACCGCATGTAAAACAAGGAAAATTAATTGCCCCAGCGTAAACCACAATCATGTATTGTTCGTGAGCGCCACGTATGCAGATAAAACACTTAAGTACGACAATTTGTCACGCACGTCACGTATTTTAGAAGCATTCAATCTATTCACACTTGAAATGCAACTTGGGGGGTTGACATTTGATGTTAATGTAAGGGGATCGTGACATCACTTGCTATCTTAAGACAAACAAGGGACTTAACTGAAAGGTAAGAGTAACTTAAAGACTTAAAAACCATGGCCAGCCGATAATTTAAGGAAATATAGTATATAGGAAATTGCGAAAAAGCAAGACATCTTGTGATTGCAAAATATGCATCAAAACAAGACGAGAAATGAACTGTAAATTTTCGACTTTATTTCAAAGACAGAATGATATTTAAAACCATACATACACGTATATGTTTACAACGCATGAAATAAGTAAACGGAAGTAAGCAATGAAAATTAAATAGTGTAATATTAACAAAGGCAGAGTTGGAACTGCAGACCCGACTAATAGAATAAATGTATTGTATTTTAAGAAAAGAGTTGTAATTCTTTGCTAGCCTTAAGTCCCGTGTTGAGAAAAGGTTTGTTGTGTTTGATGAGAAGTGCTTCAAGAAAAGCAAGAATGTGGTATTTGTTAGATTTGGTTGAGTTAAGTATTTTATAGTTGTTGAATACAAGGTTTTCTATAGGAGAGGTAGTTCTGGGAAGTGGAGGGAGATCATTGAGTTGTGAGAACTGGTTTTGTAGAGTTGCAAGGAATTGAGCGTTTTCGCACTCAGAGAAATGCTGGCCAATTGCACTAGAAGAGAGCCTGGTTGCATGTTCTCTGAGCCGTACAGACAGGCATCCTTGTATCATGCCGATGTAGGTTTTACCACAGCCAGGGCAAGTTTTTTCGTATACAAGATTTCTGCGAGAAAGTGAAGGAAGTTTGTCCTTGTTAGAGACAAAATAGGAGAGTTTTTTAGTGCCACGTATGCAAGTAAAACACTTAAGTACGACAATTTGTCACGCACGTTACGTATTTTAGAAGCATTCAATCTATTCACACTTGAAATGCAACTTGGATTGACATTTGATGTTAATGTAAGAGGATCTTGACATCACTTGCTATCTTAAGACAAACAAGGGACTTAACTGAAAGGTAAGAGTAACTTAAAGACTTAAAAACCATGGCCAGCCGACAATTTAAGGAAATATAGTATATAGGAAATTGCGAAAAAGCAAGACATCTTGTGATTGCAAAATATGCATCAAAACAAGACGAGAAATGAACTGTAAATTTTCGACTTTATTTCAAAGACAGAATGATATTTAAAACCATACATACACGTATATATTTACAACGCATGAAATAAGTAAACGGAAATAAGCAATTAAAATTAAATAGTGTGACATTTACAAAGGCAGAGTTGGAAGAGGTGTAGTATTACAAAAGGATGAAGTGAAACTGCAGACCCGACTAATAGAATGAGTGTATTGTATTTTAAGAAAAGAGTTGTAATTCTTTGCTAGCCTAAAGTCCCGTGTTGAGAAAAGGTTTGTTGTGTTTGATGAGAAGTGCTTCAAGAAAAGCAAGAATGTGGGAGTTGTTAGATTTGGTTGAGTGAAGTATTTTATAGTTTTTGAATACAAGGTTTTCTATAGGAGAAGGAGTTCTGGGAAGTGGAGGGAGATCATTGAGTTGTGAGAACTGGTTTTGTAGAGTTGCAAGGAATTGAGCGTTTTCGCATTCAGAGAAATGCTGGCCAATTGCACTAGAAGAGAGCCTGGTTGCATGTTCTCTGAGCCGTACAGACAGGCATCTTTGTATCATGCCGATGTAGGTTTTACCACAGCAAGGGCAAGTTTTTTCGTATACAAGATTTCTGCGAGAAAGTGGAGGAAGTTTGTCCTTGTTAGAGACAAAATAGGACAGTTTTTTAGTGTCATAAATAGTAATAAACTTCACCGGTTGAGAAAGATATCTTTGTATTTTCTTAAAACAGAATTTTAAGAGGAAATCGCCACGCATGCCAAGATAAGGAATACGAACCCAGATTTTAGGTAGATTATCATCTATAGAAGAGCAGTTGTCGATGGGAATAGAATCATTGTATTTGGATTTTAGTTTTTTAAACAAAAAGTTTTTAACGCTGTTAGGATAACCGTTCCAAGACATGTAAGATTTGATTATTTCAATTTGATTGTTGAAAAGTGTTTTATTGCTACAAATTTTGAAGGCACGGTGGTAAAGAGATTTTACCAATGCAATTTTTCGATGAAAAGGTTCGAAGCTAGAGAAATGTGAGTACTGACCAGTGTGGGTGTCTTTTCGGTAAATGTCTGCAGTTTAAATTCGTCCTTTTGTAATACACCTCTTCCAACTCTGCCTTTGTAAATATCACACTATTTAATTTCTATTGCTTACTTCCGTTTACTTATTTCATGCGTTGTAAATATATATGTGTATGTATGGTTTTAAATATCATTCTGTCTGAGGATGTCTTTGAAATAAAGTCGAAAATTTACAGTTTATACACTTAAATTGAATTCGACTTGTTGTTATTTAACGATTTTTAGTCCAAAATAGTCATATATATATATATATATATATTGTGCAACGGTAACTCAACTCCAGGAATGATGAATCCGCCTGCAAAGATAGTACTGAGTCTACTGACTTAATAAAGTAAATGGTTTGAACCCGGGAGTATCGTTACATGTTTGTAAATGTCGATCGTCCAGGTTGGTATAGTCCTGAGACGGACTGTTTTTGTTGTTGTTGACAGTGAAATTTCACTTCACACTAATCCACAATGACACCCACACATTTCCTGTATACACAGGACAAACAGGATAACAAATACGGCTAACCTGACGTTTACTCTTCGTTTGACTCTGAAGATGACTACTGCTAAGGTTGTAGAAACGTCAGTCAACAACAACAAAAACAGTCCTTCTCAGGACTATACCAACCTGGACGATCGACATTTACAAACATCTACTGACTTAATTTGTTTTATTTGTAATTAGTATTAATTGTCATTTGCATGTTTAGTTAACATTTCAAGATATTTTTCAACAAGCTTTTTCATTGAATATTTCAGCGTTCAAACGATAATCCGAGGGGCAATTTTTAAAAAGTCTTAAACTCTTGACATACTCTTGAAAAATTACAAGTGATATTTAGATCAATACTTTCCTTGACCACATGTACGGTGGCCTATAAGTGTCAGGGCAACTTATGTCAGCGATGTTAGCTAGACAACATTCAAAGTACATGGCAACATTACAAATGCACAGCAACTTTTATAAATTAACGACAACATTTTAAAAGCCCACGACAACATTTAAAAAACTCACGGCAACATTTAAAACTCACGGCAACATTTGAAATTCTTACGGCGAAGTGAAGTGAAGTTAAATCATTAACTTATAGCATAGATATAATAGAACTAGATTGCTGACGAGTGTGACGTAATATAAGACTTATTAAGACGGCAGCGTGACATTCATGATAAATCCAAGATGGCGATGGAACCGGGCAAAAAACTTAGGGCTACTATTAGGCAATTGTTGTTTTTTGCAGTTTACTTCGTTTCAGTGTTTTCAAACTCCTCCAATCAAGTTTATTGGAAACAAAGTGATGAGGTTTGTCAGCTTTTGTCGCTTATCTCACCACTTGCGCGAAAGTCTCCATTTTGGACATGAAATGTGGAGTTAATAGGAACACCATTTTCAAATAGCTTTGCTGATATGATCTGAAAGGAATTCTTTTGCAATGGCTCCAGAATCAACTCCAGCTTCTCCACAGTACTTTACTATTATTCTATTGGTCGGTAATTTTTTCTTTGATTGACGCTGCCAAAGTGAAAAAATTCTTGAGAGATCTGCCTTTCTTGGTGTAGTTATGAAAAACTGGTCACTATCATTCACTTTTGAAGAAAGAGCATTTATGACATCTTGCTTATCATGTATCAAGGAACAGTTTGCATTCGAAATGATTTTTGAGTTTTCTGAATCAAGAGACTTGGATGTTGAAGCAAACTCACTTTCTTTATTCCATTGCAGTTGCAACCGCCAGCTATTTCTTCATCTTTACTAGTACATGTAGCAGAATTAACTACACTTGCCTTTGTCTTGCAAATTGTGGATTCATTATCTTCTGAAATTGATTCTGTATGCAATTGGAAGCGCTGATGATTTTCTTCATAAGTAGATTCATCAGATTCATTTGTGGTATGAGTTATGCCTTCATTTAGATCAAAGTCAAACAGCTCCATCAAAAGATCTATCAAATGCTGTTATTTTTTTCAATGGCTTTTTGCAATATTATCTTGTATGGAGCTGATTTTGGAACACGAATTGGGAGCCTTTCCCCTTTAAGCGTTTTGAGGGAACCATCTTTAAAACTCTTTAGTCCAATAAATATTGTTACTTCTTCATTTGGGTCAGATTTAGCTTTCTTAGTTGATCGAAAATGTGCACAGTTCTCTTTGCTTGTTTTCTTTTTCAAAAACTGCTTAAATGTGAGTACTTTACTCGCATTCTGAGGCCTGCCAAATGACAACTGGGTTAGACCATCTGCAGGTGATTTCCGTTTATCTCCACAAACACTACTCGTTGAGGGCTCACAACTTGTAGGTGGACAAATTTTTGTTTGGTCAGCTCGACACTTCCAACAGTATCTTATTCCATCTTTCAGTTCAGCAGAACAGACCCCACAAAAACTAAACCAAATTAATTTGTTATATTATTTTGAAAGTTAAGCTATGCTAAGAAATAACGTTAAAATATCATGTTGTAACAAGAAGCAAGTGCATGATTCATTAGCAATTCTTTCATAAAAATGTTGTAACTAGACCGTAGCTCGAAATAATAAAGACATATAAACTTACAACACATTTTTGCTTTCATGTTCGTCGGCCATATTGGTTTGAAGATTTCGTCAATTGTCATCCAAGTTAATATACAGGTCAGTGTGGCTAACCCATAGCTCAAAACAAATGTTGCCGTGAGTTTTTTAAATGTTGCCGTGGGCTTTTAAAATGTTGTCGTTAATTTATAAAAGTTGCTGTGCATTTGTAATGTTGCCATGTACTTTGAATGTTGTCTAGCTAACATCGCTGACATAAGTTGCCCTGACACTTATAGGCCACCGTACACGTGCCCTATTTTTTGACAAATGCTGCTCATGAACAGTTAACAAGATCACACGTAAACTGAAACTGATTGCTACTACTGCCAGATTTTATGACATCATCAGCGTGTAATAGTTGTGTCGCCAGGCCGCAATTACATGAGCAAACTGTTGACGCAGTGAGCATGTGCAAAGATCTTGACATATAGTGAGCATGTGCAAAGATCTTGACATATAGTGAGCATGTGCAAAGATCTTGACATATAGTGAGCATGTGCAAAGTGAGCGCATGCAAAGTCTTGATATATACTTAGCATATGCAACGTATTGATACATTGAACATTTGGTCCAAACTATCTCTCTACAATCTTGATAAACGTGTCCAAAGATGGTGGACCTAGTTTTTTTTTATGAACAACATTCCACCTTTATTAGCAGTTGCGAAACTAGAACGTCAAGTGTGTGAAAGTATGAATATATGAATATTCATATATTCAGCTCTGCCCTGCTTATTTCTTCGCACGAACAGAATGCTACCTGTGATTTATTGTCAAAGCTATTTGTAGGTACTACAAGCAGATATTGTACTAGAAATTCTCAATCACTAAATTATCCCTTCGAATGTGTGCCGTACTGTTTCACTTGATGGATCTAAATCAAGTCAGAGCACCTTAAGAAATAAATAATAATTCAAACTACTTGAAAAACAATCGTATGGATAAAATTTGGGCTATGAATTATTCTCTAGAATTTTCTGACCAACAGTTTGTCCACGCGGTATTTTGGTTGAATTTGACAAATGATTTTTTGTGTTTACAATTCAACTTTCAACCAACATGACGTGTGTATCTCTTGATCTTTTGACTCCAAAGGGAAATGTTTGCAAACTTGATATTGAATTCGACCAACTCCTTGCTCTGTGACGTCTCCATTTTTCTTTTACGATAATATAAGTTAAAGCAAATTTACAAAGTGGAACATTCATAGTTTCGAAGGAATAAAGTATTTACCAAAATTACATAACAAGTCAACATAATTTTCCTTTTTATAAGAAGACGATCAAAAACTGCTGAATAAAGCGTACAAGAGTAGCAACAGCGCGGTTGAAATTATACACACGCCAAAAAAGGCGATGGGTTCAATATTAAAAGCAATGCAATCGTCAAAAGTAAAGAGTGTGGATACTAACAATATTTCGTTGACCAACATCCATGATGGTGAGCAGATGGCGAGTATACGGGCGATTGGTGATCGTAAACAAAAGTTTGTTCGACTTAAGAATTGGATAACAGAAAAGCAAGTGACGGACACCTTGCATCAACAAAAAAATAGAGTAAGATCGACAATTATATTTATTCCCCGGGCGTTTGTATATGAATATAAACCATTGTTCATATGTCATATATGAAATATGAACAGAGGTTTTGTAAGTACTTTCCTACAAAGAAGTTGTCAGTGAGAACATATGAAATTCTACTAAAAGTTATTATATTTAAAATTCTCGCTATGATTAATCCAAGCACATTTAGCTCAAATTAGCTAAATTAAATATTTATCAAACACTACAACAGAGAGTGTATAAAAAAGGAAAAATTTTGAAATGCTTATTAAAACTATGAATTTAGCCAAATATTTTATAGACTTGTGCTGATATGGGTACTTCAACATTCTCAGTTCAATCTGATGGTAAAAATGAACAGAAAATTAATCCTCGAAAAACAGGAGAGTTGCAAAAACCACATCTTTAAGAGCTCGTGCATGCAAGCATTGTGGAATGATTGACCAAAGTCATCAAACTAAATACTTTTTACAAGGATACGCTACAAATCGCACATAGTTTTAATAACGACAATAAAATTTATTACTGTCAGGGTACCTTGAATGTTGCAGTGTATTTCTTTGGAATTAAATGAATATATCGTGGCTCACTCATTTGAGCTTTTTAGTTTGGTTTATAATGCACTGTGTGATGAACCAAATCATTAACATTATCAATAAAATTCACGTTTTTAAGCAGTCGCATTGCAATAAAGACTACTGCAAAGGTTCGATCATGTTCCCGAGTAAGAACACTTCAGATGGTGAACTACTACCGAAGGATATCGCGGTGAAAGATGCTGTAGATTTTTTACGACAATATTACATCTCAATAAAAAAGTACGATTCATACATCTTTCTTGAGGGATCGAGATAATGGTAATAATAAGAATTTCACTGTTTTTATCCAGAGCGGACAGTCTGGCGTACAATTGCAGAGTGCAGCAGGTAAAAAAGGAAATTGAAGAAAAAGGGACATACGAAATGGACGCAAAGGAGCTAGTGTTTGGTGCCAAACTTGCATGGAGAAACGCTCCAAGATGCGTGGGAAGAATCCAATGGAATAAATTACAGGTAAGTTAATGATTTTTCTAAAAGATGACGAAACGCAACAAGAAGTTTCAGTTAATAAACAAATAGTGGGAGTCTGGGTTGAATCATCTAGTAAATGTTACATAAAGATGTTAACGTTTAACAACAATTTCAAGTTGCTTAAGTTTAATAAATAAACACAAAAAGACCTGCTACTTAATGTGTAAACTTATTAAAACTTTAACAATAGGTATTTGATTGTCGAGATGTGTTTAATGCACAACAAATGTTTGAAGCTGTTTGTAAACACATCAAATATGGTACCAACAAGGGAAACTTGAGGTGAACAAAAATCAAATTAAGAGAAACTTATAAAGAAACCAGAATCCGGCTCAGAGAAATGAAAAATATCGAACTTTTCCCTTCAGATCAGCAATAACCGTGTTTCCGCAGCGTCGTGGTGCTGGAAAAGATTTCCGCATTTGGAACGCTCAACTCATCCGTTACGCTGGATATAAACTAGAAGACGGTTCAATCATTGGAGATCCAGTTAGTGTCGAGTTTACAGAGGTATATAGTCGCAAATCAGGCATCTTTTTTACTATTTGTGCATGCAATTATAATCTTTGAAATAATCGAGGACTTGGAAAGAACATTAACACACAAAATGTTCCAAACTGTCCTTGAAAAATTTATAACAAAAACTAATCAATTTTTTCTTATATAGATTTGCATCAGCTTTGGTTGGCAGCCGAAATATGGTCGCTTTGATATATTACCGCTAATTTTGCAAGCAAATGGAGAAGAACCAGAACTTTTTGAAATCCCTAGGGATATAATCTTGGAAGTGAAAATGTCGCATCCAGAGTGAGTTCATGATGAGTAAATTTTGTATTCTGACCTTACAGAGACAGTGTTCTGCTATTGCGCAGTTTAACAATCCAGATTCTTTATAATAATACATTATTTTTTGAAAGAATACGTAAATTTTTTATGATTTAATCATTTAAAATAAGTCAATGCATAATTTTTCGTCTATTATTTCTTGATCTGACTTCCATTGTACACTTTAGTCGCATGTTTGTACAACGGGGTCAATTTTTATGGCTAGCCATCAGAAAAGCTTTACTAAGATTTTGTCATACATCAACTCTATCATTATTCATATAGATACGAATGGTTTGAAGATTTGGGTCTAAAATGGTATGCGTTGCCTGCAGTATCTAGTTTGATGCTAAACTGTGGAGGAATAGAATACCCTGCAACGCCTTTCAATGGATGGTAAGTCGCATGGACGAATTTTTCATAAAAAACATAAATGGCTGCAAAAATACATAGCACTTCATGAACAAACTAAAAGCGGAAAACCTGAAGCCCACCTATATTTAGTTGCAAAACCATCTGGTCCAATCTAGCTAGGCGTTTCATGCAACTCAGTTCAACGGGCTCAGTATTTCTGCTGAGCTTTCACAGCAATCTGAACTTGAATAATAATTTTTGTTTAAGGTACATGGGAACAGAAATTGGAGCACGAAACTTTGGTGATACGTACAGATACAACATGCTGCCGGTATTATATCATAAATGAAAAATAGCTAAAATGTTTTCATCTCTATAACATTAAAGGAAACATACCATAGGGTTTGTTTCAGCTTATACTTCATTAAATTCCAAAAGCCTAGACAACTATTGTTCATATTACAATTATAATCATAATATTGTTAAAAGGTTCGTAATTTAAATAACTTGATTGATTAAAAATATTAATATATATCAGACGATCGCCGAAAAAATGGGTTTAAATACAAGCAACAATGGATCTTTATGGAAAGATAAAGCTTTGGTTGAATTAAATATCGCAGTTCTACACAGTTTTCAGGTATGTTGCAGTCATGTATCACTAACAAAAATAACACCACCATAAAGAATAGCGCACTTTTCTTTATAATGGTGTTACACCCATCATTACACACTTCATTGTGATGTTACACCCATCATTACACACTTTATAGTAGTGTTACACCTACAATTACACACTTTGTAGTGGTGTTACACGTATCACAAACAAAAACAACTCCACCATAAAGAATAGTGCGCTTCGGTGCACAAAAATACCGCCCTGAGGTTTCCCAGGTCATGAGCATAAGTTACACAGATCGATAGGTTGAATCAATAAGGGGGAGAATGGGCTCTCGCTTTCAGACTTACTTTGAAAACATCAAATCAACTTGTTGCAAGAATTGGTAATAGAACAGTGAATGTGGTAGGTTTGTAATGGCTTTGGTAAAACCTTTTCTTCATTACTCTTTCAAGGACAAGTGAACCTAATTATATTCAGATGGATTTTTCATAATAATTAAACAAAACTATAGTTCAAAGCTTGTTTTAATATTTAAGTTAAAAAAGCGTTTACTTTTGCACCTAATGTTTACTTCGACTAAAAAACGACGCAAAGCACTTTGAGTAAACGTTTTCTTGTAAACAAAAACGTTCAAACCTTTAATTCACATGTGGTTTAGCTGGCCAACATCACGATTGCAGACCATCACACCACAACAGAATCTTTCATAAAACATGTGGCGAATGAGGTACGTTTGTTTTATTGTGAAATCATGGATACCTACGAAAGTTACGAATACGAGTTCTTATTTTAAATACAAGTTTTCATTTTATAATTCTAATGAAAATTCTACGAAAGAAAAGAGTTTATATTTAAAACTTAAACTTTCATATAATTCTGATGAAAATTCAGTCTCATGCTCCATGAAGACTAGCATATTCATCCATTAAATATAATGTAGAAACTAGAGTTGATACTTCAGCTACTACAAAAATAATTTCTATTTAAAGGAACGAGCTCGGGGAGGATGTCCAGCAGACTGGGTCTGGATTGTTCCACCAATTTCGGGCAGTGCTACGCCAGTTTTTCATTTGGTATGGGAGTACTTTCAATCATCAATATGATGTATATGTTCTAATTTAGTCTCAGAAGCATTTTAAAGACTGTATTGTTATAGGAAATGCTCAACTATCATTTGAAGCCGTCTTACGACTATCAGGTAAACACAACTCCAGACTTACCATTTTGAAAACAATATATGAAGATTGAACAAGCTTATTTATATGTTGGAAAGACTCACTATTTCCTTCAAAACCCATTAAAAATAGCAGGTACTTAAATGTTTGAAAATTAAAGACAATGCATGTTATCCTAATACTTTATAAACAGGAGGATCCATGGAAGTTCTACAACTTCAGTGCCACAAAGGAACAAAAAAGGAAACTGACGTTCAAACAAGTAGCTAAGTACGCATGATATTAAAAATCAAGTGAGAATTCTAATCAAACGAATCTGGTATGGCAATGACTAACACAAAAGATCCCATATTAATCTTGTGAAATCAAATCCATTGAGCATGTTTATTGCGCATGTTTCAACAGTTTTATAAACAACGCATTGTGAAAATCAGAAAGGTCAAAGAATATCGTTTCAAAAAAACACTGTCTTTAATGTTAACGACAAACATTAAATGTGAGACACGCCTAACTCAAACGTTTGAAGATGTATGACTTTTTTGGTCTTTTCCGTTGCAGAGCAGTTGTGTTCTCGGTAAAGTTGATGGGACATGCAATGGCAAAGAGACAAAAGGTGACCATTCTATACGCAACAGAAACGGGAAAATCAGAACACTATGCCAATTTGCTGAAAGAACTGTTTTCCTTGGCCTTTAACCCAAGAGTAAGTGAAGTGAATCAATGACGACTTATTGAGCCACATATCTATTTATCATTGTCAACTACCCACTAAAACAAGAAATAAAACGTTATCTGTCAGAGAACATACTATTTCAGAGTAAATGTACAAGTTTTTAGGAGTATTTAGCATTTCAATATTGTTCAATAAACTTTCATGATGGTTATGTGTCTGTGATGTGAAAGCCTAACAATCCAAACAAGATAAACGTGAAACTAGCAATAACCAGTGCGTAAACTGATTAAAATAGGTATTTTGTATGGTGGACTATGATTTCACTTACTTGGAATACGAAAAACTTTTGCTTGTTGTGACGAGTACTTTTGGTAACGGAGATGCACCAGAAAATGGCGAGGTAGCTGAAGGTTTTACTATTTTTTGTTTCAGATCAATAAAGTTAGCTTGTTCATTGTAATTTCATGACTCAAAAAGTCAAATTCCTTCTGTGATGTATCGTAAAATCGCTGAAATGTTTTGACATTATAACCGATGACTTTTACTTGAGAATTGAACGATAAAACACAGCTTAACTTTTCTTGATTTTTAGAGTTTTGCACACGAACTGTATGAGCTACGACACCCTCCAACAAACATAAAAAGGTAAATTTTATTTCTAAGTTCTCCAATCCAATGAAATCATGATTTTCGAACACATTGAGAAAACCTCTTAAAAGATTGCGTCTCAGTTAATGACTGTTAATTGCTTATTGGATTTTTACCACATCAAACAAAAACCGAAATTCAGAAGACAAATGAGCCAGTTACTGATGGACGTGAATAATAATGGCACAAAAACTAGAAACCAGTCACAACCGCTCGCAAATTTAAGGTAATAAATATTGAAACAGATTCCAATAACTCTCTTTGAGGAATACGATATTTCAATAATTCTTTACAGGTACTCAATTTTCGGCCTTGGTTCCAATGCCTATCCAAATTTTTGTGCTTTTGCAAAATCTCTCGACAAGCTCATCCTGAAGCTTGGAGGAGAGAGCATTTTATCCTTGGGAACCGGGGACGAGTTATGTGGCCAGGAAGAGTCATTCAAAAACTGGGCAAAGGATGTTTTTAAGGTAATCGTGCAGACAAACACGTAAACTTTGCATCTCATTCCATTCATTCAAATATTACTCACATTTTTTGCTGTTTTGTGATTTTTCATCCTGACAATTCTACCGTTCCCGTTTTCTTTGATATTGATTTTGGTAGTTTTTCTCTTCAACTTGAGCATTTTCTTCCTTTTCAAAGTCATATATTTTAATCATAAATATATCACTCTTCTATAACATTATTAAGTATAGTTGAAGCAAACATTGTTATACAGGAGTGTAAAGATAACAGCAATAACCACAGTGTACCACAAGGATTAGAACGAATGTAGTGTCCGCTTCAGTACATCATTTATTGATACTGTAGTTGCCTGCCCTGCATATGTCTTGATTATATTTTATTTCCAAGAAAAGCAATTAACGAAGATTCTGCAGAACTCAGAAATAACAATACAATTTCATAATAAAGAAAGAAACAACATAAAGAAACCAATAGAAATCCGGCCATTTAAAGAAATTTGTTGGACACAACAAAAAGTTTTTGTAACATATAGGCCGCATCCGAAACATTTTGTATCGAAGATACTAACATGACATCTTCCTCCATACCCTTGGACACCATTTCTGCTGACTGGTCACCAGATAAATTTAAGTTGGTTCATTCAAAGGAAAAACCAGCGGAACTCTGTGTCAGTAAGTAAACAACTCTTTTCTAGTAAGAAGACATTCGTCAAAATTGTACATAGGAAAGTAGGTGTGTGAGACAACACGACTTGTTGGGGAGTACAAAGGATAACTTTATCTTAACTCAAGCTTGAAAGAACAAAATACAAGAATTAGAAAAGCGTCTTTCAACAGCACGTTTACATGGTCTGTTTTATCTAAATCCACATCATTATATGTTTATGAGATTATTGGGTGGACTAAAGATCTTTTTTATTGTAATTTTATCGATATTTTAACCTCTCTCAAATATACCAACCACGCTTAACTCGGTTATTTATTCATCCATTATTTTCCCTATCCTCCAAAGGCCTGAGTAATCTTTATCGTGGAACAATTTACCCATGTAAATTGATTGAACAAATTAATCTGCAGTCAGGCGATGCAAGGTAGAGTAAATCATTGAAACAATTAGAAGTAAACTGGATAAGCAACCAACTTTAGAGTCTTTTAAAGCTCGTTTGTCATCAGCACTTGTGCAGACCAATAACTTCATTTTCTTTTATCACTAGCCGTGCCACACTTTTGGTGAAAATCAATACAAACGGAGAGAAAAATATGTCATTCAAACCAGGCGATCACGTTTCTATATTTCCTGCCAATAACGTAAAACTTGTAAGCACGCTGCTCAATAAACTGCACAACGCACCGCAACCTGACAAAGCGCTCACCATGCAGACATGTAGAGAAGAATCAGGTAAACATCTACAACGTTTATGCAATATGAAGTGATGATGAATAGAATAATCTTGGAAAAAAGTAGACAACTTGGCTTGTTTATTTTATTATTTCTTGATTGATCCTTGGTGTGCGTCCATGTAAAGATGTCATGAATACCATGCTACACATTTCCCTGCAAAATGTACTGTGTCATTATATAAATGTAAAAAGGCAATTTATTTGATATTTAGGACCGTTTGGTAAAGCAACAAAACGGTGTATGATGAACTCGCTTCCAAATCCCTTTACCTTAAGAGAAGCCTTTTCGAGATACATCGACATTACTTCCACACCATCGCCACAAATTTTAACCTATCTCTCCACGCTGGTAAGCACAGTATGAGAGATAGATTTGTTTAGCATTGTCCTCTTTAAAATTAGACATTGTATGGCATTGTTAAATAGACCTCTAATGAAGCCGAAAAAAAAGAACTGGAAATTTTGGGAAAGGTAACAATACAACAAAAACAAAACATGATTATCACATGATTCAACAAAAGCATGCAATCTGTCCACCATTTGTTTAACTTCTCCCAGGGAGAATCCGAATACGAAGAATGGAAATATCGTAAAAACAAAAATATCGTTGAAGTCATCCAAGATTTTTCATCCCTTAAAGTACCAGCAGCACTTTTGCTGACCCAACTACCTCGACTGCAACCCGTAAGTTATATGTTGGTGTTTACTTGTGCACGTCAAAAAAGCAATAAAATACAAACTTCTCAGGCCATCGAAAACTCGAGCTTAGGTCACTTTTTTGAATGACGCGTGTACAATTAATGCCATACAAGTAGAATGTCAAGTCATTTCGCACCTTTCAGAGATTCTACTCCATTTCATCTTCACCCCAAGTCTATCCAGACGAGATTCATGCGACAGTAGCTGTTGTAAGATTCAAGAAAGAAAGTAAGTTCGTATACATGGCGCGTATTTCATAAAAAATAGTATAAGATTATGAAAATTTAATGCAAATTTTTGTGAAAGTCATAAGCATAGCAGACATAACCGTTTCACCATTTTTAGACATAATGAAAACTAGTAGCGTATTTTGAAATTTTGATGGCAAAAACATGCTTAAATTCAATCAGAAAATCATAGGAAATGATGCAATATTTGGGAATTTAAATAAACTAATTTTGATTTTGATTAAACGCAGTATAAATAGAAAATCTAATAAATTTTGAAACAGACGGAAAAGACTCGATTCATAATGGAGTGTGTTCCACTTGGTTGGAGAGTTTAAAACCTGGTGACATAATACCCTGCTCAATAAGACAGTAAGTACATCACTATGATTTGCAAATATATATTAATCTTGGGCTTCGTGAATCATTTCGCGAAAACTAATTAACCTTAAATTTCGAATGACTCACAGCTAATTGCAACTTTAACTAAGTGTTTTTGTTTGCTGCTTTTTTAGTGCGCATTCTTTTCATATGCCTGAAGATACATCATTGCCGGTAATTATGGTGGGACCAGGAACTGGTATTGCACCATTCCGCAGTTTTTGGCAGCAACGAATGTTTGACAGGAACAAAAAAAAGCAAAGATGCAGCTCGGAAATTGATTAACTTTGCTATAGTCTACTCTAGACCCACATTCTTCATTTCTCTACATACCATACAGTATAATTGTTGTATAGTACATGAGTAAATCGTACGTCTTTGTTACGACACAGTATAGGAATATACAGTAGGACCACTTCGCTATGCAACTGGCTGCTGTATATTTAATTAGTTTACTGGCTGCCGTTTGCTATATCGTTAATCCTATTGGTCACACAATGCACATAAAAGCATCATGATATTCTTAATGAATAACTGAATTAGCACTCTGAACTTAAAAAACATCAATAGGTTTCGCTTTTTTTGTTTAAATACTTAAAACGACAACATGACAATGTTATTGTATATTTATCATTTACATTTTCGACAAAGGAGCTAGTCTTGGTAAAACGTGGGGACCAATGAGCTTATATTTTGGATGTCGAATGGCACAACATGATAATATTTATAAGAATGAGACAAATCATGCAATGAAAGAAGGAGGATTAGATAACGTTTATACGGCATTCTCAAGAGAGCCAAATATTCCTAAGGTAATTTTCCATTACAATACAAAAAGGGAAAATCAAAACTTTGAATTTGATCACTAGCTACCCATGCCCCATGCCTTAATTTTTCGTAAACGTTTTATATACATATTGTTATAATTCATTGCTATTGGAAACCACTCCATACACAAAAGCAGCTCGCTGTCAATATATAACAGTAATTTTCTGCAAACACAATATTCTATTTTTAAATACAAATCGTAAGACAGACTTTGTATACATGAAACGTCGGTATAATATGACTAAACCCTACAAATAACAAGCAGATAGAAAAGATTATTACAGGTGAAGATCCTAATCTTGGCATGATCTCTTGAACAATACCCCTATATCTAGATTTCATTGCGTTTTAAAGAATGTTTGACGGTCATCGAAACAAGCAGAAATGTAATCGAAAAAGACATATTTCTATAAAATAATCGAACAAGACATATTTCATTTCTTATATTTCTCCTGTAGACCTATGTTCAGGATCTAATAAAACAAAATATTGTCGAAATTTACGATATGTTAGTAAACAAGAGGGGCATTTCTACGTCTGTGGAGATGTTTCAATGGCAAATGATGTTCACACATCACTTGAGGTAAACTAAACCAACATTGCTTCCTTGTTTTACTAACATTGCATTTGTTATCGACTAGATTATTGTCATTAGTGCTGTGAATGCTCGTGAATAGTGTACACAAAAAATAAGAAGTAAAATTTTGTCCTCTATTCGAACAGCATGCACTTCAACAGGAAGGTACAAGACAAAACAAAAACACGAAAGACTTTGTTCAGAATATGAAGGTAACATATTTAGCTGCTGGAATTTAAAATATGATCTTGAAAGTCTGCATGTTTTTTCTAAGTAAATTTATACACAATACACTGCTATAACTACAGAACAATGGAGTTTATCACGAAGACATATTTGGAATAACATTACGAACAAAGGAAACGAAAGATAAAGCAAGACAAAGTAAGTATCTTTTCAAGAAAGAGACAACAGGAAACATGAAGCTTTAATTATGAGACTTCATGTACAGTCGAATCTACAAAATAATAAATAACATTATTCAATGGAGAGATTGTAATATATTTTCAAAATAAGTTTAGTGGTGTATCAATTATTTGGCAATTTTATTGTAGATCGTGGAAAAATTTCCTCAAGTTAAAAACCAAAGTGAGCATATATCAATATATTTACATTTACACTTTTCAAAAATAATGATTTACAAAACTTATATTTTACGTATTTTAGCACAGTCCGACTTTGAACAAGTTGATCGATGAGCAATGGTTGAAAAAGTTGGCAGAACTGAGCCTTAAAAAATGTGACAGTTTGTAGTCCAATATAGAAAGATATCTGAAACAATTTCATGTTTTTAGGAAATTCTTGTAGTTAATACATACATCATTAAAAAAGTGAAATACACAATAACATAGCATGCTGAATAGTATCTATTGTCCATATCAATGAAATGGCCTTTACCATAACTTACACTTTATCGTTGGCCACAACATCGAGCACACATGGATATCGTCTACCAACTTAACCCATCGTCATTACCAATAGTTTTTGTGCAGCAAAATCCTATATGCTCATCAATATCCCTCTTAGCGAGCCTATAAGTTTTGGATGCATTGAAATGACGACTAATTTCAACAAAGCGGTTTCGAAGAAATCGAGAAAATAACCGACTTCTTCGATTAAATTGTCTATGTCTTACCTGATATCAAATCCTTGCCCACAAAACGGACATTCCGTAACTGTTTTTATGGTGTTAATATGGTCATCATTGTTTAAATGTTCATCTAATGTATGCAATTTTCTTTTACGTCCCTTAGAAGAAGAGACTTTGTAATCTTTTATTATGAGTGAATTTTGTTTGAATGGATTGTTGGCGACCCGATTTCATTAGAAGACATTGTCAATGCTTTGTCATGTATATGTTTAAATATAGCCTTTCTTATGCTATCATCTTTAAATTCTATTTCTTTTGTGTATTTGGAACAAATGTTATCCTCTTGTGCACAAGCAAATTCATCACAATCCCAATCATATTGAAAACTCTTAGCCAGAAGCTCATCAAGACCATCGTCCAATTCAAAATGGTCCTTGTTTGATCCTAATAACCCACATTTATCTGTAAATGTATCTTTCCGCACAAAGGAATCATCAGTTCTGTCTCGCTTATTTGTTACGACATCCAAATATTTACTTGTCTGATTGCTCTTTCCAAGGGTTGAATTAAAAGAATTCTTTCTTCCTTCGTAGCGAGACGAGGAGCCCTCAGATTCTGTGGTGTGATCATAAAGCCTTTTTAAGTCCCCGCGTCTATGTATTTATTCACCAAGGGGATTCCGTAAACACATTACATCTACAGTTTTTTTGGTTTAACACGATAAAAACGTTCAGTATTTATCTGTCGATTGCGCTTTCCTGAAGTCGATTCGTTAGATATTTTTGAACTTTCCTTTAAATTTACCGATCTCTTTCCGTTAAAAATATCGATGCAATTCTTTGACACAGTTTTTCTACAATCACTAAGATTTTCATTATCACATGCGATATTCATCTTGGGATTGCTGTTATTGAAACTGAAATGAAAAATGTTTTTCGTTCCTCCAGTTCTATCATCTTTCACAGCAGCATTCTCCATTTTACGTTTCTCAAATCCTCTTTTCTTTGAATCCTTTGAGGAGTCAGAAACATCGGTGAGATCAATAACTTCGAATTTTTCCTCGCTCTTACAAATATAATTTTGAGCGACAGCATCTGGTTGTTTTCGATCGAGAGAATAATCTTTCTTCAGCAATAAATCTGCCTGAGGAAGCTGCCTATTTCTCTGACTGTAATTTTTAAGATTATATTTAATATTCAATGGTTCATTATCCATATCAACAAGAATTTCCTCGTCGAAATCTATATCTTGCATTTCCAAGGCAAAATGACTGTTGTCCTCAACAGGTGATTTTTTTAATTCATCAATACGACGATCTTGTCTTTTGTTTTTACTATTATCATCTTTCTTAGTATCACAACATTTTTCAACAACAATTCTTTCATTGAAATCATAATTCAACATTTCCATGGTCAACTCTTCATCGAAGATTTCAAACTCTCTACTAATTTCACGAGGCGCATCATTACGCATTTTATCGTATCCACTTTCATCAAAGTCTCTACGAGTCAACGTAAGAACGTCTGCCTTGAACTTATTAGTTAAAAAATGAAACATTGTATAATTTCTCCACAAGCTGCAAAAGCTATTCGAAACTATGTGTTTTAGAAGATCCATAAGCAACCTGCTGCGAGATTTTCCAAAGAAAGATTTACGAGCAAATAGTCTTTTATGCAGGTGTGAGTGTCCATTTCAAATGAATACCATATTAATTCATTTCAACTACCGTCTTCATGAGCTGTGCTGTCACTTGAGCATACTTTGATCGCATCAGAGAACAAGAGAAAGATGCATGCACGGACATTACGGACAAAGTATTTTTGCCGTGCACTTTTGATTTTGTACTCTTTCGGTTTTACTGAATTTTCATACAGTAACTCTCTTTAGCCGTTTACTTTTTACCAAGTTTAAGGTCAAGTAGTGAATCCAGGATTGTACTGTAAAGTTTACAATCCTAATGTAATAGCCAGGCTCAAGTTATTTGAAAATCTTTAACTAGCAACAGCATTATATCATAGTATTTTGAATTACTTCAAGATATTGCCTTTACATGTATTCAATAGAAATGCTAGAATATTTCCGATGTGAACACAACAATCAATATCAAAGCAAAGTCAACTCAAAATGTGTACAAATTTAGTCATGAAATTATTGATTTATGCCACAGTTGACTTGCTGTAAAGTTAGGCGAAGATTTTCGCACTCGTTTACGTGCATTTTTCCTAAGACTAGTCGATTAGATTCTCACCAACTTGTTTACGAAATTTGCAAATGTTTACGAAATCTGCAATCATTTATAAAGAAATTATGAATATACGCGAAAAAAAGTTAGATGTATAGACTTATAAATTTGGTAAAACTTACATTGTGTCAAAGTGATTTCTGTAGCTTGTTATAACTTCTAAATACTTTATAAATTTTTATGTACCCACAATAACATAAATATTTGATTTAGCTAACGTTCATCACTGAGCTATTGACACGAAAAACATATTGTTAATTGCCGAGTTCACTGCACAGAAAACAAATTTTTTTGCGAAAGCTGTACTGAGTAACCTTTGGAAAATGGAAAACATATTTCCAATAACGCATTACACTATTGTAGTAACTGCATCTTAACTGCAACTACTATTTCATATTACGCATTAATGATTTAAGAAATAAAAAGATGTTTACTGTGTATGCTCAGACTTATGCAAAGTGAGGACACTTTTGGGAGAACTCGAGAGCAGATCAGTGCAAGCCCGAGACCGAAGGTCAAGGGTTGCACCTGCTCGAGATCCATATCGAGTTATTTCATAAAAAATACGTTGGCATAATGTGCCATTAGCATGCATAAAGACATCCATCAGATTAGTGTTTCACCGACAGTGAGTAATTTGATGTCCCACCTCAAGAAATAGGCTAGACAATATGCTATCATTGACCGTAAATTAAACATACTTTTACATAACATTTCAAATCCCCGAGATGCAGCAGGAAAGTTCAGAGTTCCAACCATCAAAAAATTCATAAAACTCAAGAAAGTTATCTTGTAGAAATGTTGATTTAAGGCTTTAAAAAACGCATGACTAGTTTTCCCTTCATAGGATCCGCCCCAAGCAAAAACGAATGACGTGAAAACCACATACTTTGATCAAAGCAATTTAAAAAAGAAAAAAATAAAGTATTGTTGCCTATTTGCTCAAAGCAATAAAACTTCCTAAAATCCTGAAGAGTTCTTTCTGCATTAGCTGTATAATATTGCGAAATGTAACAATCTTACTAAAGTTTTTTTTCTTGTGACAGTATAAAGAAATTCAAAGCAAAGCGTAGTAAATCATCGAATCAAAAATTTAACTAAGATAACGCTTTTTACATAAATGCCTGGACCACCGTTATGATGAAATTCATCACAGCGCAAAATCCTCTACTCTGGCAGACATCAATGATGAATTGGGAAAATACATAAATGTACATTATCACAGTTCCACGAAGAGTGTAAAATCTTCTGCTTGCTTCTAACGATTGTAAGACACGCGTGATAAAGACTCCAGTCAATCAAAAATCGAAATGACTATTTACTGAGTTAGCAAGTAAAAATTTATGCACTGATTAGCGGCATATGTTTAATTTCTTTTCAGAGGAGTGTGGGAAGATCGATAATCGGCGGGAGGGGCAATATTTGCATATACGCATTCTACAACCCGTAAAATACTTTGGACTTCAAAGGAAGTTATTACGGTATATCATGCATGTACGAATATTGCACTCCCCGGCTAAATATCGATCTTCCTACGCTCATGTCTGTACAGTAAAAAAAAATTAAGTGGTCTTACGCCCGCACATTTCTGAATTTGTATCAACATATGATTTTTACCTTGGTTTTACTTTTACAACATAGTTGAGGATAATCATTGTGCATAGTGCATGGTCGTATAAATATTCTGAAGTTATATTTCATAAGATTGTAATAACACAAAATAATGTGAATAATACTGCAGTAATCTGAAAGAATAACATATGCCAGAAATGCATTTTATCTTATGAAAAATGGGAAAAAATACCCTTAACAATAGACAATATTACTTATTTATAAAGATACGACAGACTCAAATAGCTGAAAACAAACGATAAGAAAGAGGTCACGTGCTAATAGGATTTCAAGTAGATGTGGTTATGAATATTGACCAGTAAAAGAAAGAATTATATAGTGATACAAAATGAGATTAGCTATGATAAAAACATTGGGATCATCACTGATCAAAAAACTAGCATAATCTCAAGCAAGTGACGCTTACAGCATGTCGTTTAAAATGCCACAAATTCTTGTGGGCTTTCACGAGGCGATAGGATATTTCATACAGAAAAACAAAAAGGTACAAAAATAATAACTACATTAGTCTTGACAGAAAAAAACAAATAAATATAAAATCAGGCAAAGAACTAAAGTAAAGGAACGATGACCAAATGTAAAACGAGGTAAACTAATTGCCCCCAGCGTAAACCACAATCATGTATTTTTATGAGCGCCTTTACACCATGTATGCAGGTGAAAACACTTAAGTACGACAATCCGGCACTCTCGTCATATATTTTAGAAGCATTCAATCTATTCACACTTGAAATGCAACTTGGGGATTGACATTTGATATAAATATAAGGGGATCGTACCATCACTTGCTATCTTAAGACAAACACAGGACTTATCTGAAAGGTAAGAGTAACTTGAAGACTTAAATTGAATTCGACTTATTGATATTTAACTATTTGTAGTCCAAAATAGTCAAATATAT